ACAGCATAATATAATAGAGCACCATCTTCATATAAAATAACCACAGCATAATATAAAAGAGCAGCATCTACTTATAAAATAGCCACAGCAACATCTTCATATAAAATAACCAAATAATATAAAAGAGCACCATCTTCATATAAAATAACCACAGCATAATATAAAAGAGCAGCATCTTCATATAAAATAGCCACAGCATAATATAATAGAGCACCATCTTCAATCAAAATAACCACAGCATAATATGAAATAGCCACATAAGGCAGCTATGGCGTTCCATAATTATGCATAATATTTTAATTATTGATATCACGAAATAAAAACTATTAATATTTTCATTTTTACTCTACACCGGTATCAATTTGACGCTGCCAAAATTCATGCACAGGCCTTCCGCTTCATAAGATTTTAATCAAATTTTGCTTATAAATACATAAATATCAAAATATCAACACAATTACATACATTTAATTTTCCTAGCAAATATCTGCCTACTGGCAAATCAAAAATGAAATTGAAATCTCAGAAAAAGTTTATTTCAACAACTGAAATTTTTTATAGCTCATGCAGATAATTCTCATCCATTATGGCAGTCAAGTAATTTTTGAAGGCAACAAATAAGGCCATTGTCAAATGCTCAACTGTTTTCATTGATATATCCTACAAGAACTTACAGGACAATATTAATAAATTTAACCAACACAAAGTGAAAAATGACTGCTTGTTATGTAGAGAGACCACAGAGGACAGATTACACTTTCTACTAAAATGCCCCATCTTAGACTCTATTAGACAGCCATACCTGACGAAACTAGGTCATTACCTACAAGAAAAAATTGGCACACAGCAATCAAATTACTTTTTTATATTATATACAGTATTTTAACCCTTACTTCACATTTTCAGAGATTCCATCCTTAAAAAACAACAAAATTCAGTATATTTATTGAGAAATAAATAAATCATACATGGTTATATATATACATTGATCCATGCGAGCTCAACAATTATTGTTAGTACACATTCTACAACCAACAATTGAATATTTGATAAAGAGGAATATAAAATTATTTTTAGAGTTGAAATAATTTTTTACATATCAATATTATATGATTATGCATAATATTTTAATTATTGATATCACGAAATAAAAACTATTAATATTTTCATTTTTACTCTACACCGGTATCAATTTGACGCTGCCAAAATTCATGTCTTTTCATCAGGCCTTTTATTTTTAAGATTTTAATCAAATTTTGCTAATACATAAATATCAAAATATCAACACATCTACATACATTTAATTATACATGCTGAAATTATCTGGGTCATTTTTTAAGCTATCAGAATAACAGTTTATCTTTTTTCCTTTCAAAATTTTTTAAAATTTTCCGTTTTGTGCCTTTACGGTGCTTTTAGCAACGCATTGTTTGCTTTTTCGGACTTTGCTACCCGGGACATTCGGTTTCCCTCGTCCTTCATTCGGAAGCGTCGTGTTGCTAGCTGACGTCATTTTATGGAGAAAGTGCACGATATTTTCCGATTTCAATAGAGATTTAAATTTACTGACGTATTTTGGTAGGTAAACAGATTATTATTTTCTTATACCATATTTCATAGAGATGTTTTGCTGAAGTATGTAGGAATAGCATGTCATTTTCATCATTCAATGTTCAAAAGGCGGGAGACAATGTAAACTAAAACAGCCACCAAAGTTAACCATGTTAACCCGAAGTTCCTAAGTCTCAAATCTTCTTAGTAGGTGTCAAGACTTACGGGCTTAATGCTCCGTGAGGACAAATGGAAGTCTGATTTCAGACAAAACACAAACTTTTTATTGAAGATATGATATGAAATGAAAAATAATTAAGTATAAACAATTTATACATTATAATGCAACCCTGTGAATAGAGTTTCACATTTGACATGTTAGATAGTTTTTTTTGGGGGGGGTCGTATATTATAATCATGAAAACTATGTGTATGATAAAATACACTGTCTTAAGATATGATTGTATCATTTATATTAACTGTACAACCATCAAAGGTTTTTCCTAACTTTCAGTATCAATTTAACATACTTTGCAATACTCATGAATAAAGTTGCACTTTCATATATATTGCACCCGCCTGCTCTTCAGACAAATGTAAAATGGGAATACATCAGTTTGGGACAAACAGCCTGAAATACTATTTACTTCAGGGAGATAAATATTACACACCAAAAAAAAAAAAATAAAAGTAAAAACTGAATTTGACTAAAAAGTGTTATGTACTGTATAGCATGAGTAGTCCGAAATATCTTACATTTTCCAGACTCTTTTTTTGTACAGTCTTATTTTTTACAGACCAGGAAAGCGTAAAATATCAAAATTGTGAAAAAAGCCTGGAAAACAACAGATAATGCAGACAATTTAGAATTGAGATTCTGCAGTCATTCTAAGAAGCAATGGTGTCTTTGTTCAAAATTTAATAGCTGATTTAGCTATTTGTTGCCTTAGATCATCTCCTGTTGACATTTGGAATGATGAAAAACCTGAGCCACCAGGAGTCGTTACACTAATAGTTTTTTTAAGCCTGCAAACTTTTGACTCCTGTCATTTTAATGCCACTGAATGACATCAGTAGCATCTGAATACTAGATGGATTTGAAATGTGGATATTATTGCTTTTTCACATGAATTGAAAAGATAAAAATGAATGAAACATGAATAATAAAGTTATGATCTGCATTATCATGATTATACTGGGGAAATGATGGTGATTAAAATAGCTACAATATATGTACTGTACAACATAAAATAAATCTCTTTCCTGATAGCAGAAAATAAAATGAACATAAAATTCATCACATTTTATTCGGTTTTCCATGCAGGCACACGGTAGATGTGTTATGAGATTTCATTCAATTTTCATTAATTACAAGCACCTTTAGTAGCAAGAGTGTAAAATAAAACAGAATAATATATATATATTTTTGTAATGTTTTTGTTTTGTTTGATAAAGGAAAAACTAATAAATTGAGTTCATTGACGGAAATAAAAGCATGAGGCTGAATGTTAAGACTAAATGTCAGATATATACTCAACAAAAAAAAGAAACGCATATTCAGATTAAACATGATAATCTAAATTTTCAGTTTAATATATTTTAAGGGTTTTGATAAAAATTCTTATGTTTGCTTTTAGTATTTTCAATACAAGATGGACTTGATTATCAAAGAAAAAGTTCACTTGTTTGTAAATAAATATATCTGATTAAAATGAAAAAAGTTTTTAATGTGAATTCTAGTTGAAAATTCATTCTCCACTGTATACAGATAACAGATAACCTAGCTACCAGGGGGACAGAATTCTGGTTTCTACTTAGGATGGTGCACAAATTTCAATTTTATTTTTATGTTTTTGACCAAAAATAAAAGTTTCTGTTACACTTATATCACTTGTTTTGATAAGTTTGCATTTGATCATGTGACCTCGGTGTCCTTTTATTTTTAGCATGTTGTAGTGGTGCATCTCTCTTATAAATATATATTTGTTGAAATTTTTAAAAATATGTCATATTATGGTGACTCGATCTGGAGTAAAATCCTATCAATAATGTTCAAATGTTTCCTGTGATTTTTTTTTCTTTCAATGATTGGAACTTACACAGCTGAAAAGCGTATTATCAGATAATATAGATTTAACAAGAATTTAAATGGCGTTTTGCTGTCAGAAAGTCAGTAGACCCCCCTCAGCTTTTAATAAATTTGGTTATTTTGTTAAGCAAAAAATAAACCCCCAATAATCAAGGTGATTCAACTTTTAATGGATCAATTCATTTTATTAATTTCACAGATGAGTTGATTCCGGTTAAAATAATCTCGGGAGCTATATAGTCTAAGGAAATAAATTTATTTAATAGGATCTTTCATTCTTTTCTGAACTATGAACATTATGACTTTTTTGAAAGTATTCTCTTCGTAATCTTGTTGTAAATGCAGTTTTGGGTGCGTAGTAACTTAGTAAGGCCTAATAATTGTGTTTTGATGACTGCATGAAAAGCAGCCAATGACAATGTGTCAAAAATTTGTGAGGAATATGAGATGAGGTGCCATTTTGTCACCTAGCACAGCATCTATTTTCTAAAAAAAACATATACTCCATTTTTCTTTCTGTCAATTGGGCCATAATAATGCGAGTACATACAAGTACATCATCTTTATTTGGCACTCCATCCATACATTACAAAATCCATTTGACCATGCACTCAAAACAAGGGGGTTAATTTTTTTTAGAATGTCAGAGATTCCAAAAAGTGTAGTAGGTATGAATCAATCGGTAAGCTACAATTTTGAAGGTTATATGCTATCCTAGCAGCTACATAGGAATAGGAAGCATTAAGATAGCTATAGTACGTAGCCTTAGGCTAGCTGAGCTACACTAACTGGATTCTGACACAGCCCAGCCATATATAATAAATGTCAGCATTGTTTTAGTCAGAAATCCTTTGACAAAGAGAGATAAACCTCAGTGATTCATGCAACCCTGGTGTGCATTGTGATATTTGTCCCATTTCATTCTGCAGTATAATCGATAAATGCATTCTCCGATCAATTTCTATTCTTCTGGAAATTCAATAACAAAAAAACCTTGAAATGAAGAGATATTACTGATAAACTTTGGTATACTTGAGCCCTCCGTCTTTAGTAGATATATTACCTAACTCAAATGTATAAGTTCAATACAAAGCTCTGCCCCTGAGATGCCTGGGTAGATATCCCAGAAGCGTAAGAGCTTTAAATTAAATCCCAAAACATAGATTTGTCTGTGTGTTTTGGCATTATGTGTTTTGTAAGCAATGCTTTGTCATTTAGTACTTGATAACCATTTGATATTTACATTGAACATAGTCAAATTAAAGGCCCTACTTTAAATTAGTTGAATTCTTTTTTCTGTTTTTTCTCAGATCAAACCAATGGTTGGATATAGAAGACTTTGCATCGAGATTTTGTGGAGTTTTTACCATTGGCAAGTGAAATGATTTTGAGGATGTAAGCAGTACATTGGTAGACCAAGTACCGGTACATCAAGGAAAGTGAAATCATGATGCGGGGTTTACACCCTTCTAATGCAGGGGAACTCCCTATGACCCGGAATATGCCGTTTTCCACAAAAACCATGCCGAGCAAGTCCCACAATCGCAATATGACTGGAATCTACTTGGGTCTTGTAAGTACATGTATCAGGCAAATTATCTTCTATTTACCATTATATGTATGTGTGGCAATTTCAAATTGCAAATCTCAATCACTATTGGTATACTGTGAAATTACTAATTTTCGTGGGGAGTTGAATTTCATTGTTTTCGAGGTCTGGGAAGACCCAGGAATTTATGACCACCACAAAATGTAAGATTTCAAATGCATTAATTACTACTAAGCATTTTCCAACAATGAAATCAAATCCCGACAAACCAATATTTTCCCCCAAAATCTCGAAAATTTGACTGCACAAAAATATGTGATTTTACAGAATGTAGTGCATCATGTTTGTAGGCTTTGAAAAATACATATAAAGAGTGTATTTATTTATGCTGTTTTCATCAAATTAGCACAAAGCTGGAAAATGTTTCCTGATCATGCATACATGTACAAATTAAGTGCTTTGGTTACCGGTATGCTATCCTAAGATTTTGTTAAATATGTCAAAAGATGGATGAAAATGATGATACAGTATAAATTTCCCCTAATCATTATAATTTTGGTTCCATAATCAGGTTTTTCTAGATATGAAAGTATTAGGTAAATGTATTTGCAAATTATTGACTTGTGTTTTCTTTAAATGTCTTGTGTTTGTAAAGTCAGGAGCACCTATTTGATCAGAACTTCATAAGTCCTAAAATTCGGGACGACGTTTTAAGTAGTCATTCAAATATTTTACATATTTTCTATGTTGATCTATTACATAAATAAATAAGTTCTTCATTTTTCAATGAAATGGTTTGCAATCGAGCAGATAAAATTTGACTTTTTAACCCATTACAAGCCTCCTTTTAATATGGAAAGAAATTTTAAAATTGAAATGAAAAATCACAAAAGAACCGTTTTTATTTGATTTTTGTGAGTACTTGAAGTGTCTCTAATCAAAAAATGCAATTCCGTTATTATCTACAACTCAGATTAGAAATGTCATGTCAAGGTACTCAGTAAATGTGTGCACAGGGTGCAATATATATCTATAATCTTTGCTTGGTGACATGCAGGTGCCTTATTTACGGCAATAATGACCATTGAATCCCACGATAAATGTGTCATAAATATCTCTTTGATTTATCAGGCTACCAGGTCTCAAGTCACTTTGAAGAAAATCTTATATTTCGTTTTAAGGCCTGTGTCATTTCAGTATTGGCAACTTGTCATTTGTTTGTTATTAACATATGTGTGAACAAAGTCAGCCAGGACTTAAAAGGCAAGGAAATACACCGCTATCTTGCCAACAATGATATGATAGCTAGATACTGTCTTGTAAATATTTTGGTGCTAAGTTCTCAGTTTACGGTTACCTGTATTATGAAAGTTAATACATTGAAGTTTTAATAAAAAAAAATGAATGTTATATTCTGTAATAAAGATATGACAATGTGAATTTATAAATTTTAAAGGGGCTTTAATTATAGTCTTCAAACATAGCATAGTTTACGAATTGTAATAGATGTGTTTCGATTTAATTATTTTGATTATGTTAAGATTATAAAAATTAAATTCTATATATGTGTACAGTATGTACCTGTTTCTTGATTAATGTATGTTTCTCATTTAATTATGTACAATGTATCATATAACTGGAAAGAGTAATATGATATTTGATTTATCCAGCATTAATTACATGCTTCAAATATAAAAAATAAAATGATTGTATTTATTTTTTGTTATATAGGAAGGCAACATTAAACCTCCAGCTTCAAGGTCACCTAACGTCCCTGTCATAGCCCGGGGGAGAGGAATGTCCCAGAGGATTAGGACCCCCACAGAGCAGAGACGATACGTAAGTGGGGAGGGGGGGGGCTGTTATAAAAGATAGAATATTAATACTTTGATTAGAAATCCATTTATTAAATTTTTTCCTGTTTTAAAGTGATTTTCCAATCAGCACAACTTAGATGTTAAAATGGTATTATATACTTGTATAATTTATGGATAATAAATATTGAAATTGAAATGTCTTTAAATATCATATAATAATCAAAACAAATTAGAAAGCATCTTTAAAAGCAGTGGTTTTAGCTTTATTAGGCATAATATGTCTGTTGAAATTGTCTTTGCATATAAACAATTATGTAAAATGATATTTGTAGTTTTGGTGTAATTTCAATATTAAATTTAAGCCTTGATAAATTGCGTAGGGATGGTATCGTAAAATACTGTAATTGTAGTTAGATTTTTTTTAAAGGATGCTACAATGCCTAAGTTTTTGTCAGATTTCAATGAAACTTGTTACATTAAGAGATTAAATTGATTCTGTACAGTACATACAATAGAAGATGAGAATTGCACTAAAGGAGATGGGCAAACATAGTGTGCAGAAAGCTTTATACCGGTATATAGTTTCAGATATACTATAGACTTTTTAAAATGCTCATCATGTTCCCCGATCTTCTTTGAGCATGCTAATTTATGTAGGTTTCTGTATTTGAACATGTATGTGGGTTTCTGTATTTTGACATGTATGTGGGTTTCTGTATTTTGACATGCAGTTTTATGATTATAATCTTTAAATTACAGAAAATGGTGGAACAGTTACGCATTAAAGAAGAGAAGAGAGGCTTTGTAGGACAACCACTCAAGGTTATAAATCTTAATGACTGGAAAAAGGAAGGGGGATATTGATGTCATTTAAAGAATAAAACCAAGAGACTAGGAGGGGTCTAGTGATTAAAGCCAATCAGAGACTGAAAGCTGTGTAAAACCTAGCTGTTTAAATTTATTGTAATTTATTTTATTTCAATTCTAAGCCTCATTGATGTAATAATTAACATTTTCATTTGAATGCCATGGAAAAATTTCACAAAGGAATTTAATTTTAAATGTCAGATGATAACGAAATAATTATGAACATAACTGACAAGGAAATTATAGTACATGAAATTATTTTTTATGAAATTCAAAATGTCCATGCAAGATTTTCAATATAAAGATTGACCATTATTATCACATTATAAGAGATACCTTTCACCACTAAAATTCCTTTCATGCAGTTAAAATATGGAGGCAATATAAAAGTAATATCATAAAATCTTGCTTTTAATTCTGCACCACCTAAATGTAAAGCAAAGTCAACAGTGTGAAAGATATTCCTCCAAAGAAATTATAAAATTTTGTTTTGGACACTGATTTTTTTTTTTGTGTAACATATTATTTCTCCAAATAAAATGATAAATTCTGATTGGATGGATATTTACGGTAACATTGTCTTAGTGTTGAGTCTCTAACCATGTTTCGATGTTGGTAGTTTCATCTTAGCAGTGCTGATTCTTTCCCTTTTGTAGAGCGCTAGGCGGTCACATTCAGCCTTAGACCCAGAGGAGGTACAATATTTGCATCCCCTTTTATTGGCTTGCATGATTTTACCCTAAATTTTGCATGCATGTTTTTACTAAAAAACGGATTTTTTATTCAACTATAATACAGGTATATAGATAAAAAAACAAATAAATTTACAACAATTTTTTTGGCTAATATACATGTATGATTCAAGATCAGTAGAGCATTTCTGAGCATTTTTTTTTCTGTGTATAGGCCTGATTCATTTGAATACACCTAATCAAAAATTCAGAAACATATAGTATTTTAGTCTATCTAACTGTTTTCTGTGCAAACACAAGTACTTTATAAATTAGCCTGTCTATAACATTAGAACAGTTGGCGATAGATACAGAGTTTTTGTATCCTTCCTTTAGGTACCAACATTTTTGCATTATGTCCTTGACCTTTGACCTACTGGTATACTTTTATTCTACATTTGTAAAACATTAATAAACTTTTGCCATGATTTTTGAAAACTTTAACCTTGACTATAATATTTTAAATGGTTGGCAATAAGACTTTCATACTTCACAAGTGTATTGCTTTTCACAAGACCTGCCTTCAGAAACCAAGAATTTTGACCTTTGACTTAAAGAGATCGAGACAAATACTGTAATAGTAGTCAGTACAGTCTCAGTTTATTATGCATGAGCAAAAGCAAGTATTATTCTTATGAGTTTGCACACACATAAGATACGTTGCATTTAGAAATTAAGCATATATAAGACTTGAAATAATATTGATAAATGAATTTTTTTTATTTAAATGAATGAAAGGTGATGGTGTGCATGAGGGGATTTCATTTGTTGTATATTGAAATTAACACATTAACTGGAGTTTTATGATTTTTTAAATTTTTCAAAATTTAACACATTAACTGCTTTTCTGATCACAGTAAACTTTTATGAACCACTTTTTTGACCAAATAAATTTTTGAAAAATTGTTAAAATAAAGGGCCAAGTCCCCTCACAAGGGGAGATAATCAAGAAAAGACAAAAATAGGGTTGGGTCATTAAAAAATCTTCTTTTTTTTTTCCTAGGGTAGTGTAGATTCTAAATTGTTAAAATCATGACCCCCGGGGGAAGGGCGGGGCCACTGGGGAATCAAAGTTTTACATAGAAATATATAGAAAAATCTTTGTTCAAGAACCACAGGGCCAGAAAAGCTGAAATTTGCATGTAAATTGTTAAAATCATGACCCTCGGGGGAAGGGCGGGGCCACAATGGGGAATCAAAGTTTTACATAGAAATATATAGGAAAAATCTTTGAAAATCTTCTTCTCAAGAACCACTGGGCCAGAAAAGCTGAAACTTATGTGCACATGGAAGGATCATGGGGTAGTGTAGATTTCAAATGTCTAAATTATGATCAGTTGGGTAGGGTGGGGATGCATTATGTATTAAGGGGGAAATCTGGTAAAGAAGATTCAGGTGAGCGATGTGGCCCATGGGCCTCTTGTTTTTTTTTTCATTCCCTAGTTTTTCATCACTAATGTTGATAGATTTGTTATTTGCATGTTTTTATTGATACAGTATAAATATTAAGACAAAAAAGGATCTATTTCAAATATAGATATTCATCTGCAGTAATATTCTGATCTTGATGCCCAGCTACTATAACAGTCCCTGGGATATATACATGTACATTATTATATAGGTGTTCATCATGTTTTTGTTTATCAAACAAATGTCTTAGTTCAATTGTAGTAATTCACTTGCACCTCATTTAGTTACCTTAATTGACACCCTCTTTGTCCTTGACCTAATTTTTCTGATTCTATTTTTCTCATTTTCCTGAATATTGTTAGAAAATTCCTTCATTCATCTTCATTCTGAAATATATCTTGTTTAGAGTCCTTACCCCACACAATCATCTTTAATGGACATAATATTAAAATCAAAGATTATTTTTAATATCTCTGTTGTGTGTTATTTTTAGAGGAGGAAAGCCTTAGGTGCCCCCGAGATCCTGCCCCCAGCAGATTTAAGCCCCAGGACTGCGGCAGCCAGAAAATGGGGCCCAGGAAAAGCAGTGGATAGGAACCAGTTTTATGACTTAATCAAGTAATTTCAATATACTTACAACATGATAAAAAAAATATAAAAACAAAAACCTAAAAACTACTAACACATAATTGTCTAAGATATAGTCTCAGGAACAAATCATGTCCATAATTTAAGAAAAATTTCAGGATTCAGAGAAAGATTCATAAAATTTCTTACACAAATTTGTTACACAATGAATGATTGATTATTCATTACATTTCACATTCAAAATGTGCATTAAAATTAAAAAAAAAAATCATTAATCTGTATATGTTTCCACATTTGCCCTGTAATGGTTTGAAATTGTCTTGGCTTTGAATTTTCTCAAATATTTTACAACTGCCACTTCATACCTGTATTTGATTGAAACATGAATCAATGAATCAATTTTTTTTTAAATAAGACAGTTGTGAAAATTTAAATTAAGGCACGGAATGGCCAACAGTTCATCCATTTTTCATGTTAAATAATATGATGACCCTCTTTGTAGAACAAACCCTCGCAACTATACAGTGGTGGTGAATAATGGAGTGACACGGTCAGAAAACTTGTCAGGACTGATGAGTTTCTCCATGGATCACCCAGACGGAATCCCGCAAATGGTGGACACTCTTGCTGAAGAGGTCAACCGAATCTCAGCAAAGGAGGAGGAGGCAGTGGGCCTGGAGGAGTGCTTCAAGAAAGTCTGCAAGGTCAGTAAATATAGGTCATAATCAAGGTCAGTATAAATAGGTCATAATCAAGGTCAACAAAACTAACTAGGTCATAGCAAGGTCAGCAGAAATAGGCCATATCAAGGTCAGCTAAAAGTGGGTAACAAGGTCAGCAAAAATAGTCATAATCAAGGTCAGAGAAAATAACTAGGTCATAGCAAGGTCAACAAAACTAGGTCATGTCAAGGTCCAAAAAAAAAGTTAAAAAAGAGAGCAAAAAAAATAGGTAACAACAAGGTCAGTAATTAAAAATAGGTCATAATAACATTTTGTCTCTTTGGTACAGGTTGGAACTATTATAATATTAATTACCCAGATGTGAAATAAAAACTTTTTTGGGGATATGATATCCTAAATGAGATATGAATTTACAGTGCAAAAAATTGAAACTTTTAATTTTGACTTTAAGGATCATTAATCTGCATCAAAATACTTAAAAGGAATAACTTTAAGCAAGCAAGTATTTTCTGCATACCTACAGTTTGTTGGATTGATCCCAAAGAAGTTATTAAGGAATGTCCAATGGATCATAAATAATGGCCATACATAGTGACCTTGCATATGTGTCAATTAATTTTTGTTAGAAATATGAATGGTGAAGATTTTGCTGTTATAAGACATATTTATTCCTTTACTCACAATGCAGATTCATTATGGCCTCATCTTTATTGCAGGGTAATGTGGAATCTCTCCAGTCTCTATTTCCATACAGAAAACAGCATTCTACTCTCCAACGGGAACCTTCACAATTCAGCACGGGATTTACCGTCAGGTATATATAGCTATTGTAGACATAGAGACTCTTGTTTCTGTATAAAATGTAAGAATGAAATACTGTAGATGTACATTTTTCCATCCGATAATAATTTACTTCCTACGCTACTCTGGTGCACGTGTATGGTCACAAATTTCTGCGAAAGTTTGTCTCAATGTATTGAAAGTATTGAAAGTATAATTAAGAAATCTACAGATATCTAAAAAAATTATTATTAGATTATTTTCTACCGGCATATTCAACAGAAATTATTATTCCCCAGAATTTTGACTTCCTGGAAAAAAGTATGTTTACGGTATTTCATTTAAATAAATATAGATAGTTATATACATGTTGATAGTCTTTATTAAGAGAAATTGCCAGTGTATTTGTATTTGATCTAACTTTGTCTTATTTTATTACATCTTTGGATATTTCTATACACATGTATTAATTAATCTCCTTAACATAACGTTTCCTTCATTTATTAACAGCATTCACTCCTCCGTCTCTAGGCAGCCCTACTCATGTCCGATTCGACCCCCTAACACCCCCAAGACTCGCCCTGGAACCTCCTCCACCATTAAGAGGGGTCACGTCGTGTATCGGAGCGCTAACTCGGCGCGCAGCATCTCTCTTAGCTTCACTCAACCTGTGTAGTAGAAACTTGGGCCATTCTTCTTTGTAGTAGATAGTTTTTGTTGTGTGAATAAGAGTTACTTCCCTTTGACCATTTCTCTAAGCTGAACGTGCACTCATGTTTGTGATCATTTCATTATTTTGGCATTTTCCTTATCAAGTTGTCATCATGGAGACTTCCAGTGAAATCAATTACAGGTAACTCGGGCTGTGATTGGTGCTTGGTTGCGCACAGCTTTGTTGTCATGGTTACAGGTCTGCACGGTCCAATGGTAGCAGAGCCCTATAGATGACTGGTACTGACTTTGCACTCTATTTTGTGATGAATAAAATTTTAAAAAATTACCAGCAGGTGGTGGGAAGGCATGGAATACCGGTACATCATTTCCTTTCTTGTCATCTGGTTCTGAATTGCAGGGTTGGGTTTTCTGTGTTGTTTTGATATTCTAGAATAGGAATCTGAATTTTCTAGATTCCTTATGATTTCAAAATACCATATGTGTAAATATAGGTATATTGTTCTCACACTTTAAAAAAAAAAATAATGGAAGCTTTTATCATGCATTAGAAAAAATAATTTTAAAATATTTCTATTTTACATTTTGACATTTGTCTGTTTGAAATAAATGTCTTGAAGGAGTAATTAAATGTACAACAAACTGATAAAAGCTTCCAGTTTGGTATTGTCTATAAAATTATATTTAAAAAAAAAATGAATGTTATTTTATGTCTTTTATGAAATTTTTATTTTGTAGGAGTTATAGAAATCCAAACCAAGCCGAAATCATGGCCAACTTTTCTGAGGGTAATTCCCAGCGCCCGCGTACAGTGCCTGTCGACTCTACACATAATCGCCCTATAGTTCCTAGTCCATACTTCTTCCGTCACTATAACAACCCCTACAATAAACTTAACACTAGTGCCTCTAGTGCCAAGTCTCGCAAATCTGCACCCTCTCACATCAATTTTGATGGTAAGTATTAAAAATTCTTAAAAATCTTAATTGTCATTGTTTAATTAATTTAATAATGTCTAATTATTAAGTTCATGGAGGCTATTCTTACCTAGTGAAGCAAGTCTGTCCATGAGCCTCTGATGATGCCTAAAATGAACATATTATGACATTACCATACATGTGTTTCTGTATTCCTTATGCGTACATGTATTCTGAATTTTTATTGGTTGAGCAGATGTATGTTGTCCATCAGTTGTAAACATTTGAATATTTTCAACTAATTTTGGTTAATTGCATCTATGGGTAACAGGGAAGCAACATTTTGAAGTTCATGGGCCCTACGTCCCTGGGGCTTAAAGGATGTGGACAAAATCAATGCAATTTTCAAAAATCTTCTTAACCTCTGGACTTGAAGATTGTCTTGTATAGAAATTTGTAATACAGTATAACTTGTTTTCTCTCTCCTGAAGTTGAAGGAGACATATGAATTAGATAATGATTACTGATTCCTCACCAGGCTGTAAAATAGTTGTCACACACATCAGGTATTCCAGCTTCAAATATAGCCAATGTGATTTTTTCCTAAGACTCTAATGATACTCAGGTGACCATGAAGGCCCATGGGCCTCATATCTATCATGGAACCTCTCAGATTTTGTAGCTTGAATGAACATTACATTGGGAAGACAGGATAGTGGGATTAGCAAAGGTTAATTTTTGAAATCTGAATCTTTTAATGGAATTTTGAAATTAAATGGTACTGTTTATTACACAATCTTAATGTCATTAAATGATTTTGTTTATGGGACGCAAAATCATGAAACTTGTGTGAGAAAGTTAAGACCATCTTAAGGGGCTATGACATCAGTTGTCAGTGAACTATAACTGATGAGAACGGGGGTTGATGAGGAGGTCAAAGCAGTGATGAAGAGTTTATAGGAGACTTGTGATTATAAAGGGCTAATAATGTCATTTACCTCTGACCATCTGTCATTGGGGATAGTGATAGAAAGCTGGTTATAATCGCGATATGTTTTCTATATATATTCAGAGGAGAGAAAAAAAATGCGGGTAATGTAATCATTAGTTGTCCATATCTTATACGATAGAGTGACCTGAGAACAAAGTATGGATAATGGATGCACATTGTATGGGCTGTCATTGACTAAAATTTGTATGTAAAATGGGCAAGATGATCGAAAGAAGAAAAGAAGGTCAGGATTGGGAGACTAGGTCTTGGGATGGAGGGTGGGGGTATACATAATTTTTGCTCGGAAACAAATTTTAGATTTCATTCCTGTAGAGATCTGAAAATTAAAAATGACACTATTAATTACCAAAACATATCTCCAGTTATCTATGACTTAAACATTATATTCATTCAAACATCATGTATACTGGTATTTCATTCAATTATATACATGTATATACATGTATAAGTATTATTGATGCAGTGTCTAGTACCATAATGTGATAGCACATGTTTGTCGTGGTGAATTTTGATTGCATGCTTATACAGCGATGGCATGATTTAGAGCGAATTTAAGTTTTTATTTTCTGCATGCATGATGTTTGTGATTTGACGTCAGTGCTTCTTTATATTTTTTTTTTTGGTTGACCATACATATACTGCGCTTTATGATATTCAAAATCCCAATATTTTTTATCAACTTTTCATGCATGCCAGGGAAACAGTGACGTAGAAGTCAATATTTCTTTCATTTTTTTTAAACAGAGTTAAAATCAGATAAGTAAAATTTGCCATCCACAAAGAATTGTAGTTCTAGTTTGAATAACCTTAACCCTTGCTTTTCTGAGGTCCAGTAACACTTTAGGAGAAAAAAATTAAAATTTTAAAATTCAAAAAAGTTTTAAGGGAGCTTTGAGATATAAGACGAGGAGGAGAAAACTCCTACCTGCTTTCACTGAATTAGATCATAATTGAATTGAAAAATAAAAACAGCACCAGAATGATTTAAGTAGACAGGAAGAGCTATTTTAGTTTAAAATATTGTTATTTTTAAACTTCATTTCTTTTAACATTTGGAGCTGCCAGCCTCTAGAATTGTGCCTGCACAATTTGTATGATACGTGAGATGCAATGTATATAATCATGTTACCCTTCCCACATGTATAATAAATGTTTTGGTATATTATCTCCACTACTTTTTAGGTACAAGCACAACATTTCTATCTATGAAGTGTGTTATATAACCTGATATTATCTTAGTTATATGGCTTTCATCTTTCTTATATATCATACAGGAAATGGTAGATAAAATCAATCTATGTTATCTGATATGAATTAATTTTTATTTCAATTTCCTCAGCGTTACTAAAACAGTCTTATTCATAGGAATGGCATGAACTCTTTAACGGTGATTGCTTTTTTACTCTGAAAATACAGCCACCAGGCCATTCTAATCTAGCAGCATTGCTTCTGCATGGCATAATGCTTTTGTCTCTGAAATGTCACGAATCGTGGAGATTTCGCATCTCCCTCTCTGGCCAAGCTCAGCATCAATTTGAAGGGGATTTTGTCTTGATTTCCTCCCTATCTTTTGTGGGGAGATAGAAAGAGGAGGATTTGAATTTATTCTTGAATTAGAGAACTAATACAAAATCACAAAAGAGTAGAAAATAATTAGAGATCAGTAGTTGGTAAGAATGATTCCGAGGGTGTTTGACAAGTAATATATGTTTGCACACGTATGCAGTATCCCTTCAATTAGAACAAAAAAGTCAAATTCCTTTATTTCATAATCATTTTCTATAAATTTAGACATATACAGTGTTCTTCCATTAAATTTATCAGTAAATTTCAGGTAAGACATAATAAGAAATTAATTAAGATCTTAATTGTTATTTTGTCCTCAAATAATGTATTTTAGTTTTTAAAAAAAATACCAAATGACATGTCTTTTGTATAAGGTTTTTTAAAATATGAAATGAGGACATGATATTTTAAAATATTTGTTTCTGATGTGAATTTGACCTTTTAGGTCAGCTATCCTCAGTTCCCGGAACGTCACGCATGGCTGCACTTCCTGGGGCTGGTGCCCTGTCACGGTCCTTGAAATCTCGATCAGCGGCCTGGAGTGAGAGTGACTTCAAGCTTCATGGAAAGCTACATGTAAGTATCCCCTAGCTCATCAAAGCATTTTATAGCTATATATATATGTTAGCTTTGTTGTTTTAATATATATATAGCCATAATTTAGATGATTCTCTAACATGGATGTGATATAAAAATGTTAAGTAGCTTTTATAAATACTGTATTTCAATTTGGAATTGAAAGTAATTGTTTATTTGGGGGGGGGGGGGCTCAGAATATTAATTTAATCAAGGTATGTCACTCATGAAATTTGTTAAATCAAGGATTTTTTATGAAGTCTTATTTTGGATAAGTACCAGTACTCATATATGTAGTATATGACAGGGGTCAGTGTGTATATTACTGAGCTACGTACGGTACAATTAAGTTGACCTTTTTGCACTTAAATTTTAACTTTTTGGTTAATTACTTTAACCTTCATCATATTTTATCAGATGTAACGATGGCAAAAAATATAATCTTATTTTACAAAAAATAGTTTGAATAATATTTATCATTGAACAAATCTTGCAAATTAATGCGCGTAATTTATTGTTTTACCTTTTTGCACTAAAAAGTAACATATTTGGGGTATTAAAAATCTAAATAGGAAATAAAATATTTGCTTGTTTCAAACTTTTTACGATTTAAGTGCTGATCATTCAAAAGTATCAAGAATTTTAAAATAACGAAAGAAAAAGTTGGGGTCAGTGATGTTAATTTTGAAATATTGGTCAAAACATGTACCAGGTAATTTTCAGGCAAAAAACGGTGTAAATTTTATCTTGACTTCTTTAACATATCTTCATTTCTCAGCAAAATTTGATGAGGGAAGGTGTAAAATTTGTTCTAAATATATAAATTGAAACCTTTATTAAATATTCATAGCATATCATAACGGAAAATATTTCCTGAGTAAAAGTATGTGAGACTAAAGTTCCAAGATATTAAAATTAAGAAATGTGCAGATTTGCAGAATTTTGTGTTAAATAATCTTCCACCACAAGAAATAGTCCCTCATAAATCTTGCTTCTTTGTGGATTTTTGAGCAGTTTTTTCATCAAATTTTGAATAATTTACATAATTTTAATATGTTATAAAAATTGAATTATAATAAATAGTTTTGAAGTAAGAAGCTCTGCACGAACTTTTCTAAAAAGCTGACGAGTGACATACCTTAAGAGATAATTATTTACATGTAAAATATTAAGGTATATCATCCCTCTTCCCATTGGTTAAATAAAAATTCCATAAGGCTTATGATTATACAGAAAAAATATAATTGAAATACGCACCATACTAGCATACCTTCCAGGACAAAATTTTACAGGAATGGCCCTTGGACTTGACAGTTTTATTTTTAGGAATAATGAATATTCATGTATTGCCAGTAAGAGTTATCTTTCTCATAAGAGTATCATTGAACCTTAAATTAAATGATTTAAGGAACAAGCATTTTCTTGTTAAACTTCATTTAAATTTAGCAAACTGCCAATTAAATGGTAACTCTGATTCATATTTAGAAAAAAAAAATGCACTGGAAAAGTTTTCGTTTAGCAAAAAAGTAAGGCATTTTTTTTAGCTCAATAAACATGCAGATACATTAATCCATGAAGCATTATTTATATTTTTTGTGCTTGAATATTGTACATTACCTAGACAAATGAAATTTTTTTCTCGATAACATTGTCATGGATAACACATTTTAGCAGATTTTAATCTTGCTATACACGCACACATACTAATAATCAGCTGGTTTATATGTAAATCTGCTTGTGGCCTTTTTCTTACAGCTTCTCTTACATGAGCTATTTTTCTGCATACTAGGATATTCGTGAGTGAAATATTACTTTAAAAATACTGCATGCTGCATGACAGGGCAATTTATTTCTCATTTATTGATTGATATTCACAATCTACAATTCGGTGTCTTTTCCTAAAAATACATACTCTTTAATGATTTTTCCCTTATTTTATTCCCCCTTTCTGCAGGTCACTTATTTTTATCATGATTGGATGTAATTGGAATCTTTATGGTGTGTTATAGAATGTGTTGCCAATCACGTACAAATTGAGATCTGATATTTCGGCCTTAAGCAATAGTCTGTATAGTAGTGTAGGTCTGCAATAATCTCGAGCTAAGAAAGCACCAAATCATGAACAGTTTGCCTAACATTTTTTGACAACTGTAGAACTAAAAACAGCCATATTTTTACCTGTAATCAAGTGTAAGAGACTATTGGTATCATGTTCTGAAAAGATGATATGGATAGTCAATCAGAATCTGTGAGGATTGACTATTGGGTGTGAAAAGGGGCCAAGACGAAAATAAAACCACATTCATTAACCTTGATGAATTGATACTAATGAAAACTTCTTGTAATATGAGTAAAAAGGGGCTATAGTCGCTGCTGAAGAGACAAACAATAGATTCTTGATCTAGATAAAATGGCAAAAATAATCATCCATTTTTCTCCAAATCCTTATTGAGCAAACACATGTTAAGAACAGGTTGGTGATGTTCTGTCGATACATCATTGATTGGCTCTGTGGGCCACTTATCTCAGACTCGTAAGACTGGTACGACCAGATTATCAACAAACACTACAGCACCGTATAAGGTCTTTGTATAAAAAAAAAATCACCGATCTCAATATCAAGGATGTAAACGCTAATAACATCTGCTTTATTGGGTTTTTTATTATATTCTCAACCTTTTATTAATTCCTACTCTTATGACTGTAAAATTGTCCCAAATATTTTTTTTCCCAATAACTTGCTTTTATTACTACGGATGCATATAATTACCATACTAGCAGATTTTATAGATTCATTTATTCAGAAAAAAAGGAAAGGGGTTCTTTTGATATCATATTCAGCCTATTTTAACTAACTCGCTTTTTTGGGGAAGCTGAAGGGAACAAGATCAAAAATAGAAGCATCTTTCTAAAATTTAAAATGCATTGACATTAATTGGGGATCACCAAATTTCCTGTTTATCAATACAGCGTCAGTGAAAAAAATATTTATAGCTGATCCTAATTGTGTCGCGGGTTTGAATCCACCCTGGAATGTGGAGACCAGTCCTTTGGTTAAGACTGGAGAAATCGAGGCCATGTGTTGTACTGGTGTTGGCAGAAAAAAGATCCCTTAAATCTTCATACGAGGGATGTTAAGCAAAAAACAAACAATATGGCCCAGAGATACACCTATATAATTATAGATAAGTCAGAGTTCTCTGATCTTGAGGAAGTATTTCTAATAGATGTATTGATCCAGTTTCCAGTTTAAAAAACTTGGAGATCAGATTTAGGATAAATAATGCAAGGTTTTTTTTTCAGAAATAGGCAATCTTTTTTTTTAAAGATATATGTTTAAATTGGTAACCTGAATAATGTATGTCAGGTATTGTGGGAGCATTTTGTAAGATTTTGAAATAAGGTTGAAAAAGTTGTTCAAAATTTTGTATTGAATTATATATAGAGCGACAAAAAGTGAGATATCTAAGCAAAAAGAAAGCAGTGAGAAATCTTGGATTTCTAGACTATTTTTCAAACATTGCTTATTTATATATTTAGATTTGAAGGAAATTTCTTGAAATGAGTAATTTCACATTATGAAAATGTGTTAATTTTGAATAAAGAGAGTGGAAAAGAAGAAGACCACATGAAATTACTTTTGTATGCAGTTTAGTATCTTACATAAAAAATTGTTTAGAGAGGACGAGATGACTTTTGCATGAGTTTGATGTTTTGCATGGGAAAACTTTGGTACAGAAATTTTCACAGATTTTTTTTTTGAGTTGGTTAAGTTTTATGTTAGAAAGAGTGAGAAATTGAGTGAGTGAACAAGAAAGAGAGATCAAGGTAGAACGAGAGAGAGGGGAGAAAACTCTTGATTTGGATTTTAAATTTCAACAAATACTGTATTAGCATACATGTATTAGGTCAGCACATTCAAAATTAAGTGCAATTTTCCTTTTCAACTTGTTGGTGCAATCATAAATAAGCACACTTGATTATTGCATTATGTTAATTACATTTTTTATTCATATATGTATTTAATTTAGCTAGAAATCAAGACATGATCAACAACAACAAAAGGAACTAAGATATAATAACCTCTAAAATAAGTAAAATTTTCAGTACAAAGAGTTATAAAGTAACTGAAAAAACTTCATATAGAGAGACCTGAACTGATCATAGATATTATTTTTTGAGTTTGTTTCAGGCATCTGATTATTTCATACTGTCATTTCAGGGTACTCCAAGAGAAATCCTACCTAGACCAGAAGAGAACAGTGTTATGGAGTCTGTCGTGAGAGGTAAGGCTGTCTGTACTGTGAAGTAGAAGCCATGTTCTGTAAATGTAATAGATTTGGTGTGTACAATATTTGGCGATTATTAATATTTCAACAAGTTAGCATAGATTTGACTTAAAGCTATCTAAATATGCTTGATATAAACCTATGATGAACAAGACATCAAGAGATGCGCACTACACTGCTAAATGTAATACCTTTACTGTATATGTTACTTCCAGGTAGGAAGCCTTTAATACAAGGGTTGATCCAAAAGTAATATCACAATAGCTTTAAAGTCTTTAATAATCAAAAATTATTTTTTTTATCTTTTTGAAATGTTGAGATAAGTACAATGTTTATAGTCAAAAGAAATTTTCAGGCAAAAATCAAAATAAATAGTGTTATTAGTATTAAGTCAGAATTTGATGATAACATTGAATTATTAAAGATTTTATAGCAATTGTGACATTACTTTTTGATCAACCCTCTCACAGAGTAAACAAAGTTGAAGAGAAGTGGGTGATACAAATTAAGTCATATTCCTAAGTACAGTAGAATTTTAATCACATGATAAAGTACAGTGAGGAAATTAATCTACCGGTAATTGTCTGTCTTAGACAATGATAAAAAATAACATACCTTACAGTGTTTTTCTTATAGAAGCCCCACTGAGAGAATGATAAAGTCTGGTGTTTGGGGGAGAAAAGTCTTTAGAGTTTAGTTATAAGAGGATTCTGTAAAGTCTTTCGGTCATAAGTGGACAACTAAGACAGTTTTCTTGGTCAATTTTTCAGGGAACTGATGTACATCTGTGTTTGAATTGGCCAGCTCATAAAATTAGAATTACAGTATAGCTTTATAGATACCATGCTTTATTTACTAATATAACCCAGAAGAAATGTTTTAGTACTCTCAACATAGAAAGTTTGCTGTTTGTATGACTTGTGATTAAATTTTGACATATGTTTTCTTGTCATAACACAAAGCTTTCTTAATGAACATCAAAGCCAATGACATATTGTGTAATGATACATAATTCCATCGGGTTTCTACAATTGACTTGATGTGTCATCTTTAATATACTAATGATGTATAGTCACTTTGATTACTATTATAATTTGTACCATGATCCTCAATATCCAAAAATACTTGCACAAGTTGTAGTCTAAAGAGACTCTGCTAGGTTGTGTTGGAATATCTCGGCAGATTTTAAACAAAGCAATTTGCATTTCTGAAAAAAAAACACACACAAATAATTTTTTTTTTAAGAATTAGGCAAATCACTGCAGCAGCTAATTTTTTAAGTAATAAGATGAAGCTGATGATGATCTAGATGTTATTGAAGGGGACTCTGGTAGTCAGAGTTCTGTGAAACGCTACACTCAGTGCTTTATAAATCTGGATCAATAACATGTTATAAGACGGGAGAGTGAGATAGATGGATTTGTGTGATGGCTAGTCTCGCACTATCTTAGCTTGGGGATGTTCATGTAAGTAGAAAGATTTCCTGTAAAACGGAATTAATTCTGGCAATTTATTTCTTGAATTTGAAATTTGAAAAAAAAAGAATGAAGATTTATCAAAACCGCTCACCTTTTTTTTTAACATTCGAATCTTTATGGCATTTAATATGTAAAATTTTTCGTCAATTTTTTCTTTGCTTTATTAAAATGATATTTTTAGGTAATATTTTTTACCACTATTTGTCTTAGTAAGTTATTGGTCAAACTTTTGGTTCAAGCCATGTCTTTGATTCTAGTCCAATTTTCAGACACTATTTTAAACAAGGATTTCTTAAATTTGAAATTAGATTAATAGCTGTATATGGTACTTATTTTTCATTTGAATGCAAAAGAATGAAATTAAAAGAAACACAGCGAAATATTTTTCAAGACATCATAACATAAGGTTATCAGCCTGGATATACAGGTCAAACTTGTCACTTACTTGTGAATTTTAAGATGGATATATTTCGGAGATCAGATTTTACAGGGGAAAAACATTTAAAGATTAACAACAAATTTAAGATTTGTATCTTCTTGTTCATGAAGCAGAAGAAATATTTTATCATAAAAAAGTGTGCTATTGCAAGACTAGTATCTGATGACTCTTTATAAGTATTGGGTTGCAAGCCAGTGTCATGAAAGTTTTTATTTTTATAAGAGCCAGAAATAAACCTAACCATATAACAGCTAGATAATAATTAATGATTACACAATCCTGATCTGAAATACTTGGCTGTGAACTTTTCAACTTAAATTATAGTGCCACGGATTAAATCATTAATTTTTTTTAGCAAATGAAAATCATATTAAGTTACAAAGTTATAGCCATATTTAATATTCATAACAGTGGTATAGACTGTGGTGAAAGAATTACAAAGGTCTTAGACAATTCTTACGTAACAAAAACAGGGATAATGTACCTAGCTAATTAACCAGGAGCTTAGAGCGTTACGTCTAATGAAGTCAGGTGATTTGTCGTACAATCTAGCCTATAACCAGAGGTAATCTTACACTGACATCTAATTTTTCTGAATTAATATTATTTTACCTCTTTGAGTGAGACAGCATATAAGTAAGGTATATATTTATTTATTTAAAACATGTATGAATACTATACAAGTTTATGTCTGGCAAATTTAATTGGGATTTAAATTTCTTATCTTTCTAAGAGTGCTTGAGTTAATTTGTATGATTATATTTCTAGAACTCTGAATTTTCCTGATATTTGTAATGTTTCCAAATGATCATTTCATTCATCGGTAAATCTTGCTTCTTAAATGACAAAAAAAAAAAAAATCTGTCAGTCTCTTTAGTCTGTTTTGGATGCATATCTTTTTTCATTGTGTTAGAGATATCACAATTCTTTTTCTGCATGTTTTAAGAGACGAGATCATTGTTTTTTGTATGGTCTATGAACCATGATAAAAAAATATTCAGTCTCGTTAATTTTTAAAACCTTTTTTTGGCCTCTGGAAAGCAAGGGACTTGGCAAGAATAAGACAATATTCATACAAAAAGTGTTTGCCTTTCAATTCGGTTAATGTGTGGTATATATAAAGTTGTCTGTCAAAGGTACGAGAACATGAACTTTGATGTTTGTCTGTCCAAGGGCTTCAATTCACGAATACGTTATTTATAGCAGGGAAAAACCCAAAATAGACTTGGCTTAATGTATCTTTGCCTAGGGTTGTGAAAATATATCTGACTGTTATTTTTATATGCAAGGATAGGTGTAGAAATGCACTCCATTGATATTTAAGAGAAAGATAAGCTTTTTTTAAAGTGGTAAGTTGACTTTATGTTCTTTTTTTCTGTGTGTGATGTTCACATATTTTAGTAAAAGAAGCATAATTGTAATAAAACCTTCCCATTTCTTTGAAAGTGCAGTGTGCATGCTTAACTCACGCAGCACACTAAAACAGATGTTAATATTTCATTTTTAAATAAATTAATTCTTTTGATATCGATAAAAGCAACTTGACATTAAAGTTTTAGGTATATGGCGTAAAATTCATTTTATGAGAAATAAACAAGGTGAAAAAAGATTTCTCAAACATTTTTTTTTTTTTTGGTTATTAATTGTGATAAGATTTATCCCCCATTTAAGAGCAGCATCTAGCATATTAGGGAAAATTCTTCATTATCTTTTTTTGTAATGAATGATATTGATTATACAATTTTTCAGAATACTGAAATAAAAGTTTTAAGATATGCCCTGAATGTTATAAAAAGTTATTTCTAGTTCCACCAGGCCTATAATTTTATAAAGTAGGGTTATTTTCAGCTTCATAATAGTATATATCTGGGAACCTTCTTGGTACACCCAGTTTTATTGCAGTTAATTGCCAAAACATTTTCGAACTTTCATAAGTGACTACTGGAGATGATAAAAATTGAATGTTGTAACAATTAAACAAAAAACAGTGTGATAGCTCGATCTATAGGTTAAAGAGACCAAGAATCCTTGATAATCTTTATGTGAATTTTCTGATAAGTTTCATTTGATATCTATATTGGAATAAAGTAAATCTGAAATGCAAGCTATATTTAAATAATATATTTTTCACAGGTGCCATGATAAAAGGAAGCATTGGTTCAAGTAGGTACATCAGCCCCCCGCTGGTTTCTCTCTCTAATTAGCTGTCATTTTCTTACCCCTCTGTAGAGAATATATACATGTATCCTCTCTTGTAGAGAAATGCAGAGTTTTTGTACATTCAGTTTTAGTATGTTTTATTTATATCCTTCTCTTCTATATACTTATGCATTCAATATGAAGAAAATTAATATAGATGTAATATTGAAGACATAATTCTCTCCAAAAAATACCCCTCTTTAAGCTTTGCATTGGTTTTTAATGAATTTGATTCAACGATCCTTTTAACCTCCATTTCTTTGAAAGTGCAGTGTGCCCCCCCCCCCCCCCCCCCCCCCCCAGGATGTAAGTGCTTAATCAGACTTTAATAGGATAAAAAATTCTATTTCTGCCCTCTGTTAACCACCCTACCCCCACCCCCAATTTTTTTATTCGAGGATACAGGATTTCATTTCATATACCAGTACCCCTCTTTCTAGATTTGTGGATTGACTTGCAAGTGTTTTTTGCAAGACTTTTCTGTTTCTGGTTGTAACTTTTCCTCTCCTCTCTCTGATACCTAATATAAGCTTCTGATGGCTTGTTACGATCTACCACAATGTAGGACTTGAAACTTACACCTTTGAAAATTAAAGTTCCATGACAATCCTAGTCAAAAAATAGATAGATTAACCAAATTCGAACTATTTATTTTGCTGTGTATTTGTATAGAATGTTTCATCGGTTGTGTATCATTGGCAGTACTAGAAACGCATAAAAGATGACGCGAATAATAGTTGGTTTACAGTATTCCATTGGAGAAGTTAAGATCCTTGAGAAGTTATTTATAGACGGAGGAAATCCAATGTTTTACATCAAGGGCCTGGGATCATTCACCATGATTCATTAACCAATCGATGTCCCAGGCCAAGTCATGTTCCCCGATCATTCAGAATTGGCACTGATATTGATGTTAGGATCAGAGGGCTTGTTATGTAGTACTCTGTTATTAACAGAAGCCATCCTCCAGGAAGTACAGATAAATTGCATTTTAAAGTTTTAGAAAATTGCTACTGAGCAGTATTATTAAGATTTCATTAACTGGATTGTTTACGCACCTTAAAATTGTTTGTTCCAGCTGCGTTAGGCTCATTAAATATGCACTGTAAAAAAGGTTTCAGACAAATTGTCGGATAAGTATCTGCTCAGCAGCATTTGTGGTCGAAAAAACACACCGCAGTCATGAATTCACTCAAAAATCATAGCATATTGTAGTTTTTGTCTAGAATTGGAGACGGATGTATAAAAATTCTTGTTCGTTTTTTGAAAATCATCAAGACCCTTTACTTGTCTAACAACTCACGGCTTGAAACCTATAACAATTTGAACTATCCCTAACATCACTGGTATATATGTATGCCAGATGCAATCTTGAGCATGTGGCAAAGTGATTTTTAATGTAAATTGTTAGATAATTGTCTCTTTTTATTGTTTTTTATCTGCTGTGAAAACTTTCACAGCTTCTAAAGTTTGTTTCGGAAAGTTGGCTAAATTAAGTGCTTCTGCCACTATTATATGTGCACCAGAAAATATAAGCCAGAAAGATTCATTGAGTGCGTGCTACAGAGCCATCTCTCTCCCAAGGAATATATAGTATTAGTCTATAGCATGTCATATACATCATAGCAGCACAAAGCCGGCAAAAAGATGTAAAGACTTATTGACATTTTCTTTGGATTATTTCTTTATATTAAAAGATGACACATCGCTAGATGTTATGGTGAGTTAATACTATACGTTCTATGACATTTATTTATTTAAAGAATCGATTGTAGTTAGTGCCTTGATAGATGACTGGGTTTAATGAATATACTACATGTACTTTGATTTCTGTGGACTGACTGGTAAAGACTTAAAATAGTGATTGTAATAGGCTTGTGTTTATAATCGTCTCAGCTCTTTCTTTTAAAATTATTTTTGGATGCTATTTTCTCAAGGCCAGCGAATTTATTAAATAGTGCACATCAAGTGGGAAGTTCCTATGTTAGAAAAGGTACAAAATAATGCTTTCTTGATTATTCAAATTATAGAGTTGAAATGCCTCTTTAATCCATATTCTTGTTTTTTTTTCCAGGCAAATTGTCTGGGTAAAAGCAAGAAGGTTATATAGATTATCTACCAACCCTTAGGAACCCAGAAAAATAGCCATATTTCAACATTGGTGCTATGTTGTCCTTTATATACTTAATCTTTGTATAAGCATGTGAATTAAATATTGGAATTCCCCTGCAGTTAAAAAGTATTTTGATTTTCAAAATTGGGGTTCTAATGAGCTACATTGGCATGCACATGTGGGTGAAATGGGAAAAAAATCAAAAAGTTTCTCTGGTCAAAACTCTATGGGGAGTAAAATTAGTTTAAAGCAAAATGATATATTTTATCAATAACTGGATTTATGATAAGCATTTAAAAAAAAATGCCTAAAACTTTAAAAGAATAAGTGTATGCAGATTTGTAGCAGGAAAAAAAAAATTAAAGACCTTTATTTAAAAGAAAATTAAAAGATGGTCTAGATTTGAATTGGCATATAAATGGTTTTCCATCCAAAAGTGCTGGCAGTATATGATATATAGTACAGTTTTCATTGTTTTCTCTGGTTCCAGAAACACTATTGCATCATTGCCTTATCATCTTCTTGTTTTTGTACAACACTATTTTGAGATCATGATTTGAAAAACTGTCCTGCATTGATAATGCTCAGCATGGGTCAGTTTGAAGCTACGTCTTTTCTAGCCTATAGATATGATTTTACCACAAGATAAGCAAATCCTAGCTTTTTTTTCTCTATGAGCCAATTTACCGTAATCCCAGGCAATATAGCTCCGGCCCTGACGCGAAAAACACTACGAGAGACTTCATATTGTGCTGACATTCAGATAGTAAAACAGTGGTAGACATTTATTGAAATATCTAGGTAGAGGAATGAAAAAATATTCGGAGCTGATAGTGGGATGAACCAGGAACGAACGTCACAGATTGGTGTAGTGTATCAGCCGAGATAACAATTTGATAATTTCCACAGGAAGTAAAGAACAATTGCGGTATGTTTTACATCAAAGGGCACAGGTGCTGGCTATTTACGATTCCTGGCATTTATTTATATATATTTAGTAGATATTGTGAGTAAACTGTACAGTGTTTCAAATACATATATACCCAGGATCAATAAATAGCCGTTATAAGATTTAATAGCCCCCAAATTATGTGAATGTAAAAAAATCATAGTGGAATTTGAGTGATGGAAGATCATTAACTTACTGGGGATTTACAAGATTTGAACAGGGACATTTTTTTATTTGCTTATACGAAGTGGACATTCTACAAGTGGACAAACGGTTCCCAAATTTATTACGTAAGTGTCAATAGAACCATTCATGTAGGTACATACAGCATAATACAGGTTACAACGTTGTGTTAGTTTAGAGTGCAATGAGTTATGCAGATTTTGATGGTTATATATGCTTTTATCTGGTTTAGGAGATCTAAATTCAGTGATAGAGCTCTTGATGTGGCCAGGTTTACGACATGTTATACATGTCTATAAGTAGATAATCTGTAATCTATAAGTGTATTGGATAACCTAGCTAGCTAATATCCTTTGTTATCGGAAAACTTGATTGATCTATCAGTGAGCTGGGATTGAAAACGTTAGCAGTGAGTTAGTCAAATCTTCATTTATGTATTACTCATTCAATGTTATTTTTGAGCTATGCATGTATAACCATTAAGCTGAATTTTATTTTATACATTTCTGACTGCATAACATTTAAAAATCCATACCGTTCTTTGATTTTTATTTTTAGTAGTATCTTTTGAAGTATTACATCATACATCATACATGATTACATCATAGTGCGGGTTACAAATACACCTTCACAAATCCGGAGCTTTTTGGAAGATACGGGTTTACGTTAGTATAATATAAAACAAGTCAAGGCCTGTAATACTGTGTGGTTTCCTGAACGGATTGTCTTGGGAAGTGTTTCTATGTGTTTCAGCCTCTTATAAACATGTTCCTGTGGTTTGTAATGTAAACACTGACATCCTTTGGTGGGAGATTAAATTATTAAGATTTTGACGGCCCTCTATTGTTTATGTGTCAGAAGTGGAAGCTCGGGATTAATCCAGGTATGCGGAAATGATAACAAACGAACAGTTTTCAGTAAATAATTGTAAATTTGGTGTAGCAGCTAAGTTCTAGGAGTACCGCCTTGATGATAATCTTGTGCATGAAGGATTTTAAACTTTCATTTTTTTTTTATTATATTAGTATGTAAATGTTTTCATAGGAAAAAAAGAAAAATAGGTACCTACTTTAGAGATGGAGCTAAGAGAGAGAGAGAGAGAGAGAGAGAAATGCAAATCATGATGGATATTGTGAGAAATGATTTTTTAAAGGGAGGATTAGTTATTTTTTAAAAATTCTGCAACAGTTAACAAGAGATATTTATAGAATTTCTTATATATCAGTTATCAGAGTTTTTACATGCTTGCCTATAATTTTTTCCTTGGCAATTGTTTTATAATTTCCTTATTTTATTTATAGAAAATCTTTAACTATCATCATTACCAAATTTAGATGCTACAGAATCAATAATGATGCCATGAATAGACTATTTCTGCTACTTTAAATAAATCTTGCTTCATTTCCAAACAGAATGCATGCAATCAAAAATAGGAGAGGATTTAATTGTCAGGTTCTTATAACTGATAAAGAAAAAATAACCTCACAATCCAATAGATGTTAGAGATGCTCCCTTTCTCTCTCTCTCTCTCTCTCTCTCTCTCTCTCTCTCAATCTCTCTCTGCACATCTCTCTCTGTCTCATGTCTCCTCTTGGGTCATGATTGTTTGTATACTGTCACTCTTAAGAATTTTTCACTCGTATGGAGACGCCACCTGGCACCACTTGCTGATGGAGACCGAGCTGAAATTTTTGTCCTATGCTCGGTACTCAGGGCCATTGAGCAGTGAGGGATCTTTTTTGTTCCAACACCAACTCTCTTTCTCTCCAAAAGACCGGTCTCTCTCTCTCTCTCTCTCTCTAGAGCAGATGCTCTAACCACTTCACCACCTATTGGATCATGATGATCGAGGTACAAGTTATGAAGTCTAAGACATTGATTTTGGTGTTTTGCTAAAGGGTATGAAAAGGTCTGTATAATTCTTTTTGAAAGGAATCAGATCTTTACCAATCTGTTTTTCCCCAACATCCAGATCCTAATTACTTTTTTTTCCCTTCTAGATCACCATGGTAATAAGAAAATTATATCAAATGACAATTTTGGTTGATCAAGTACATTTTGTTAATGCTTTTATTTGCTGTGTTAGCATGATCAATTTGTATAAAGAAGTCACAACAGGACAAATTTATTAAAATTACTTATAAAATATTAAGACTTTAATCTTGCTCAATATTTGAGTTGATAAAGCAAAAAATTTATGCTGTCTTATCAAATATATTCATAATGGGTTTTGGTTCAATTTTAGCATGCGCAGTCTTCAATTAGCAGAATTAATTGAAAAATTTCCTGCCAAAATAATATTACACGTCTAATTATGATGAATGAGCTGAAACACGTCTGTCAGAATTAGCAGTATCGGAGTTCCCGATACTCTGATGTTGCAGCATCGAGAAACTGGTGATTTCTCCGTTCCATAGAATACCACTTCTAGTCCACAAAGATTATGTACTTTGGACTAATAGCATTCCAAATTATCAAAATTTGATTTAAGCATCAGGCGGTCTAGAGTTGATATTGCCCAATCAGTCAATAAAGTATTCAATACGTAACTTTCTTTACATTTAATAAAATTAATAATTCATTTTAGGCAATAAAAGTCTTAGATTTTTTTTAAAGTGTTTGTCTGGCTTAAACAGAGCCCTATAAATATGTATTTAGCAGTGATTTTTTCATTTCATTTACAAGCATGTTTAAAGCCCCAGCTTTAGATTACCCTGGTTGCATTTGCGTCAGAAGGGTTCAGATTTATAATTTAATGTCGGGTCATTTTTTGCTCCATCGCTTTCATGTAAGTGACAATTTTCTTTTTCGTTCTGTAGCGTAATTTGGTAAATATTCTTTGCTAATGGAAACATGGCTAATCGTGTAGACTCGTTCTTTTGTCAATATTGAAGTTTGAAGAAGCAGATTTACTTTCATGACTTACTAAGAATAGACTTCATTAATACTATGTATGTGGACAAGAGATTAAATTCCATGCATCTTTAAGGATCCAGCATTAATTGATTTTCTTTTTCCTTCTGAAGGATTCTGGTAAAGATTTTTCAGTTTCTTCTCATAATGATGGGCTACTTGTCTTGGCTTGAAAGGAGAAAAATGCTATGGGCTATTTTCTTAATGACTTCATATGGATTTTTCATGATCCTGTCTTTTGTAGTGTATACGCAGACCTTTTTGGACTACACTTCGTTGGTGTCTTTACGTGTATAACTGTGCCATTTAATTGCAGTCCATTTAATGTGGTCAGAAATTTGTGGGGGTATTTAAAGCTTTACCCTGTTTACGTTTTTCATTCCTATTATCAGATTTAATTAAGCAATAATGAATTAAGCTTGCGGAAAAGTGTATTTGCTCAGTGTAATAACTTTCTAGTTTGCGGTGAGGAAACTTTAATTTCCTGAGGGCCTATAGGATAAGGTCTCTACTCTGGTGCAGAACTATCAGATACCTGCTGAGGAAATTCTGATCAGAAATTAATTAATAAAAAAAAGTGAATGTGAAAGCTTCGGATTCAGACCTCTGGGTCTTTGATGTTTGAAGAAGACCTGAGGAGCATGTTGTTTTTAATTTCTTGTCTTTGACTTGACTGTCTCTTCGTAAAGAATCGATCTACTGCCAGCTATTGATTACAGGCACCTATAGTGTGCATCATATTTCTTGCTGCTTTACCGGTAATACATTCCACAACAAATGAAATTTGGGGGGTAAGGGGTGTAATGATTTAACCTAGTGTCCTTAGACAGAAGATTTCTCTAAAAGTTATAATCAATACTCTCTCTTTAAATCAATTAATATTCTTTTTCCTTAACTTTGCAGAAATGTTAACATTATCTATTCTCTTAAATCTTACACCTTGAACATGTATTTTGCAGATCAATTTATCACAATCTCAAACAGTTTTGGGTTCATAGGTTTCATTTACATTTCTTCCTTGACAACATTTTCATCTAGGACATCACTGTTAACTACAGAAACTTTAAGCTCACTTTGTTCAAAAGTTGCTTATCCAGAAATATCAAACCAACTATAAAAACCAGACCAGTCAAGGTTAAGGCAAAGCGGCTTTTTGAGAACAAAATTCTATGACGTATTAAGAGAAACACACAGATTACTCAAGGCCAGGAGGTCTGTCATATTCCTAGGCTAAGGTCATATGGACAAAAGGTCAAGGTCATATGGCTCATAAATTTTTTAATCTTACTTTATTGGAGAAACCTGACAAAAAAGTATTATCTTATTTAAGGAAAATTACATGCCATTAAGACAGTTCTAGTTTCTCTCAGATTATAGTCTGTGAAAGTAGGAGAGAAAATTAGTATTGATTTCAATTAATGTAATTGATTGATTTCTTCATGTGTCTTGATTGATTTTTTTTTAAAGTACATGTACTACTGTGTGCACCAATATAATTGCTTGCCAAGACATTTTGGTCTAAATGTAAAACCTTTAAAATTACAGTCAAATCCCAATTAACTGAACTAATTTAAGAACAGCTGTAAATTTTTCTTCATTCATTATCTGAAAAAGAGGAAGAGAGATTGAGCTGTATGATTTAGGTTTTACTTATAATTCATTGTCTGACAATTATAGACAAAAGCCTTCGGAACATATTTCAATCCATTATTATTTTACGCTGATTAGTCAGTGGCTAATTGACAGCAGTAGAGTTGTAATTGACACTCGGTGTAAGAAACGGAGAGGGAAATGCAGCAATTTGCTACCGAATTCTAAATCTTGCTGAGAACTCATAAAGCTTACCTCGGAACAGTTTACGCTGATAAGTTTGGAGCATGATTTATTGTCTGTGTCACTCTGTCTTATTTTTCAGGTTAACGTATAGTTATGATAATGATAACAAATCATTTTCAATGTCTGTGTTTCTTTAAAAATGTTAACAACAAGTTATAAAAGTGGAAAATGAGCTGCATATTTTCTCAACTTATGCAAAATACATGTATCAGTGATAACTGTTGCTGAATTTGAACATTATGTTTAATACAAACTAGGTATTTCAAAACTTCTAATAGAATAGCCCTTGACATTTTCTTATAAGGATTGAATGCACCTTATTAAAATCTAAATTGTATGACTTTCTCTTTGTTTGAATTTTTGAAGAAAACAAATGTGTAATTTAATTAGTTTCATAGATTCTGAAATTTTATGGATTAGACAATTAAATAAAAATTATTAAAGATTAAAAAAGCAGTTTCCATGATGAGGACTGAAAATTTACCATTGTTATAGTCAAGAGTTTGGGATACATGACACTCTGATGTAACAAATTTTACTGTACATATGTGAAAATGTTACTCTTTAATTTATATAAATCTATTTTCTGTATTGGATTTTGCTTGCATGTACATGTGGACTAGGTATATTTTCTGCTCATTAACTTGATTTAACATTAGAATGTTAAGTTTTGGGATGGTTTCATACAGGTTGTTGTAACATAGCAACATAGAAAAGGTAAAATTAGGCAAATTTTCAGAATGAAGGTACTCGCTAAGCTGATAGAGAGGACAAAATTTTATGAGAGAGGATCAGAGATTCAAATCTAAGGAATTTTATGAGGTGATAAAACTGCCTTTGTCCAAATCAGATTTCACAAAATATTTATTTTTTTGTAGAAGGAGGAAAACAAGTACAAATCTCAATGAAACTAAGCACCGGCCAAGACTCTGGCAACCCCCCAGACCAAACCAACCCCCCCAACAAAATGATGGACACCGTGGATAAGACGGAGAGAGAGAAGAAGGACAACTTCGAGATCGAGGTCGCAGACGAGCACGGCAAAGCCGGCCAAGTCGAGATAGATTCACCCGAGGAGGAATTACAAGAACGTACGTAAATCGTAACAGGTTTTCGACGACCTGTGCTTCTACTAGCATATTAATCAGGCTTGCAGTTTTCATTTTTTATGTGTTTTAATAATGTTTTTTGTATCTGAATTTAATTTTTAACTTTATAACTATACATGTGAATTGTTTTTGTGTTTCTTAATATCTTGTATATGTTTCAAAATTTAATAAGCATACAATCATCTGCCTACTTGTAGGATCAATAGAGTACAATTACGGAATAGGTAAAAAATCGTTACTTTTCAGAGTTTTAAAAAATTCACCAGGGATCATTTACTAAAGATAAATGAGCTAATTTAATTGTTGTCCCTACGAAAAGAAAGCAAACAGAGGAATTCGTGATCTGTTTTTAGCTTTTTTCTAATGTTTCATGTTTTTTAAAATTTATATGATCCACTGTCAGTTTTGATAGATAGGCGAAGCCAAAATTAACCCAATGTATTCGTAAAAATTTATCACCCATGAAACGGTTTCACGGTACAGAATGTTTCAGAGGATGTTTTTTTTTGTGTGTGTGCACTATTGTAAAGATGTCATTCAGTACTGCACTTTTGTAACTTCTGAGAGATTCCGAGAGAGAGATAGGGATGAAGTGAAATACTTAGATCTGGTAATGTAATTGTCCTTGTACCAGTATTCCCTTGGTTCTTGTTCAGACAGAAGTTGAAGAGTTAATGTGTTCTGTTCAAGATCATTGCTCTATTATTGTTTTATGTAGCCTCAAACTGACAAATCAAAACATTTTTTGATGGTTCATCTCTCTTTGCTGTAGAAGATAGGGTGAATAATATGTGTATTTTCTGATAAAAATATAGGTAAGGCATTCACCTTTATGGCGAACAATGAATTCTGATTTTCTTACATGACGTACTAGTGAAATAATATCGCTCAAAAGCTAGCTACCTCAATCTTCTTTGCGTAGATTGGATTTCTTTCTTTAATCAGAAGAAAAGTATCAAAATTCAATCTGTAGGTACATTTAATTAACCTAGCTTTTGCAAAAGAATCTAGACATTTACCTGACTGCAGAATCAAAGGTGAATTACAGTTATTTGGTACTATAATTTCTACAGGGAAAATAAAATTGGAATCAAAAGGGTGTGGCTTAAATAATAAGTCAGGAAAAAGTAACCTGGTAAATGAATATTAAATTTAAACATCAAACGGAGGTTAGCATCAACTTAAAATAATTCTGCATCACTGCAAACTTTTTTATAGCATGTTCTCTATTTTGCAACACAATTTGAGCATATCTCGGGAAATGTACCATTTTTTCTTTTTTTGCACAATTGAGACACACATTTTGTTACATAATTTGAGCATATCTTTAATAAATGTACCATTTTCCTGAATGTATGAATGAAACACAAAACAATTGATATGTTTTCCTGATCAATGGGTTGGGTCGTCAAGGGGCGGAAAAGCAGCAGCAGAGGAAATTAGTCTTCAAGATCTCAAGTAGACATAATCGTAGAAACGAGACAGTAATAATATCTGCTGCTCTTCCCAGAAGAATATCTATGCAAGGAGGAAATGAAGAATTACAACTGCTTTCAATGTAAAAAAATAAAAATGCAGACTGCACATTTTGCTGAAAAAAAAATATTGCTGGAGAAAATTAAGTGTGTTTTTAGCAGGTGGTCTAGGTTGATTGGTAGCAAATATATGTTTAGTTATACATGTACTGGTAATTGTAGAAAATTGTCATTCATTGATTCATTTGTAATACCTTCCTATGTCTGTTATTCCCCTACAAAAAAAGGTTCTTGGTACTGAAGTTAATTGTCTGGGCTTGAAGGTCATGAAGGGGTTAGAAATTATACAATACATCCCAATCTCTCCTTTCTTTTAGCCACACCCATTAAAGGCAATGTCCGTAAGACTTCAATAAGTGAGAAAGTGGAAAGGACGAGAATGTCTGAGGCCTACATTGAAACCATCAAGGTAATCAACAGTTCTCTCCCCTTACTTTTGTAGCCTCTAATTGTCTCCCCTTTTACTAACAAGTTAGCTCTCAGCAAAGAAGTAGCATGTTCTGTATGATAAAATTTTGTGACCCTACACAAAAAAGCATGTTATGATAAACATTTGGTTTGAAAACTTTGTAGAATTTTTTTTGTCCAGCATGATTGCTTTTGTCTTCTGCATGTAGATATTGTAAAGTTTTTAGTTCACCTGAGCCAAAAGCTAGATTGAGCTTTTCTGATTGAAATTTGTCCATTTCCTGTGTTGACCGGTCGGCAGGGGATGCTCACTCCTCCATGGCACCTGATCCCACCTCAGATGTTTTGGAGGTCTGTGTTTGCTCTGCTTCTATTTTGTAATGTTTTATATGGACTTTTGAGCTTGAATACTGTTCATTATCTCCATATATTTCGTTGTTAAGCTTTCACATTTTATCTTTTTCTCCAGAAGCACTGAGACCATTTCAACCAAATCTGGCACAAAGTATCTTTGGGTAAAGGGGATTCAACTTTGTTCAAATGAAGGGGAACACTCTTTTCCAAGGGAAGATAATTAAGAAATAGGAAAAATTGTGTGGGGTAATATAAAGATCTTCACAAGAACAACTGGGCTTGAAAAAAATGAAACCGCTAGAGCTTTCTAGGGAAGTGAAAATTCAAATTTACATATTCAAATCATGATGCCCATTGGGTATGATGGGTTCACTATTGCCATTCTAAGTTCTACATGAAAAATCATAGGGAAAATCTTGAAATTCAGAGCCATGAGTAGACATATTTGTATGGGAAAATCCTCAGGTAGTGTAGATTCAATTTTATTAAACCTATGAAACCCTGACTAGGGTGGGGCCACTACCGGTGATTGAAGATTTACATAGGAATAAGGAATACATAAAGACAAATCTTTTTTTTTCTTTTTTAGATGAATGAAGTCAAGATTAGTCATAATTGTATGGAAGCATCTGCAGGTATTGTAGATCAAAGCATGATCAAATCATGACTGGATTGGGAAGGGTTGGACCATATGAAAGGGGATCAAATTCTAAATTAAGAAATATCTAGGAATAATCTTTTTCTGGGGAACAGTAAAGCCTTGACTAGTCATATTCATATAGAAGCATCCCAACATTCAAGTTTGTTCAAATCATATGACATCCTGGACACAGGGTGGAGCTGGGGAATTGTGGTGCCACAATATTTTATCTTTATTTTACATAGGAATACATAGGGGAAAATCTGCTAAGAAAGAATAAGAGCCATAGTTACTCAGGTGAGCATTGTGGCCTAAGGGCCTCTTGTTATTTTAGACATCATGAGAGGACTGATAATTATGGATCTTGCTTGATAGTGAAATCTTTTTGTATGATTACTATCCTTTTCTCTTTATTAAAAGTCAATGCTTCATTTCTTTTACTTCTTTTTCATTTACGTCATGGCTAACTTAATTGCCTTATAGGTAAATGGATCATCAGATACACAATAATAAGGAATAGTTTGTAAGAGAAAAACGTATTGAATAGTTATAATGGAAAGACGTCATGTTACATAATTTCTTACTGACTTGGGTTTCAATGGTTGGATTTGCCTAGATTTACAACTGTGTTACCTTTAATGAATTTTACTGTTAAAAAGAAAAGCCTGTTACGGACTTAGAATATGTCAAATATTCCTTTTATGGACGAACATCTATATACTGAACAAATAAATATTGTGTAGTTTAAACTTATTACATGTGTTTCCAAATTTACTGAGCATTAAATTTAATCTTTGGTGAAATGGCATTCTGGCCCTAATAATGGTTTGTTAGTAAACAAATTTATTACAAAATAGTTAAGTATGGGTATAGACTAATCCACAAATCTGCTTTTTGAAATCCTTAGCAAAGGGGATCATTTGATTGTTTTTAATATGAAATAAGGTTTCCTTTTATCCCCTTTATTTGCCTTAATGAAATAAGAAAATGTGTTTTGAAAATTAAATTTAGAATTAATATGTCTTTTTCAAAAGTTATAAATGAATTTTCTCATGGTAATCATTTGATATCAACTTGATAAGGCTGTAGGACTTGCATTATAAGTGGAAAAGATTAGTAAAAAAAGAATATGTGTTTGTGAAACACTGATGCCCCTGAAAGGTAGCTTATTTTTCTCAAATGGAAGTCAAACTCCAAGGTCAAGTTCAAAGGGTCAAAATTGTTGGTATCAAGAGGAAGGTCTTTTAATTGACAAGAGAAACACTTATTAATTTAATCCCTAGTACTTACTGCTCAAAAGTTATGGCCAAGGTTAAAATTTTACAAAAAAAGTTTTTCACAAAGTGAGTCACACTCATAAGGTCAAGGTCAAAAGGTCAAAAATGTTTAAATGGATTGAAAGGTCTTGTCACAATGAATACACATGTGAAATATGAAAGCCCTAACACCAACTGTTCAAAAGTAATGGCCAAGGTTAAAATTTGGGGGTTTTTTTTGTAAAAATGGGTCAAACTCCAAGGTCAAGGCCAAGAGGTCAAATTTGTTGCTACCCAAAGAAAGGTTTTGTCACAAGAAATACACCTGTGAAATATGAAAGGCATAGCCCAGCAAAAAGTTGTGGGCAAGGTTTAAGTTTTTGCAGACAAACCGTAATTAAAACAGATAAAAAGACAGACAGACAAATGGATGCGACAAAAACTATATTCCCCCGAATCTTAAATTACGAGAGCATATTACGAGTTCAATTTTCATTGTTTCCAGAAATTCTATAAAAATTGTATCAATATAGCCAAATGTTCTGGTAAAAAAAATATGGTTTTTGCAAAATACAAGCATTGTTAAGGTTGCTCCATTGTTTTGTTTTGATACAATGAAAAATAAAGGTTGCCTTTAATTTGCTTTGACCCACTGCCTTTGCTGTGACCCATTGACATTTAAATGAGCCAAAATCATGTTCAATATGAAACTATGAAATATTTGCCTGTTATTAATTGTAAAACATTTATTAAACTCAAAATTATTCTTAAAAAGATGTTCTTTGTCACAATTTGATTATAATTAAGGTTATGTAAATACCAATGTTTACCAAAAAATAAAATTTCTGCAAAAATATTTTGAAATATCTCATCTGTAATTGGAAATTACAACTCTGATTCCATGATAATACCTTATAATACCCAATGGGTTCACATTTATAACGTGAGCCACCTCCTGCAAGCAAAGGACAAGGTTACCACTGACGTCATGGAGTTTAATAGCCGTACAGCCTCTTGTCAATGAAAATAGATTAATTCCAACAGAAGTGTATGAAAAACTAAGACACAGAGAACAAAATGACTTTATATTTGCCTTAAAGGAGTTAAACTTTGAATGATTGGCTTTCATGAAGAAGGTATAAAAATATTAAAACTAAAAAGGCATGCTGCTTTTGTGGGGTGAATTATGAGTGATGGTGTGTGTTTAGGTAGGTGATAAATGGTTTTAAAGCTCTCACGGAGAGGTAATGACGACTTGATAGTGCTTTATTAGTCGTTAATGAGATGGTTAACCACATCTCCCTCCTATAAATCTAGTGACCAAGTTCTCCCAGGGCTGGGTATATCATTCTCATCTTACCATTCAGTCAAATAGTTTATCACTGTCTGTGTGTTTGTTGGTAACCATGATATTGAAATACATTGGAAAACTTTCTATTGTTAAAATTAATGTCCTTTGATAAAGTTAATTAATCAAATTTTTATTTTCTTAAGAATCTGTTGTATATACATGACTGTATATATTTTGACCCATGCATCGACCTCTTGTGCCTATAGTTGTACATCAAAGATAAGTTCAAATCAATACCACATCAAGTTTCAAACTAATTAACTAATAACAATAATATTACATGTACCTGTATATCATGTATATTAAATGTATAATCTCAATGAAATTTTTTTACAGGGAATATTTCCTTTCAACATTATCTGTATAATTTAAGCCCATATATTTTAAAGCCAATCATTAGCAGGATCTTTAACTAGAAAAAAAGGTTTCCAAATTTTCCAATAATTATTATACCCTGAATTATTTTCATTTATACAGTTAAGGCCATATGTAGCAATGTAACTTTGGTTTAATTTTTTTTTGTCTGTGACTTCATCAATTCCTTGTCAGTATTAAAAGGTTTGCAGGGCTATTTGTTTTGCTTTATACTTTTGCCTTCTTAATTTTTTAATTGTCTGAAAATTTAAAATCACAGAATGCAATTTATTATTTAACAAATATTTAATTTATATCATTTTTATTTATTTACCTTTGTATCGTGATGTAGGCAACATAATTGTGGATTTGCAGAAACCTAAAATCAATTATGATATGCCATTTTAAAAAAAAATGTACTTGTATATAAATATTTCCCTAAAAAAAATCTCAGATATTATATTGTACCGTAATTTTTGGGTCATAGGTCGATGGGGTATATAGGTCGAAAGGCTCATTTTCAGCCTTAATTTTTGCTAAGATATACTGTATAAGACGAGGCTTTGTTTCCCGTTTTCTAAAGATTCTTCATTACCGGGGTAATGCCGTGACATGAACGTATCAAGAAAACAAACAGGTATTTTAATGAGTACAGCATTTGAATAAAGTTTTTAAAAAAAAAATGTAGTTAAAATTTTGAATATAAAATTTGTTTCATACTGTTGTTAAACCAGAGGCATAAATTAAACACGTTCTTACTTTCTATAATGAGATGACTAAAATCCATTTTGAAAATTTAAAATCACAGAATGCAATTTATTATTTAACAAATATTTAATTTATATCATTTTTATTTATTTACCTTTGTTTGTTCTTTGTATCGTGGATTTGCTAATCATGTATTAAACCAACACATGTTGAAAGGTACACACATAATTGTGGAATCATAAAAATTTGACAGATTATAAATAAATAAAATAAAAAATATATAAAATGTGGATTTGCAAAATATATTTCTCTCATTTTACACATAAATAAATATAAGACTGTCACAATAAAAAAAAATAATACTATTTCAATTTATCCATCTACTAATAAAGTAAAACAAATGTAAAATCGTATTTTAAATTTTTATGCAAGATGGCTACCGCATGATGGCAATGGATAACACGTTGAAAAAAAAAATGTACATATGTAATGTATATAAATATTTCCCCATAAAATAATGAAAAAAGTTATGAAAGTGGCACAGATTTGCTTTGAAAAAAAATCTCAGATATAATATTGTAATTGAAATACATGTAATGCACATGAATGACAGGCAGCAAATGTAGTTGTATAGTTGTACCCTTTTCCCACAGTGCATGCATGGGGTACATAGCTCAATTTACAAATGGCTAATAAATGAACAATATTTGTGTTGTCCTTAAAATAAGTTTTCATGATTTTCAAATATATGCTTGTAGGAAAATGCTGAAAAGAGGAAAAAGCAATTTGAACAAATGCTGGATGAGCATGCAGAAATTGTACAGGAAATCGGAAAAGCAGGGAGCAGGGAGGATTTAGAAGACCAGAGAGACCATTGAGCCCTCCCGGCATCTATCCCCCCTACAATCAAACCACTGTGTCATTGTACCACTTGGAAGACAACATGCTATATATATAGACGTGTTACTATATAAGGAATCACATTTAGTGGGTTTTTGTGATAGAATTGCCATCTGATATAGAGACTTCATCATAGAAGTGATTATGAACAAGAAAATGACCATCATTTGCAGTTATTTGTAAACTTTATTTAGACTCTGTCATTACCTGAGCCGACAGGAAACTGCCATTAGATATCATCTACTCCATTTTGTCTTCCAGACAACAGTTGCTAGGAGACAGGACGCTGTGATAATTTTATCGCCATGATGACAGATTATTTCACCATGGTGACAAGTTGTAATTATATTGGATATAAATGTCTTAGTTTTCACCCTCCAGAGATAGCGGCCATTGGCTTCTAAATACTGGAATCTCATCGGATATTCATTATTAATAATTTAAGAAAAGTATTTTTGGCCAATACAGCATTGCTTTCTTTATTGTTGCAGGATGTCGACTGCAGCAATATATAGGAAATCTGTCTTCAGTCTGAATTCATAGAAGTGCAATTTCATTTTTTTTTTAGTACGGATTTTTTTCTGAAATGTCAACAGCTTTTGAATGCTGTTTGCATTCAGTCTGTATAGAAACAAAACCATTTTATAAATTCACCAAAATAGAAGAAAAAATTATTTTTAGAGTTGATTCTAGCAATGGTTTCATTGAAAGAATACATCTTGTGTGTTAATTAGGACTGGTATGTTTGTATCTTATTTACTATGGCATGTTTTAAGCTTAAATCATGTTTTTACATTGAAAAAGGAAACATTGTTCATCCTGTTACACTGAGTGAATGCCTTGTGGATATGGTGTGAGAGTGTCATTAGATATAATAGATGCTCAGTTATATAATTGATATATATTCACGAGATATAATTGTGAGATGTTGGTATAAATATATAGGGTCCACATTCTTGAAGAAAAAAAGAGAATATAGTTTTGAATCAATAAGGGTATGACTTTTTTTTGTAATAATGAATATTTAAAATAATTTCAGCTTGATTGTAGATCAATGACAGTTATTTCCTTGTTTTTAGAAATATTTAAATGAATCTTTAGACAAATACATTGCTTCTAGAAAATTTAAAGCAGGTTAAAGTCAGATTTTTTTATACTCCAAAATCTAAGGCTATCTGTATAAAATGCAGTTGAACTTCAATATCGTGAACACTGATATCTGGACTACCATGGGTTATACTGATTAAGTGATTTGGAAGTCCTAACCATGTATGTCTTTAGTGTTTTAAAATTACCCTTGATATCTGGAATCCTTGGATATCTTTTTGGGTCCCATGGAGTTCAGGATAACAAGGCTTGACTGTACTTGTAATGTTATACTCAAACAGCTATGCAGAGGAAAATTCAACTGAAAGCTTACCATTTCGAATTTCCCATAAGTTTTTTTTTTCTCTCATGTAATATTTTGCAATATTGACTTTTGATGACTCAATCTGGTATGAATTTTGCTTGGTTTAAAGGTAGTTTGCACAATTTTAACAATATGAAAGTGCACACAAAAATTTTAGATTCAAATACTGTATACAGGGTTATTTTCGCCCCGTTTTATTTTCGCCCTTTCAGACTTGCAACCAATTTTGCCCAGTTTTAAATTTGCCCAGTCACAGTTTTGTTTAAGAAAATACATTGTATATTTTTAATTCGCCCCTTTTTAAATTCACCCCTTTTTAAATTCACCCAAACAATGTAAGGGCGAAAGGGGCGAAAATAAAACGGGGGTGAATATTTCCCTGTATACAGTACTGTGAAATCACTAATGTTTGTAGGTGTTAAATTTTCATGGGTTCTCTGGTTTGGAGAGACCCACAAAATTTAAATTTTCATTCGAATAACTAACCCAACTCTCCTTTATCCATGAAATCAAATCCCCATGAACAAATTTTTTTCCTTAACCCATGAAAATTTGAGCCCACAAAAAGTTCAGTGATTTTAACAGTAAATGCAGTGAGCTTTAGAATCTACGACTCTGGCCTTCGAGATCATGATATGAAGGAATTGTGGTCTAGGTGCTGAGACACCCGTTTGTAAAATGTATTGTTTATTTTTAGCCTGTGACCATTAATCATTACAGATTAAATAAAGTTACTTATTATAGATCTAATCACCTTGTTCTTCTTTTTATTTCCAAGATATAAATTCAAATTCTCTGAGGCGATGTAAAGATATCAATGTTTTTGCTATCCATTAGTGCCAGTGAGTACATAATGTTAAATGAATACAACACAACCAATGTCAGGGCAATTTAAGGTCATTACCATGCGGTAACGATTCTATAGATTGACCATGTCTGTCCACCTCTTCAATGTCTGTCAACTGTTTTGTTAACGTCCATGTTTACTATGGTCCCCTGGCTAATGTCATTTATAGATCACTTGTCAAGACTGCATGGCACAGTGGTTAGAGCGTCTGCTCTAAAGTTAGTTGATCCTTACGTCATGGGTTCAAATCCCACTGGGGGACATAGAGACCGTTCCTTTAAATACCATATAAACCATTATTTCCTATCTAGCTTGTAACACGAGCTTTGATTGGTTACAAAGTCGGGTGTAAATGTCCGTGCACCCGACTTGAGCCGGGTGTAAATAAAACGTGACGTCACAATGCATAGTTTTTCTATAATACAAAGCAAATCGATATGTTGAGACACACTCTAAAGCATTGTTATGGGTACAAAGGAAATAAATTCGTTATCCAGGTTCAATCAAGGGTGCACGGGGATTTACCCCGGGTTGTATTCCATACACCCTTCGGCCTTCGGCCTCAGGGTGTATGGAATACAACCCGGGGTAAATCCCCGTACACCCTTGATTGAACCTGGATAACTAATAAGGTCCTGTTTTACAGTAGATGCTGGCACGAAAAAAATCCCCCACAGCTCAATGGCCAAAATGCTGAGAATAGGTAAAAATTTTGCAGCTTTCTACTGGCAAGTGGTGGCATCTCCATATGAGTGAAAAATCTTGAGAGGGACTCAAACAACAAAATTAAGATATAAACTGAGAACAAACTTGAGTCAAATTTATATAGCTTTTAATTTATATAGTCATGATTGCATTTGAATATTCAACAAATTTGCAATTGTCTAATTAACATTAGACTAGTAAAAAAAAAAAACTTCCATCTCTGCTTTGGATGAATTCAGATCTTCTTCAAATTTTACATTTAATTTATCCAAATAATGCAAGGTGAGTTGACTTTGACCTATAGATTTGAAATTTTTTTTTGAATGAAACATTTGTAAATTCTTTGAAATCTGACAAGACCATCTTTAACGTTTCTTATTTTTGCATGTTTTGTATTTTGTTAAACAACAATTTCAAAGGCCCACTAAATCAAGTGATGTTACACAAACACAGAAAAAAATGACACTGCTACCTTGTGAACAATGAATTAAAAGTCTTTATTTTCACATCAATATCAAACTTTGTTAGATTATATGGTAAATGGACATCAAGACTTGATCTAAACATTAAAAATGTGACACAACGTAACATGTATTACAGAATCCACAGAGACCGAATATTGGCCAATAATCATAAAAAATTCTTATAAACCTGGTAAAACATTATCTTCACAAACAAACAAACCAAAAACAAAAGATAAGAAAGAAAAATAATTCATTAAATAAAAACAAACAATTGAAAAAAACAAAATTTTATAGAGAACGCTTAACTAAGGGTCATAACTCTGATTCTAGGCTAGCAATGACTATTTGTTCGGATAAAAAGATTGTCCATGTATTAAAGTGGATAAATTTACAGTAAAATACTTGATTACTATCTTGAAAAATATAAGGCTAGTAATATAAAGGTAAATGTAAGGAAAGAGGAACTCTCTATCACATTTTTTTCCCATGCCCAAATATATATGAATTTCAAGACAGTAATTCATGCATTTTGTTTACCCTGCAGTAAAGTTTTACACATGATGTCCAAAATGAGCTATATACAATACAAATGATGTTATAAATGATGTTTTCAAATACTATGAAATGCACAGGACTTTTACTGACTGAATAAAGCTTTGATTTACCTTCAATTGGTCAATGCAAGCAGTAGCTGCAGGATAAAATTTCATAAAAAACGCATAAAAATTTCAATGAAGCAAATTTCTGACAAATAACAGAAAATCTTTTTTTTCGTTAAAATAATATAAACAGAAGATAAAAAATATATATATATAAAAGAAAGGAAAACATCATAATAAACAGAACATCATGATACTTATACAATACAAGGTTGAAAACCTGGTTGTCTCCCTTACACATGTAACAGAGCTCTAGGTGCTAATTTTGGCAAATGCAGCAACTACTGATCGGCATAATTTTCAAAAATTATTCAATTTTCTCTAGATCAAAAGCACATTTTGGTGCTTGTTTGTTCAACCAATTGCAAAACAAGTAGGAATGCAGAATAAAATCCTCTGTTAATAAACCAATCCAAGACTTCTATTAAATGTTACATACATGTAATTATAAAATTTTAAAAATTTAGAACAGTATAAGACTTTGATTATAGAACAATTTTTTGTAGCATTTAATGATTAATAGACATTTAAAGTTCAAAATACCAAAGATTGGGTTATTTAGTAGAGTGTTAATTATTTTAATTAGTTAAATATTCAGTCTTCTTCAAAGACCAGAGACAGATAGGTCACTTTAAGTTTGAGATCATACTTTACATATACAGTAGTCTTGTTACAAATTATCCTAGTCCATTTATACGATAATATAAAACTAGAAATATTAAAGCACCTTTTTGACATAGAAAAAAAAATGCATAAACCCACACAAACACTTCCTGAATTTGAATGGAAACCAGTTATCAGAATAAAATTCCACTATCTTTGCAAATAGATATTCTCTTCATTATTTTTAATACATGTATTAAAAACATGATAATGAAAAAATAAATAAAATGCATGAGAATAGTCATTAAAACAAGTGTTTCATGGATGCTGCATCAAGGGGGACAACTGCTACTGTGAGACAAAAACCACATATGTGGAAAAAGAACTTGACATTTATACCCTTATTACAATGTCTGAGGTGGTTGATCTCCAAGAGATGTGAGTATTCTTTTTCCATCTAATCATGTCAGCAAAGTGATTTATTCTATTATTAACTCACTTCATTAACGTCAACTGTATGTCTTAACGTGCCGGAAATGTCCCTGTATAAAAATGTAATTAGAACATGAGAAATGGTGAGAAATTGAGTTGTCATCTATTCATAATTGTGAAAACATGTACACATGTATAAAGAATTAATAATGTTCTAGGTGATATATATATTAATTAAATCTAGAGGTCTACTTTACCGGTTCACCTGCTAGGCACCTCAAACACTCTGATTGGTTATTGTTATTATTGAGGCCCTGCAGAGGGAAACTGTTGATGGGAAAGTTGAGATTATTGCCCCCTGTGTGTGGCCTCTGAGATTCTGCCTGCAAAGGAAGCATAATAGTATTTTTAATTCCAACAAAAACATTTTTATGGCTTATGAGCCTAACATAAACCACTACATCATAATTTCGTAAAATTTAAATTTCTTTACTATATCATTCAACAAAATCATTTATGGGGTATACTTGAACTCCACTTACCCAGTAAGTGAAAAAAATGTTCTTTAATTTCTTATCACATAATTCAGCAACATTTTATACGAAAGGGAGGAAAGTTCCTACTATTCATTTTTAGCGAGACAGCTGGCTAGAGCTCTTTACTTGAGGTTTACTGTTTCAATTAACCAACTTCATTCAAGACTTTAAGATTTTAGCCTCTCATGCGTATAAGTCTCCATGGTTTTGACCCCTTCAAGAGGTTTATAGAGAAACTGTTTCAGCCATCTCCATTCTACACAGAAGTAAATTGATTGATAGTATTTACTATTTTGTTTTTACATCTCAACTTCCATTTGAGAATTTTTCACTCAAACAGAGTGTTACTACAAATTTTGACCTTTTCTCAACACTCTGAGCCATTGAGCAGTGAGGGATCTTTATCATGCAAATGCCTGGTGCAGTGACACTTTGCCTCAGTTTTTAAGGTTTCACTCAAAAGACCCACAACTTTCACTTCAAAGTGCAGAGTGCATTGTGAAGGAACAGTTCATTTAAACTTTTTTTTATTGATGTAGGTTAGTTGCTTCTGAGATTTGAAACAACGACCTTTCAATATCAGATAGCAAGTGCTCTAACACGTTACCGACTGAGCTACGTAGTGTGCGGAGGTAGAGAATTTTACTTGAAGTACCTGAGGTGTGACTTCCATCTCCTCTGTCACTTGAGATTCCTGCTGTGTTAAAAGATGTAACATCTGCTGCCTTTCTAGAATATACATGCATTGCTTTTTCTGTAAAACAAAAAGATAATGGATTAAAGAAAGTATTTAATTTCCCATTTGTATAAAAAAATTCTTGCATATTAATGGAATTGCTCCTGGATTAAACTGTATTATATTTCATTTAAAAAAAATGGCTGGCCATGGTAATCTCCGGATACCACGGGTGCACCACAGGTGCTCATTATTTTTTTTAAAGAAATCATCGTAGGAACATACTAAAGACCTGATATACTAAAGACCTGATATTTTGACCTGATGAAATATAAATTATCAATTTAAACTTTTATTTCATATTTTTGAGGAAAATTATTGATGATAATAGCTGAAACTTTATTAAAAAACATTTTCAGTGGATACTATGTAGATTATTTTGCTATATACTATCAAGGTATATTCACAAAACTTGATGACCTGATAATTTTGAATGACCTGACATTTCTACTTTAAAGACCTGATATTCTTAAATGAAATGGAATTGCTGCAAATATTCAAATTTTATAAATTTTAACATTATAACTGTTTTATTTTCCTGAAAATATGTAATATAAATAATAAATATGCTAACAACTTAACTCTCTTTTCTTAAAAATGTCTTTTAATGTACCTTCAAAGATTCGTCAATGCCCTCAATGGTAAATTTGCGTTTCGTAGACATGTCGTGTAATATTATTGATCAATAAAAATACAACAGCATGTTTTACTTCAGATTTGATCAATTTGAAAATTTCGGCGTGGGTTTCTCTTTCCTCTTTCTGTTTGTAAATATTTTTCTAATATTCAAGTTTTACAAAACTGTAATTTCCGGATTTCCTTCGGAATATTATATCATCTCATGTTCTGATAGATTTTTAAAATGTTTTCTCAGATTAATATTGTTTCTCTTATTAATTATGTCGTTTTCATAATTTCAATTAACTTTTGGAGTGTTCGTGAAATGAAAACGCCAAAATAGCTTTTTTCGAATATGTTCTGGATCGGGTTAACCATTTTTGTTATCACATTCGAATTATCTCTATTTTCACTAATGGACAAGGCAACACACAAACAAATACGGTGATTTGTTTGTATATAGATTTTTAGACTGTCAATACAAAAAATTGTATGTTTAAAACTGTAATCATATGTATTCATCTACTACATGAAAATTTTTATACAAATATGCAAATACAAATTTATTGGCCAGTTTAGTGTAAACGCAATATTGGCTAAAGTTCGTAATATAAGAACCATCAATTGTTCATTCATTTATACAGCAATCTAGAATGTGATGCTATCCATAAGTTATACAATAATTTGTAAATAATTATAAATGTAATACAATCATCTCTTAGAAATATGACATTTTTATATGGTAATATTAAAAATCAGATGATTAAGCATGAAAATATTATTAAAAGATACATGAGACTTTACTTTACCGGTCCCCAGATCTGCAAGATCCTCGCGCTCATTGGACTATGACATAACATTTACGTCACTCAACTGATAAGGGTTAAATTTGCACATTATTCGACTGATTTAAGGGTTAATTAGTCTCACACCCACACGAGAGATTAGGGTTAGTCCTTGCACAATTATTCGTCTGATTAGGGTTAGTCTCGCATCTATCCGAGAGATTAAGATTAGTCTCGCACATTATTTGACTCTCAGATTAGGGTTAGTCTAGCGTAAAATTTAAATATAAGTTTGTTTTTTTTTTGCCTTTTGATCCCAAAATTCAGAATTCACGGTTAAATGTTTTGGGATCAAAAGGCAAAAAAAAACTTGTATTTAAATTTTTTCGATCGCTCAAGCAATCTCATACATACGAAGTCGCCTTTGGCAACACTACGTTTATGTGCGTTTTTCCAGGGACCAGTAAAGTAAAGTCATTCCGATACATATATGATGTATATACCAGTTCATGATGCAAGCGACAATAGCAATCATTTGTATTTTGTAGAAATTACAGCAACACATGGAAAGCAATGTACAGCTCAAAACATGTTTGTCTCCAAAAGTTCATTTTTTAATCACAAAAGCTGGAGGAAATAGAGATGATTTGAAAATTGTGGGGGCTTCTTGGTGCATTACACTAGATGGCTTTATTATTTGGGATAAAGCTTGCATTTGCCTACCAGGTAAGTTTAATATATATCAGAAAATAGAAAATTGTGGATGGATTGAATCAAACCAGAGATATGTGCTTAAAAGGTTTTCTCATAGAGATCGAAGTGTAATTAATAATCTAAACACAGAAGTTGTAGCTAGTTGATAGTCAAAACTGGATGGACTTGAATCCAGTCCTCCTCTTTACATTAAAATATATTAATCTATTCAAGCTTTTAAAATCTAAAATTATAAAAAAAATTCCCTGGCCTTGGGTTGGCAAAAGATATAACAGAATGATGTAGATTCAAGTCAATCAGATAAATAGGACTTGCATAGAAAAGACATAAATTAATGTGGATATTGTAATACATGTACTGTAGAGACACTTTTTTCTACGGGGTTATAATTTTGTGGAATCTCAATTTCTGTTTAATCTGCAGGTAAAAAATTATGCAGTATCTTAGACTCTCACTGTAATATGCCTTACATTTATATGAAGTACACTTGGGCAAATTTCCGCGGAAAATTTGTGACCGCGTATATAGCGTAAGTTTATACCACACGAAAAAAAATAATTCTACAGTACCTGAATTACTCCTACTACAAAGAATATACATTCAAATCTCATCTCAAATTTGCTATGACTGTCCTCATGAAAACAATTTAAAATTTCCGAAAATCTGAGATATCCAGCCCAGGGTAAAAGAAATGAACGTTTGGGACTTGCAAATCATTTTGATATATCCATGATATTCCAGCAATCAGCTGTTCAAGATAACCAAAAGTTGATTAAATATAAAAATTGACATTTGAAGTGTAAATCCTCATTCTCCCGCATTTTTTTTTTCTTAAATATATTTTACTCCTTATTATATCAGTTTATCTTCAGGGAATTGTCAATGGAATAATTACCGGTATGTCAATATCCCAAGAAACAAATACATGTAACTTTTAAAATCAAAGGATATTGTGATATTTAGACAAGTTCAATGGCTTATGACCATATAACTCAGTTGTTAGACAACCCGTCCAGAAATTCAGGGACCCATGATCTGACCTGGTCTGTTGTACAGCAAAACTTGTTTAATACGAACATGGATATTACGAATTTACAGATAAAGCAAAGTTATCTTGAATACCCAGCTGTTTAAATTTAAAGAATTTCTTACACTGATATAACGAATTACAGATATAGTGAAGTAATTTCACAGGTCCCATCATAATGGGATCGTTATAACCAAGTTTTACTGTACTTTCATCCTTTCATTTATAATGAGATTGGGTCCATGAAACATATGGAGATAAGAAACAGTATTCAACTCCTTAAAACAATATAAAATAGGAGCAAACACGCACCTCCCAAACATCAGAGGTGGGATCAGGTGCCATGTATTTTGGTATAGATCAATATATTGCTGTTGATTGGCAAATAATCACAATGATTTTAATTTCACTATGTTTGCAATACATCATTTTTCTGCGAAATTAAACCCAATGTGAATGCTATCATCCTAAATGAACCTAAACCCAATCTCTGTAAGACATTTCATGGTGTCAGTGACTTTTCGCGGACTTGTGGTGAAAACCCTGCCAGGAGCAAAACAATCTTGGTTGCGCATCTGCATAGTATATTTAAAGTGAAAGTATGTAAGGGTCAGAAGGATTGATTGCCTGTGACTTCCTCAGTTAATAAAGAAGACTAATTCACTGTTTCTTGAATTTACAGATTTATTAACAAAGTGACTATGTATAGCAAAATAAAATACTGTACACCAAAATTTCACAAAACCTTATAAGATATGTACATGGTACTTATAAACAGCACAGCATTTTCTCAAATTCTGGTAATTGCTTTACATAAGCTAAGCTAGAAAATCTATACGCATGCAACAACAAAATTTTTGTGAACAGACAGTCTTGCATCATTATGCAAAAGTAAAGTTCTTGTGAATAAAAAGTGATTTACAGTACTTAAAATCAATTTTTTGTATCAGTTTTCAGTTGATGCTTTTTAGATCAACTAAAATTTAGGCCTATTGACCTAATTCTAGAAATTTTTTTAGTTATGTCTTAAATCTAGGTCACAAAGAGGCTTAGGATCAGCAAATTTTGTTGATTTATCCTTGGATATGTCAACAAAAAATAGGTCACAGTGACCTGCTCTTGGAATTTCTTGGATATATCGAATATTTCAGATGATAAGAGGCTAAGAATCAACATTCTTTGTCAGCTAATGCATCATGGGTTCTCAGACTGTGTTAACCTTAAAGTAAAACAGGGTAACATACTTTCGGAATTTTCAGGCTTTATTGAAATATTTAGCAAGGATACTAAATGGCATAGAATAGAAAGACATAGAGCTGTACAATGATAGATGAGCTTGGGTTGTAGAATTTATCAGAAGAGTGATTCTAAGTCCTTGATCTTCTCATTAAAGTCTCATCCAAAAGACATGTCCTGTCATAAATTTCGACCATTTGAAATATTCACTTCCTTTCTTTTAAAAATGTCTCGTGTGTCTTTATCTCACTTGTAATCTAAATTGGTCATTGATTTCATTGCAGATATTTGATCATCTTCACTTTTCTGTTTCTATATTGAGCAACAAACAGATTGTCATTTGTATCTATACACAGTCCCCGGGGAAGACTCAGTCCACAGTCTATGTAACGGAGGAACTGTCCATCCTGGTCTATGATGTGGACACAGTCATTGTCAATATCAGCTGTAAGGATGTGACTCTGACTGTCTGTGGTGATTCCTCGTGGATAGAATGGTTGGTTCTTTGGAGCAGGAGTATGTCCAGTGTACCTAAATCTCAGTTTCCCAGCCTGATTGACCACTACTACTACTGCTTTAGCTCCACTGTCAGACACACAGATATCCAGGTTCCTGTTGTCTGTTAAGTATCTGTAATAATAACCAGATGAATAGAGAGGTTTACCTTTATCATCAAACTGAATGGTTTGTTTCTCTGTGGAGCCAGAGTAATGGACAACTTTTGTTTGTTTGTTATCATCACTTTCCATGATAACCAGGAGGTCACCAGAGGAGGTACTACAGACACCTTTAGGATTCCAGTTCTGTAGTCTGATCACCTCCTCTATCTTCTCATTCTTCACAATGTTCACAGTTCTATCATCATAATCAGTATAAACTAGATCTCCACTTTTTGTCACTGCTATGTCACATGGTGTGTTCCCTGACTTGGTTGTGATTGACTTGAGTTCTGATCCCTGATTGATGCTGAAGAGTTTCATGGTGTTGTCATCTCCTCTTGTCCAGATTTCTTCATCACTCAGACAGGCCACATTGTAAAGGTATTCTCGATACCCAGTGTCTATGGTGGTGACTGTCTCTGATTCATCAAGCAGCTGTTTGACGGGAGGAGAGGATCCAGCTTCTGGTGATTTCTGTGTTGTCTTCATGCTGTAGCCATGTTTATCTGAAGAAAAAGAACTCGATGATAAGGTACCAAACATTTTACTAAGTTCTTCTCCTTGTTTTCTTGCTGGAATGAATTTTGGTAAAGATGGAACAATTTTTTGTGGAAGATTTCTGTATGTGTGTACATTAGGCATGACACTAAATAGTTTTGACAAGTCATTGGTGTCTATTGCATGTTCCATTGAATTGATTTCATCCTTGATGTCAGACATTGTCTTATTTATTTCATCCAGATGTTTCTGTAGAGTTTGTAACTGTGTGTTTTTCATCTCATCAACTTCAGCTTTAAGTTTCTGGACAAGTTTGTCAATTTCTCTGTGCCAGTCCTCTCCATGTTTTGTTATGGCTGTTGAGAGATCTCCATATTCTTTTTCTAACTGACTCATTCTGTTTTGTACATCAGAGGCAATGTCCTGGTAGATTGGATAGATCGTTTCTGTCAATTCAGTTTGTTCTTTCATGAATTTATTCTTTTTCTCATTCGCAACTTCCAAGATTTCTGATACTTTATGACCTAGATGTTGATCAGATGCAATGCACTTTGTACAAACTGGAATGCCACATTGTTTACAGTACATGGTACATTGTTGTCCATCATGAGTGGTACATCCAGGAGAAAGAGGGGTAGAATTTCTGTCCTTGAAATGTACAATTTTATGAGGTTTAGAGGAGTCAGCTGTAGCATGTTCTCCCACACAGGCCTTACACAGGTTGACAAGACAATGTATCACAGTGCATCTGTACCACAGCGGTCTCACACAGGTCACATCGCATCACGTCCTGGGCACTGGTACGGGGGTCCATGATTAAACGTGACTCTGTGACTCTGTAATAAATAAATGCTTGATCTGAATATTTCAACTAGTCATCAATGAATTTTTTTTTTTGTCAACACATTTTTAGCTCACCTGAGCTGAAGGCTAAAGTGAGCTTTTCTGATCAAAATTTGTCATTGTCTGTCATTGTTGTTTTCACCATAATTGTTAACTTTTTAGAATTTTGTCTTCAATCTTCTCTCTAGAACCATTGGTATAATTTCAATCAAAATAAAAAGCCACAAAGTAATGTATTCAAATTTGTTCAAACAAAGGCCAGTGGCCCGGGCCTGACACCTGTAATTTTGTATTTTTCCTGGATTTCTGTTTTTGAAAAAAAGAAAATGTATAAGCGGATCAATCTCCAGAAGTTCAGATCCTGTATTTTTATCCCTTAATAAGTTTATTGTGGAAGTACTTTGGCAATGCAAGATTAAATTTTACTTGAGGCTTCTTAGATACTGATACTTCCTCTGATTGTCAAATGAATTAAAACTTTAACTTTTAATATATAATTGTTGACAGAATCAGGGACCTATATACTTATTCTAATACATGTATATAATTATATAGTATATAGGTCCCTGACAGAATAGGAGAAAATTAAAAAAAAAATTACTAGTAATTAAAGCGAAAAGTTATGAAATGTACAAAGGAAAATTAAGCAGGGTTTATTGCAAACCTGAAATTACTGAGACAAAGCTAAAATGATATAAAAAAACCAATTACACTGCAAAATAGAATAAATACTCCAATCTTTCATTGACCTTTATATATTATGGCTGTATACTTAATGTTAAATATCTAATTTATAGACTTTACTGAATTATAAGTAGGACTTTTGGGAATCAAAAATGGTTCATATATTACCTAGCTACTGACAATAGTTTTATCAGAGTCACAATGTAAGACTAAGTCCAATACTTTAATAGTTTTTTCCCTAAAACAATTCATGTACTTATTATTCCACAAAAGCATATTATAATTTTTGCTTTGAAAAAAGAGTTGACACTCTGTGGGCATCCATCTTTTCCTTTAAATCACATATAAAAATAGGCCCTCAACAAAATGAACTGCTATTTTTAGCTGTTATTGATTACAGGTAAGCTTTTTTTTACCTGTTCTTCAAATTTACCACCATTATTTATAGCCTGCTCTTAGCTGTGTTTATTTGATCTCTGTACATGTTTTCAAAACTGTGACAAGAGCAGTAAGCTTACATCTACTTTAGTATTTGTTTTTAAGCTATTTTTATCAGCATTGAATTAATTAAAATTAAAATGATTACCTGGCTAACGATAAGTATGGCCGTGTCTAACCTCCATGCAGTCTAATATCTTATTCCTCGTTGCTCAGATCATGTGACTCAAAATCATATTCCACTGGGTCAATGTCATATGCAATTGAATGATTTAAATATCTGTATTCTGAAGCTCTATACAATTTTGTTTTAATGATTTTTTTCATCTTTAAGTTTTAAAAAACTTGTTTTATAAAGTAGCTAGTAGACAAGTTGGAGATTTATCTGTGCAAATTACACCATTTATTGAATTTGATGGAATTTATGAAAAAGCTGGTGACTGGTTCATATATATCACAAAGGCAGATCCAGGGCTGGCATGCAGGGTCACAGTGCCCCCCTCTGACTACATTGCCTGGATCTATTTGGGGTTGGGGGAGGGTTATAAAATGTAACTACATAGTAAACTAACTAAAATTGATCTTGGATCCCCTCTAGAGAATATGCCCCCCCCCCCCCCCCTGAAAACACAGATTTGTGTTAAGTTAGTATGAAAAGTCATGGATAAGATGCTTTAGATTCAATGTTTATTACTTAGAAAAACTCTCTTGTTTGCATTAAAAGCTTGCTTGTGTTTACAGAAACATCCCCATCAGACGACTATGATTACTTTGTGGCTTGTGTCCAGTCTCTGTCACTGGTATTCTTGGAAGCAGAGGAAGTATTGCACACCAATCACTGGCAGGAAATCTGGATCAAACATAAGCCTTACCTTAGCTGGATAACAGAGGCTCACCAACAGGTTATGGAGATTTATCAATTATACTGTAGATTCCTCATTTTATGTGAGTACATATAATTATACAATATTATATTGCAAACTAAATCTAAGATATAAAATTGCAACAAAATAAGTAACTCCAAGGATTGCAAGTGCACATTTACAGATCTGAAATAATCGTATAGAACTTGTACAAAATGTATTTCATTGGTATACCCCTCATCTTAACCTCTTGGCAGATATAAGTTGTACATTTCTGCCATCTAGCAAAAAAATTCAATTATCATTTATAAAAGCCTTGCACTTTAGATGGATAATCTGATTTTATTTTATGAAAAAAAGGCTTCATATCAGAATGAAAAAAAGGTTTAATATGTGTTTTTCTAACACAGTTTCATTTGATTGGATGCCTTGGAACATCAAAGTGTGATCTTTGAAACTGTAGTCAAATCAGCCTATGGGGAGATTAGGGGAGACAAATCGAATGCCTGGCTAGGGAAGTTTGTGTTGGACAAGCATATTGTTTGGAATGGTAGCCTTATTTTATTAAAAATTTGATTTTTTTGTGTATTATATTTTTTTTTCAGGTTATAGAAGATTCACTTAAGTTTTTAACATCTTCAAACGAATCCCATCACATCCTGGGTTTACAGCTGGTTTCCTCTGTTTTAGAGAGAGCTTTGGGTGATGTAAGTATTTGTCATAATATGTTGACAGTGCGACCGTTAGGGCGAACGCAGATTTCATTTAGATCGGACTGGTCAAACCGCACGTGACATTCGGTGCGTTTAAGACTCTGATGTCACATGATGTCGTTCGTTGCTTTACCAAACCTAAGCCTGAACAGGACTGATATCAATCAGCTAGTATATGACTATTTTCTGCAATAAACAGCTAGATAATTTCATTAAAACCAAGGCAATTTTATTATTCATTTAACTTTTGTCGTTATTCTCGCGAGAACGTTGCTTTAACGTTAGTGCACAAAGCGATGCATTGTGGAACCAATTTACTGTGTCAAAAAATTCTATGGAATGAATGTGCAGTAGCCCGAATTTTCTCTTCGCCCAGGTGTTGTCGTTAGAGCTCGCAGTTACGAGCGCTCGCTATTATCATATGATCGTCAATTTATAAAATTGCAGAATATTAACAATCGCTCAATAATTCTTCTGTTTAAGATATCTCTCAAGTTCGGCATTCAACAATGTTGCTTGTACCGGGGTAATTTGGTCATGTTTATGTCCTTGTTGAACATCTCTTCTGAGAATTCTTCACTCATGTTGATATATGCCACCCCTTGTCAGTGGAAGGCTGCAAATTCTCCTTGCTTATCAGGGCCTTTGAGCAGTTAGGGACCAAAGGACACATCTCCATGTCCAAGTGGAATTCAAACCCATGACCCAAGAATCAACTCCTTATATTCTGTGACTCTAGAGCATTAAAATGCTCGAATCACTGTGCCATGTTGGAAACTATTTTGATTATGACCTTAATTGACATATGAAATATTAAGATTTTTTCTGTCCAGTTTTATTCTGATATTTTCCTTCAGTTTTATATATAGAAGACTAAGGTCATTGTCATTACTGTAGAAATACTCTTGTTTATGACAGTTATGGTCCCAGTATATTACTTGTTAATGTATCGATGTAATCCCACATTCTTGGAAGTTTGTTTCTCATACCTTGCCCATGTATTTTTTTACATTCATAAGCTAAAGGTTAATGTTATACATACGAGGGCTGTTCGAAAATTATTGAGACATTGTGTATATTTTGCTTTCTAATGAACGTCTTTCGGTGAAAATTTGCATATATGTTTGACATACACTAAGAATTTATAAAAGCAAAAAATATTTTACAAATATTAAATATTTTCTGTACAATGGTATATATATATGAGTCAATAGTTGGGGTACCCGGAGCAGTCACGAAATCAGACATTGAAAATATGTAACACCAACGTTCTAACTCTTCGTGGACCCATAATAAGAGCGAAAATAATTCAGTTTATGTGTATAATTTTCCAGCTTTATTTCAAATTCATGTTGTGCAACTTTGTTAGAATTTTGATCAGAAATACGGAGATCATAAAAAAATTAAGCGCGGTAGTGAAATCTGCTAAAAACGAAAAAATGGAATTTAACGTCTAGTGCGGAGCAGCCAGCATACCTAAAATTTTGTGTAGAGCAATGTAGAACTCTTTCCAGACTGAACGATCTGCTTAAGCAGTAAAAATGAGAAAAAAAATAATGTGTTAGGGTTTGTTATTTCATTGGTATACATTTTTTTTTACAATTAATTCAACCAGAGTAAAATCAACAGCTCAGGACGACCATCAGTTATTACGTACGGTATTAATATCGTTACGGTATTATTATCATTGACGTGCGTTGCATAAATCGGTACTGCATGATTCTAAGTCATCCTTTCCGACAAATGAAAATTTTACACTGGGATAGAAATAGCATACATTTTTAAAGAATAGTTTAAGAAAATAATAAACTGTTTGATTTTTGTAATGTAATATGCAATAACAAAGAGGAAAAGTATTAAACACATCACGAAGGTTTTACATGCGAAACAATCTCCGGCTGACGTGACGTTAAATGACGTTGTGATGCTGCTCGGGTCGATAGACATATGCATGTTTATCATTTCACCAAAAATTTTCCCATTATCATAGGAATTAGAAATTTTGCATAAATGTTTTATTCCTTCTTTATTATATGTAGATGAATTTTCGTGACATTATCTCCGTCGTTTATGGAGTAAATGTAATTGTCTCAATAATTTCCGAACAGCCCTCGTACATGATTGTTGATTGTAACTGGCAAATTTGTATATTTATAAGTATCAAGATGGATTTTGATTCTAACCACCAAAATTCCTCAGAAAAAGTATTTGATGGCATAAAGATTTATTTTTAATAAAAATTATGATACTAGAAACGAAATGACTGGATCTTAAATGGAACACTTTTAAATTTATTTGGATAAAATCCATTTTGATTGAATGGAAATTAATTAAAAGTACTTTATACCTTTATAAGTAAGGTCCAAAGGTGAAGAGGAAGCTAAGAAGGTTGGGGGGGGGGGGTAAATACAGGGGCAGGAAATAATGTTTTTAAATAAACCTTACCACCCCCTTTCTCTCTTGTGAATATTGTTTTATCACAGTCCTCAAGACATGCACATGATATAAGAAGTAACCATCTTTAATTTCATTAAAAATGTATACATCACCATTTAAAATTTGTAAACTTCTTATGCTTATTTTCTGTTGTAGGTTTTTGAGGATGTAAGTTCCATGCAGTGTCCCTCTCTCCTTAAAGACATTCTGAATTCAGGGGAAATAACTCAGGTGTTTGGAACAAATGTGGTAAATGTTAACTTTTATTATTTACGTATATATACATTAATCATGCATGGGCATAACAGACAGATATCAAATACATGTTAACATCTGCGCTTTTCATTAAAAAAAAATAATAAACAATTGAAATTCACTTATTAAGTAGCTGTTAATTTTTTTATCTTGTCTGTCATTGGACATTTGTTCTGTCGAATTGGAATAATTCCTATGCATTCACTGAGGATACTGTCATCATGTTATGCAATTACAAACAATTTCTAATTTAATATAAGTGATATACCTGTAGGCAGGCAAAACATTTTGAAGATATAGACAAATATCAATATTATGACCAATTCAATAACAAAAATTTGTTTATTTATTACATAATAAAATATAATCAAATCAAATCAACAAAACTTTGTACTCAGAAGCACTTGTTTGTACTTGCTTAATATTTCAATAGGTAGGTTTTATTTGTTAATTACAAGGCAGCTTGAGGGATCCTTTTGTTTTTATTTGAATATATATCAAAACCAGAAGTCTCTGTCGAGACTGAAGCTCCACTGGTTTGTACTTATAACAAAAGAAGAGAAAAGTAGCAGTTGGGACCTGAAACTTTACAACAGCAATAAATAGATTAATGATCCTTGATTATAATTCTCTTTTTTGGCAAAATATTGCAAAAACTGACTACAAGTCTGTAGGAGGAGCTTTTAATAAAAGTTTATAGCATTTTCAGTTTTAGTTACCATGGCAATATCATTCAACAAAATAAAAAAAACCCCAACAACTAGAGGTACTGTGAGCAATGAGCACACCAAATAATACCCCCCTCCTCCCATATGATAATAATGGGAGTTGCCCGTGATTTTTTGTGGGAAACCCAAAATATGTGTCAGATTCAAAAGTAGAATAGGAGGTGCACATTGGCAATATGTAATAAAGATTCTGTGAAAGTTACATCAATTTTCATTCAGTGGTATGAGAGGAGTTGCGGATAAGAGATGGGTACCCCAAAGCGTGACAGACAAACGGATGTACGGCTAGATGGACGGACTGACATACCAATTACTGTATACCCTCCCACTTTTCAAGCAGGGGGTATAATAAATAGAGAATATTACATACTAAAATCCATATCATATGTCATATCAGCCCGAGTGGCCCCATATCAGCCCGAGGGCCGAAGGCCCGAGGGCTGATATGGGGCCCGAGGGCTGATGTGACATATGATATGGATTTTAGTATGTAGTATTCTATTTATCATATATTTAAAATACTTAATGTGCGAGTTCATATATTGTCATTGAAGAATGTTTCGTGCTTGTTTATGACATTTTTCTTTAAAATCTAAAAGAGCCAATTTTTGGTAACTGGAAAAAAAATAAGACCACAAATGTCATTACAGAAATATTTTACATGAATATTTAAATAAAATCAACTAAATTAACTTTTGAACTTAATACAAGCGTTACTTCCGGTTTGATATGGATTTTCGGCCCGCCGGTCCGATACGTGATATGGATTTTCGGACCGGGCCGTGATATGGGGTATTGTGACGTCACCCGTATCACGCCGTGCAGAATCGGTGTATTTACTACTAAGTATATGATAAAGACAATTATGTATCTTGGTGTTAGTCTACTTGCATGCCACATTATATTATAATCAGACTAAATCTGTATTTGGAGTAGCATTTTGAGAGTATTTTACAGACATTTCTATTTTGAGTAACCACAGCAACAATGTTCATTGAAATCAAAAACAAATAAACAAAATTATGTATCTTAGTGTAGTCTACTTATGTGCCAAGTTATATTGAAATCAGACCAAAACTGTAGGAGGGGTAGCATTTTTTTCAGTATTTCTCAGAAATTTCTAATTCTAGTAACCACGGCAACACTGTGGCAACACCGTTCATTAAAATAAAAAAAATGATACACAGAATTATGTATCTCAGGCCAGGTAAAATTAATCTTTAGATTCTCATTCTAACTTGCTAAAAATTGCGGCGGGTGGGCATATTTTATTTTTCATAATTGTTTATATAAGTTGTAAGTATCAACAAAACATGGAGTCTCGTAAACATTTTTTATTATGTTAATGCCAATATGAATAGATTTTATTCTTTTCATATTCTTTAAAATATTTGAAGAAGATTCTTGCTTTAAAAATTATTTATATATTTATTGATACCCGTAATTAACAAAGTATCAAGTACACATGTACGACAAATGCCAAAGAAAATGAGGCCGGGATACCAATAAATTGTGTATGCAAGTCTTATCATCGGCCTTTCCCATAATACCTTTTAGTTTTACCAACAAATCCTTCTGTTTTCTGAAAAATGTCACAATTCCCACCTTCCTCATAAATTTGATTATCTTTAATCCTTCACATGTTCGACATTCAAATAGGTCATATTTGCAAAATCTATAAAATATTCATATAAAACATTCTACTGAAAAACCTAGGCCTGAACAGTTTTAAGATTTAACATTTTCTTAGCACTTAACATTCTCTAAAGTCTGCCTACAATGTTCTATTTTTTTCAAAGCAAAATCACATACAGTGGACATGGTTTAAACTTGACCAGGTGTTATTTTCCTCCACTATTTTTACCTTGTTAAAATCTCTCTAAAAACTTGCTCATGCCAGTGATGGTATCTAGATGTGTTTAATATGCTATTTTTTTTCTCTGCCTTCTCTATAGTATAATACTGACAAATTATCTTTTCCCTAACATATTTAAATTGCTTTTATTGCCGATTTTCTCCATTCTTCACTTGGCTCTTTTGCTATAAATAGCGGCACACGACTTTTAATACAGACGGGAGATAACTCTTAAACTTTGACAAAAATTCTTGTTGAATAAAAATACATGAAAATACTTTTATTAACGCCCAAAAATCAAAATAAAAAGCATCGGGGCAAGACATTTTGAGAGGAGCAGGCGGGGATGAGAATCTAAAGATTAATTTTATCTGGCATGAGTGTAGTCTACTTGTGTGCCAAGTTATATTGAAATCAGATCAAAACTGTAAGAGGAGTAGCATTTTTAAAGTATTTCACAGAAATTTCTATTTTTTGTAACCACGGCAACACCATTCATCAAAATCAAAAATAGATACATAGTATTATGTATCTTAGTGTAGTGTACTTGTGTGCTAAGTTATATTTAAATCAGACCAATACTATAGGACCTGTAGCATTTAAATGTATTTCACAGAAATTTCTAATTTTAGTTACCATGGCAACACCGTTCATCAAAATCAAAAATCGATACACAGAATTATGTGTTTTAGTGTAATCTACTTGTGTGCTAAGTTAAGGAGCATCTCGTGTAGGGATGGGTATCGCCAAAAATTTTGTATCGTGATAATTATCACGATTTTTTCCAAAAATATCACGATGATAATCATGATATTTTTACAAGCAATTTTTACAATGATTTTAAAAGAAATAGTCATTATTTCTCTTAAAATTATGCTAGAAAAACAAAATTTAAAGTTTTTGAATTTTTTATGTACATAAAATTAATCATGTCTGGATTGTAAAATGCCATTCTTTTCACCTTTTACAACATTTTTAGACTTTCTATAATTGTAATTTGAAAGATGGAACAAATAAATGAATAATTTCTGGACTTTATAATATGTACCTAAATACCGGTATTTGCGTCTCCGTATCACGATACGTATCGCGCAACAAAAAATCGCGATATACCAGTATACCAATAAAATCGCACATCCCTAATCTCGTGTGACTTTAATTCAGAATATAAATGATCTTTAAAGGTCAGTTGTGTTACTTTTGACCATGACATTGGTTAATGAAAAACATCTCTAGACTAATACATGCCACTACCTTATCATTTAAGCTAGAGAACACAAGTATACGAGGGTCGAGGGGTTATCAAAAAGTTCGTGGACTGAGGCTATAAAATTAGCACTATGTATTCTGTGCTTTCAAAATTTATAAGGGACATAAAGCAACAAAAAATAAAGAGATGCGGAAAATTTGAGCTTGATTCATTCATTTTTTGCTAAAATATGATAAAATAAAAAAGACATTATATGGTTACCCGGCGCCGTCGCCATTTAGTTTCATGACGTCCCACAACGTCATTGTTTTTCAATGTTTGCTTCTTCTACCTCATACACTTAATTTGATGAGATTTCCTGGAGTTGATTAAAGACTTAAACCCGTCTTGTTTTTATGACTTTACAATGTCAGGAACAGCGACTTTAAATGCATATAATATGCAAATGGATTGATACATTGGGAGAGATCCTCTCTTGATTGTGCCAGCATATTTTGCTTTTGGGAGTTTAATATCTACAACATATGATCAATGTCATTTTTTGACGTGAATGATTTTTCACACCTTGACTAGGAATCAACATTAACTGTGCATCCCTTTTCTCTCTGAACCTCTTTTGCATTAAAAAACAAGTACTCCGGATGCATTAATTTTCTCCATAACCAGTTTAAACATTTCCTAGGTCTATACCACTTTTTTCAGGGCCAAAACTTTATAGAATGTTGGAAAATAAAACCCCTTCCCCCTTTTGACGTCATTTTCAAGGACTTATTTGTTTAGACACTCCATGTCAAATTTACGATAAATTTTCATAGAACTTTCAGAATGAATTGAAAACTTCATATTTTAGGAAGCAATAGTGTCCCAACATATACCTGAATTAATCAGATTTTTGGATGTCAAATGTTCATATCAAAAGAGTTTTTCTCAGTTATGCTTCGGTCGAAAAAACGCCGTATTCGAGTTGCGCCGCCTGGACATACCATAACTTACAAAAACATTACTAATTTATTTAAAAATAAAAGTTATGATCTGTGGTTTATTCTATAGATAGAAAAGATGATGCTAATCAAATATTTTGAAATTCATTGATGTACCTAAAGCGGTTTTAATTTTATGGCGCCAGTCCACGAACTTTTTGATAACCCCTCGTATATCCTGCATTTTTATATTCAGATGTCCTCTTATGTCTTAAAGTACATTGATGATTGTAAACAAAACTCCTACACACCAGCTGTCTTAAAGTACCACATTAATTAACAGCTTGTAAATTAATGAATATAACTATAGACATGTGCTTCCAATTTATGTGGGGGGTATTTCTGTGAATTCAATTGCATGCAGTTTTTACTGTTTGATTATGTTCCCACCTTGATTCATGAACAATATTATAAAAATTTTGTATTTAGCATCTGCGTTTATAATGTAAAAGACAAATTTTAATTAGAGTAGAAACATTATCAAAAAGATCAGTTTGTGAAACACTGATGTCCCATAAGACAGATTATATGGCAAAAGTTAAAATTTTTCAAATGCATGCAAGTAAAAGTCCAAGGTCAAGATCAGGTTCAAAAATATTATTTCTCAAAGAGAGAAATTATCTCCATAAATATACTTGTAAAATATGAGAAGCCAAGCACCAACTATTCAAAAACTTCATGGTCGTGCTGGTTAAAGTTTTATTTAATAGTTGGTCAAACTTCAAGGTCAAAGGTGCAAAATTAATGGTACCCTTGGGAAGGCCTTGACATAAGAAATAAGCGTGTGAATCGTGAAATATAAAAGCCCTATAAGCACCAACTGTTAAAAGTTATGGCCATGCAAGATTAAAGTTTTTAAAAAGTAGGTCACACTCCAAGGTCAGGGTCAAAAGGTCAAAATTGTTGGTGTCAAGTGAAAGTCTCAGCACAATTAAGGAATACAATTGTAAAATACTGTAAACATATTACATTGAGCGATGTATTCTATTTAGCAATTTTTGCAGAAAGCAGAGTCTGTCTAAACCATGTACATCGCTAAATGTCTTGTACAGTATATCATACATTCATATCTAGCACATTCAAATAGTGCTTTTTGTTCTATTGGACCATTCTGTGAGATATATTTCAGAAACTTCTCGTACTGGATAAAAATCTTGCATATAGACATCAAAGCTACAGTTTCTTTGGAAACCTGCAGCTGAAGTGAAGGGGTAAATTTCCATGCAATTTCCAAATACAGTAAAACTCATTGAGTATGAACACGGATATTGCGAATTCATGGATATAGTAGAGTTATCTTGGATCCCCAGCTATATAAATTCAAAGAATTCCTTATACGGATAAAACGAATCAAATTACAGATATAGCTAAGTTATTTCAGAGGTCCTAGTGACTTCGTTATGACTGATTTTACTGTATATCAAATTGACTGTGCTAGGATGTCACTAATATAGAGCTCATGCAATGGAAATGCAATGTAGTTTTGATTTTGCCAGTCAAAATATATATGTCATTACAACTTAAAAAGTTTAAATTTAAAACTTATTTGGTCAGCTTCTTTATTTTCTGATCTGCCTAATATTCTATTGTACAGATCCAAATTTTACGGGTTTTGATTGGTCCCCCGACATCTCTTAACCTGAGAAATATTGTCTGGCATGGATTTCCAAATGTTGGGGAGATACCAAAGAGGTATATATGCAGTCTAATATTCTTACTTAAATTGTGACCCATTTACCAGTAATCTGAAATTCAAAAGGATAGTCCTTTTTCATTCAATATTCTTCTGTATAATTTGTACCACATATACCAATAATCTGGTATTCAAAAGGATTGTCCTATTTCATTCAATGAAAACTTACTGTATAATGGAGCATGAATTGAACAGTAGATAGAATGAAGTTTCTGACTTGAAACTGATTTACAGTTTAGTAGAGTCAGGATATCCTTTATCCTTTCTTGTAAACCTGCCTTATAGATATGGATGTTTCTTGTATTTCACCCTGCCCAGTTTGGGAAAACTCCTGGAAGAAAGGGGTAAACACTTAAAGGTCCATAGACAGCTGATGCAATTCAAATTAAATGGGAATTTCACCTCAGATATTCCAGGTAATTATTTTCCCTTTGAATTTTGGAACTTTTATCGTAAATGGTATGGGCCTTCCTTGTATGTGTATGCAGTATAACCCAGTATTATTGTTTTGTTTTACCTACTAGATGTGAGGAAAAAAGTGCCCATGGTGAGAGAGTTTGTGGAGTTAACTCAAGGCATTCATAGTCGCCAGCATCTGATATTGAATTCCTTAGAGTTATTGGCTGAAAAACAATATTCCTATGCCACCATCTTGTTGTTCCCCCAACTGGAGCATGTGCTAAGACTGGTATTTACCAAAGAAAATGGCTGCTCAGAGAGACTTCTCACAGCAGAGGTGAGCTCACCTGAGCTGAGAGCTCAAGAGAGCTTTTCTGATCATCTATTGTCCAGCTTCCATTCCTCTGTAAACTTTTTAAAATTTTCAACCTCTTCTCAAGAACTATGGGTCATTTATAACCAAGTTGGCAGAAAGTATTATTCATTTGGTTAAAAAGGAGATTCTAATTTTTCAAATAAAGAACCAAAAGCTGAAAGAAAATATTTTTTTTTACAACAGTGTGATTTTTCTTGCTCAAGGATGCAATGTAAGCATTCAAAATTTTAGCATATGATACTCTTAAATTGCTTGAATAATTACTCATGTTATTTCACTATAATTATGGGATATCAACTGACTTATATAAAAATAACCTGAACAATATACAGTCCAGCCTCATTAATCAGGATTCTTGTATTCCAAAAGCAAAGTGACTGCATCAATGAAGCCTTCTGATCTTAAAAACTATCTTTTATTATCCGTAGGTAATTGGTAAAAAAAAATATGCATCAATGTAATTTCTATTCCCTAAGAAATTCACCTGGATGGTGAAATGTCTTCATTATTGGCATCCAGCCTACTTACGCTCAACTGTACAAATATCCAAATTTATAAATCTGTTTAATATCTTTTGTTTTTATTTTTTCAGTCCACTACACTCTATACCACATTTGATGAGGTCAGAATTTTCCATTTTTTTCTTCTATTTTTTATAGAAATTCTGTAATTTAAAAGTTTCGTACCTTGTAATTATATTTTTCATTCAGTGACTGTTTTTAATATTATGAGAATATTATGACATAGTGAATATCCAATAAATTTTCACAACCTAATATTTCATTTTGTATATACATGTATAAGTAAGACAAAATTTTCCAGAATGGATTATTGTATGTTTTATATGAAATTCTTTGGAGTAGACTAACTTGTAAAATTATGTTAAAAATGATGAATAAAAATTAATTAAAAAATAATATTCAGCGATTTTTTCTCTACATTAGATTTTTGACAGGGATTTACCAAACAAAGAAAGGAACAAACTTCCAGAGATGCTTGGAGAAAATCTCATGGTAATGACTACTTTCTATTTATTTTATCAGCCATTTCAATTACATTGAAATATATTTCTAATTCTACTTCAGATATTATAGATCTTGAAAACTGTAGGAGGAGAAGGTATCCAGAAAAATGTGGTATCCTATGTGCAATATTTTGTTTTATAAGAAGAAAGCTGTAAATGTTACAGCAAATCAGGTTTTCTAATTTGTGTGATCAAAACTTTTTTTCTCTAGAAATTTATAAGTCTGTCATAAGTTTTACACTTTTTATACCAGCAATCTTTAACTTGCTGGAGTGATCTGGTCCAGGTCATAAAACATCCATCCCTGTACCAAGATAAGTGTGATAATGATTCCAATGATTTTCCATTACGAAGTACCAACAAAGAAACAAATTACTTTTCTGCTCATGAGCTCAAACTTTCTGGAATGAAAATGGGCCAAGGTCATGACAATTGAACCAAAAGGATAGCCCATCAAGTTTGAGAAAACAAGTTCTGACTTTTATTGTGTAGAGTGTCTTCAAGTGTCACTTTTTCATGTATATTCATTTGTTGAATTGTATTTGATTTTTCAGGACCTGCTATTTGACCTTTTAGTTTACCCTGAGGGCCCCAGGGTCAGAGACAAAGTCAGTCATGGAGAGGTTCTCCTGCAGGATTTCCCAGAATCCTTAGCGGAGGCTGTTCTGGTTGCCATGGTGCTTTTAATTTTGAAGTGCTCCAAAAGTGCAGACATTCATAAGGTACATGTATATCAGGTGATTTTGAATTTTGACATGCTGTGGTTGTCAAAAGAATCCAGAAGCAATTATAGATGCAAGGTATTTTCTGGTTTCATCAATTTTTTCCGCTTCCTGTTAAAAAACACTGAGAAAAAGTTAAAGTGTTGTACATTGAACATTTAAAATAAAAATTTTTCACACATATATTGATTGGCACCATGTTTTTTTATTTTTTAGAATGCTATATAACTTAAGGTTTTCAAACTCTTGACCTTGAAACTTAACCGTAGAGCTAATTTTCAATATACGGATTAAAGTGCAGATATACATAATATTTTTCAACATTTGAGAAGTAAATCTGTGCTATTTTAAGCATGTACATGTACACTGTTATCAGACGAGATAACAATTACCAGCATTTCAGTCGACATTACCTAACCTTTGACCTACTTTTCAAAAATAATTCAGACAGTTAATTTAATATGGCATTTGAAATTTGAGATTCATGGCAAGGTTACTTTTGATGGGTCAAACTTCCATCTCTCAGTCCTATATAGCAAAGCTATCTAGCTCAAACTCACAACCTCAAAACCTTCGATTTCTCAAAGTCAAAATGCAGCCCTGTTGGTCAAATTGTTTAAGTAATACTGTATGATTGTGTACTTATTAAAGCGAGCTTCATATTTTTGCCATGTTGGTGCTGAAAACGATGGAATAATTTATTAATACTGCTACAAAATTATGTATGAAATAAATAATAAAACACTGTGACTGGGTGGATGTATAATAAGCGCTCATTTTATGATTTCACAAACAAATCCATACCCTATGATTGCTCTAAATTTTATGGTGATTTATGTATACGTGCCGTATTATCCCTGATACCTTGTTGTTATGTATACCTAAAGCTTGGCCTAATTACCACCTTGACCTAATTACCACCTCTACCTGGACAAGGAAACATCACTACATGCAGACACGTGTACACTGTACCTGAATGTTAAAACAATTATGTGTCAGCATAGGCAGACAATAAAGGCCACAATTAATACTCATCAAATAGTCATTACCTTACTCATATAAAAAAAATCATTTGATACTACCAGTAATATCAACTGAACAAAGATCTTTTTTTCTAAGAAAAACATTGTCATGGGATAGCAATGAAAACTCATATACTGTATAATCACATATTTTTGTGGGGGTCAAATGGGGGTCAATTTTTTGAGGTTTGAGGAAAAAGTACTGGTTTGTAGGGAGTAGTGGGTTAATATGGGACTTCAGAGAATGAGACTGCTGATGAGAGGGATGACAACCCTTTGGAACACATTCTGAAATGATTTTTAGGTCACCTGAGTAAACTCAGGTGACCTATTGAGGTCACCTGAGTAAACTCAGGTGACCTATTGCTATCTGTTTTTGTCCGTCGTCGTCTGTCGTCCGTCGTGCGTTAACATTTAAACATTTTCAGCTTCTTCTCTGAAACCGCTGAACCAATTTCAACCAATTTTGGCATATAGCATCTATGCGTGAAGGGGAACAAAAATTGTGAACTTCGTGGTCCCTGCCCCCCTGGGGCCTGGGGGGTGGGGCAAAAACCACTAAAATTAGTGCAATCTTTAAAAATCTTCTTCTTTACTCCTGGACATCAAACAGTCAAACTGTTGGTATGGTTGTAATCAGCATTAAGTCCTCTACCAAAATTGTGAAATTCATGGCCCCAGGGTCAGGGGTTTTGGTGTTAGGGCGGGGCTCTATTGATTATATAGTGAAAATGCATTAAATCTTTGAAAATCTTCTTCTCTGCTCCTGGGTATTAAATAAACTTGTTAAGTTCATAGTTATGATGAGCAAGAGTGCCTCTACCAGAATTGTGAATTTTATGGCCCCAGGGTCAGGGGTTATGGTGTTAGGGTGGGGCTCTATTGATTATATAGTGAAAATGCATTAAATCTTTGAAAATCTTCTTCTCTGTTCCTGAGTATTAAATAAACTAACTAAGTACATAGTTATTATGAGCAAGAGTGTCTCTACATAAATTGTGAAATTCATGGCCCCAGGGTCAGGGGTTCTGGTGTTAGGGCGGGGCTCTATTGATTATATAGTGAAAATGCATTAAATCTTTGAAAATCTTCTTCTCTGCTCCTGGGTATTAAATAAACTAACTAAGTACATAGTTATGATGAGCAAGAGTGTCTCTACCAAAATTGTGAAATTCATGGCCCCAGGGTCAGGGGTTCTAGTGTTAGGGCATGGCTCTATTGATAATATAGTGAAAATGCATTAAATCTTTGAAAATCTTCTTCTCTGCTCCTAGGTATTAAATAAACTAACTAAGTACATAGTTATGATGAGCAAGAGTGCCTCTACCAAAATTGTGAAATTCATGGCCCCAGGGTCAGGGGTTCTGGTGTTAGGGCGTGACTCTATTGATTATATAGTGAAAATACATTAAATCTTTGAAAATCTTCTTCTCTGCTCCTAGGTATTAAATAAACTTATTAAGTTCATAGTTATGATGAGCAAGAGTGCTTCTACCAAAATTGTGAATTTTATTGCCCCAGGGTCAGGGGTTCTGGTGTTAGGGCGTGACTCTATTGATTATATAGTGAAAATACATTAAATCTTTGAAAATCTTCTTCTCTGCTCCTAGGTATTAAATAAACTTATTAAGTTCATAGTTATGATGAGCAAGAGTGCCTCTACCAAAATTGTGAATTTTATGGCCCCAGGGTCAGGGGTTATGGTGTTAGGGTGGGGCTCTATAATGATTATATAGTGAAAATACATTACATCTATTACATCTATGAAAATCTTTTTCTCTAATTCTGGGTAATAAGCAGATGAACTATTTATTTAGTTTTGATGGGTTCCTCTTCCAGAATTGCGAATTTCAAGGCCCCTGGGTCAGGGATACCAAAATGGGGGGGGGGGGGGCTCTACTTATATACTGAAAATGAATTGTTTGAAATCTACTCCTTGGTATTAATCAAGTAATTTTGATAAGCAAGTGTGCCTTTTCAAAAATTGTGCAGTGTGTAGACTTAGGGTCAGGAGTTCATGTGTGGTAGGAGCACTCCTGATTATTGCTGAATATTACGCTGAATATTACTGATTAGTTGACATACATTTTTGTTCCCCAACCCTGCTTATGGGTATTAAGTAATCAAACTAAACAATTGCTAAGTGTAAAGTTATGATTAGCAATGGTGCCTCTTTCAAAATTGTGAATGCCATAGCATCTAGCTTAAAACATAAACCAAATTCAATCATTTGAAAGTTGTTGCATGATGCTCAGGTGACCTATAAGGCCCGTGGGCCTCTTGTTTAATACATAATTGTGTTTGTTGTCCATGTTTTCAATATTTTTAAAATGGCCGTCTTTAGACTAAATGATCCAGCTTTGGTATATGTTTAGAAATTTGTTCCTAAACAAATCTTTATGGAAAAAAAGTCTAACATTTCTAATGTTTTGCTGAGCTGGCATAAAAAAATCGATGTTTGACTGCTGAGTGAGATGTTGGACCTGTTAATGACATGTTGGACTGCTTACGTCAAACAATGGGCAGAGCATAATCTCATTTGCATTTGTTGATGTTTAATGGTGACGTATCTCAGTTTAACATTAAGGAAGACAGTACAATATACCGGTACATGTATGTCAAAAAAATATCAAAAGGTATAACAAAACATTTATTGTCTGTGTTCTCGGGCAGATTGCGTTTTGTCGACCCTCGAACCAAACAGTCTGGTTGTGGCCTAATGGCCTCAAGAAAACAGTTTGGTTCTTGAGTCCAACAAAACACTGTCATGTTGCCCTCAAACTCATTCAATAAATATATAATAGTTGGGATAATATTTGAGATGTCAGTGTTTAGGATACTGAAATTAAACTTCAAATTTCTTTTTTTATCATAATTGCAGAATGGGTTACTGGAAGAACTGACAGATTTTGAGTCACAGTACTGCTCTGTTTTCCACCCTATATCAATCATCAAACAAAAGGTAAATGTAAACCTATGTATAGGGAAATATTTTAAAACTTGAATTCTTTGCGAATTTATTTTTAAATTAATCTTTATGATTCCCCATGAAAGGGTTTCATTGTACGGGTAGTGTTTCAGCCATCATTTGGCAGTAAAAAAGTAGAATCTATGAATAAAAGGTATTGTTTACCTAGTATTGTATAAATTTGATACTTTTAAACAATTGCAGATTGTAGAAAGTGTGAATATTACTGCTTCTTTCCCTGATGTCTTGAAGTATGAAGAAACATTGACTCTAAGGCAAGATAGTTTTTCAGAAAAAAAATTTTTTGATTGTGATAAAATACTATGATTTTACAGAGAACAAGGAAGATTTAGAGAATTGTTAATGGGTATGAAAAAATGAATCCTTTATTTATTAATTAATCTTGCACTTAATTAATTAATTAATCTTGCACTAAATTAATCTTATACAGAGACCATCGACAACCATTTCAGTTGTACCTTGCAGAGGACAGAAGGGTATATGATGAAGTACAGGGTGTCACAAAAGACATTGTTTTGTGTGTCTGTGAGAACTGGTGTTTTCCTCACTCTGCAGAAGATATAAATAAAAGGTTCTACACACAACATTTAGAATTTAGCATGTGTCTAAATAGCTTAATCAGTTATTTCTGTGATTGAATTTTCATTAAAGCAATATGAGTTGCATTTTTGAAAATTTAATTTGCTGTTAAAATGTGTTACTAAGATAAATGTGTATGTAACTTAACCTATATGATCAATTAGACTAAAATAAAGCAGGAGAAAGACTTCTATATACAGTCCAATATACAGTTTTATAGAAGAAATCATTATTGTACAGGATTACAATAATGTTATTTTGATCCAATAGAAACTTTTTGTAAATAGTTCTTCCGTTGCAAATATGATCAACAGAAGTTTATTTACATTATTTTTTTTCTGTTATTGAAATAATTACAATTTTGCAACAAAATATTCAGACATCAAAGTTGCAGCTCATATTGCTTTAACATACCAATATACCATATTAAACACATGTAAACCATATTGCTTTTGTCTCAAACATAGCCCATTATAGGGTAAGTTGAAAGTACTAGTATTGCTATTCATATACAGTCAAACTTGTCTAATCTGGATGTTATGTATTCTGAAACCTTGTCTAATACGATTAAAATTCAAGTCTCTTGAAGTAATTTCAATTGTTTAAAATGTTATGTAATATACTGTACAATTATTTAATGCCTGAGCAGTCAATAGACCAGAATATTTTTCCCGAGGTGCAGGGAACAGCTCAGTGTGTTCTATTGCCTGAGGCCAGCTACCTAATTTTATTTTCCGTATCCTTTAGTGTTCACAATTGTATATTCAGTACAGAAGGTTCCCGTACCATATTGTAAATTTATGCCTAGATATGGTGCATCTTTAATATTAATTAAAGATTGATAGTATAGACTATTGGTTACATTCCTCTCAAAAAATTTTCACTCATATGGAGACGCCAACAGTGACCACCACTTGCCAGTGGAGAGGGACCTTTTTCATGCTAGCAGTGCACCTACTGGGACACGGGACCTCGGTCGATAGAGGTCTCACCCGAAGGAGCGGTCTCCACGTCCCACAGTGTATTAATTAAAAGTAACTCTCATTAAATAAAATATCCGACCATTGAAATCACACAATTTTTAAAACCAATGTCGAAAGATCGAATAAGATGATTGTTTACCATGTCTGTGCAGTGTTACAAACAACTAAATTTGAAACCTGGATCAGTTTTTTCCGAAATACGTTGCCGGTCAATAGAACGTGCAGTCTACTGACCGGTCAATAGATCGCTAGTCAATAGATCGATTTGAAAAGATAAGAAAAACTAAAAACACATACAGAATAGATGAAAATATTTAATTTACAATAAAACAATAAAATTTATTGGATTAGGTAATAAATCTGGAATATTGCCTGATCTGGCCAATTTCTTTGAAACCAATGGTGGTTGGATTAGTGTCAGGTTTTTCTGTAATTCCATGAGAACTCTTGCTCTCTATTCTTAACTCACCATTGGTGGATTAGTCTGTTTCAGATGTTCAGTGATGGGAGACCCCTAGTCAGGGCCCTGATGAGGGAGAGGCTGTCGACACTCTACAGACTTCAGGCCAAAGATACGAGAGTTGAGGGAGGGGGGCGTGGGGAGGCTGAAATAGTGGGTCTATTGTCCCGAGTTCTTTCGGAGTTACATACAGTCCTACAACAGGTTTTTGACTCCCTTAGAACCAAACAGGAACTGCTGGGAAGGAAAGACCTCAGATCAAGACAGAGGCAGAATCTTAGGTCTCTTATAACAAGGTATGGTTTGAGGGAAAGAGGCAGAAGAAAAATTAGCTGTCTTATTATTAAGGAGGTAAGAAAACTCAAGTTAATACAGATTATTTAAGAATATTAATGTCTTAAAAGGAAGTCAGAACTCTGATCGTGTAGACAGAGACAGAACCTTACATGTCTCATAAGGAGGTTATAAATCGTATCTATAGACAGACACATATTGTATGTTTTATCAGGAAATTAGAATTCTGATTTAGATAGCAACAGAACCTTGTAAGGAATTTAGAATTCTGATCCAGTATGAATTATTTTTGATGTTACAACAGTTCATTTTTCACCACTGTGCCCATATTTAATTTCTGTTATTTTGATTTTACAGCAGCCCATTTTTCAACCACTACGCCCTAATGCACTCAGTACTTTATATGTTATTTTGATGTTACAACTGCTCAGTTTTTTTTACCACTGTGCCAATAATGTACTAATTAAGGTCTTCCGTCTTCACGGAAGACCTTCTAGGGATTCTACTGTTTCTTATTAAGGTCTTCCGTCTTCACGGAAGACCTTATAGTGATTCTATTGTTTCTTATTATTAAGGTCTTCCGTCTTCACGGAAGACCTTATAGTGATTCTACTGTTTCTTATTATTATTCTTATTATTATTATTATTATTCTTTTTTTTGACAAAATTTTGTGCAGGCGATTTCTCGAAAACTATTCAGCGGTTTTTCATATAACTTTCACAAAATATGTGTTATTATATGAAGTTGTTACATCCAAGAGAAATTTGGAAAATTCTCTTCTGGTGCCAAGTTATGGACAATTTCCTGATTTTAAAATGCAATTTTGTCGCCCCTTTTTCTCAAAAATAGCTAAGTATATGAAATGGAGACTTATTGGAGATGATAGATCATGACTTTCTGGTTTGCAGAATCACCTTTTCGTGCGTCGTCAATACTTCCGGTCGTTACGAGATGCAAATTAAAAAATATCGTATTTTCTAACTTTTTTGTTTTTCAATATTTTTCATTTATTTTTGGTATGTTAATAGAAACCCTTCTTATGATGCTTACTTTATAATTTGTTTGAATATTCATTAATCCAAACTCCAGATAAAAGCATTCAAAAATCTAAAGCGGGTCCAAAATGGCGGCTGTCTCCGGTATTTCGCAATCGGGGTTTACGGAGGCAGCTGAGCGTTTGCTTGAACGAAGGTATCATAAGGATAAATGAAATGTAAAGGAATTCTTGGGTTGACACGTCGTAGTTACGTCGCAATTCTGTTTCAAACTAACGTATCTTCTATAATGGGTTTTGGCTGGATCTCAAAGTAAAAAAAAAAGAAGAGACATAATAATATTATGCAAATGAAATTCGATGCTTAATATCTTGTGCACGACGGAAAAACAGATCTTAAATCATAATTATAAGTAATACTCTCTCAGAAAGAATATCAATGAAATTGTAAGTATAAAACTTAACCACTGTCTTTCCGATGCACATTCGTGTCATATTAAACTAATAGAAAAGACAAAAATAAGAGAACCATTTTTTGACAGATCGTTTAATGGAGTTTATATCAGCATTCTTGTCTCAAAGAGCTGATTCAAGTTATTGAGCATAAATGGTATCCAATTCCCTGACCGTCGTGAGGCGAGCATTTTCTTCGGCGAAACAGTTCAACCTTTTCATGAAAGTTTAACTAATCGGGAGAGTTCACTTCGGGGATAAACAGGGAATTTTTAAAAAGTTAAAAAACCATAGCTGTTTCACCGCTTTAGTGTCACTTGCTTACAAACGATATGGAATTTGTAAAATGTGTTAAATATACCGGGTACTTTCTAATCCTCGAATTTTAGGCTATAAGAACACATTTTTTATTTCATTGAAGCTATCACACCTATTTAATAAAACATTCCAAAGAAAAGGCGCTATGATTAACTCGTAGCGTTTGGCGCGAAATTATGAATAGTGACTCGCCTTTCATAATTCTAAGACAAAAAGCACTGTTATACAGAGGTATATACAAGAAGATTCAGAGCAGAGGTCCCAATACTGTAATATTTAGCTCGTTGGATTTTCATGCTGGCAACTCAATCCCTCTTGTGTGCAATTTTTGTTTACTTTTTTAGGTCGATTTTACGCTGTCTTACCGGAATCGGACGGAAGACCTCTCGTTGCTCGCAACGAGTTTCTCATCTAGTTATTATTATTATTCTTTTTTTTTTAGACAAAATTTTGTGCAGGCGATTTCTCGTAAACTATTCGGTGGATTTCAATGAAAATTTCAGGAATAATAGGTCACTATATGAATTTTATATAAAATTCCGTTTGTTGGAAAATTCGCTACCAGTGCCAAGTTATGGGCAATTTCCTGATTTTAAAATGCAATTTTGTCTTCGAATGTTCTCGAAAACGGCTCAAGATAGTAACTGGAGACTTGTTAGAGATGATAGACCATGAGTTATAGATGTGCAATTTTGCCTTCGTTTGCGTCGTCAGTACTTCCGGTCGCTACAGGAAGTGAATTCAAAATGTGCACTTTTTCAACTTTTTTGTTTTTCAATATTTTTCTTTGATATAATTAAAGTTAATGGAGACCCTACTGGAAAGGCCTAATATATAATTTATTTTAGAATTGATCAATCCACACACTAGATATTCGCATTTAAAAATCTGAAGCGTGTCCAAGATGGCGGGGCGTCTCCGTGAACTCCGCCATTAAGCAAGTCGGGTTCTAGAAGGTCAGCTGAGCGTTTAGATGAACGAAACTTCTACCAAAAAGATTTATGAAATGTAAAGGATTCTTTAGATTGCTACATCGCAATTACGTTGCATTGAGGATTGTTTTAATATGGGTTTTCCTCAAACGTCTAGTGAAATTGCTTTTGTCTGCATTTCAAAGTAGAATACAACATGACTACAAGTGGAAATACGATGACAACAATTTTTTGTTTTGCACCAGGGAAAACTTATCCTAAACCATGGTTATAAGTAATAGCTTTTCAAGAAACTTGCCTGCCTTAATATTCACTATGTTTCTGAAGTAATACTTGACTTCTGTTTATTTTTCCACGCAGGCTTGTGACATATTAAATGAATAGAAAAGACAAAAATAAGAAAAACATTTTTTAAAAGATTGTTTATTAAAGGTTATATAAATATTCTTGTAATAAATGCAAGTTATTGAACATAAATAGTATAACATTCATTGACCGTCAGAGGGCGAGTGATTTTTTTTCAGTGAAACATTCCAGTCTTTTCATGAACGTGTAACTCATCTCCACTTTGGGGGAAAACAGGATACATAATTCGTGGAAAACACTTTAGTGTTACTTGGCCGTATACGATATTATATTTGTATAATGTGATAAATATACTTTCTAACGCTCGAAATTCCGGTTATAAGAACATACATTTCTAATTTTCATTGAAGCTATCAAATCCATCAAATAGGTCAAATATTTCAAAGGAATAGCGTTAGGAACTACTTGGGACGTTTGGCACGAAATAATGTATCGTGACCCGACTTAAGTAGTAGACAAATGGTGACAATAGTGCAGAAATATATAACATTGTCATGCCTGTTTATGGAGTTGCATGGAATAAAAAGTTGTATACATATCGGAAAAAGGAAAGAAAACAGTATTATGTGTTCATTACTAATAGATTATCTACCTAAAAGTTACTGTTAAAACTCAAGTAACAGATTCCGATGTGATCATCTTGAGCAAAGTTTAGCAAGCTGGCTGTCATTTTACAATTCCAAACTGAATTTTAAAAAAATGTAATGTATGTTGGAATCAAAATAAGCAATCTCGCAATATTCGCATGTTAAATTTGAAGCGGGTTCCCAAAGGTGTAATGGGTACCGCAATGGATTTTCACGTTGGCGACCCGGGTTCGATCCCCCGTGTGTCCGATTTTTAAAATCACTTTTTCAGTTTGATTTTACTCTTTTTTTTCTGAATCGGACGGAAGACCTCTCGTTGCTCGCAACGAGTTTCGTTTCTAGTTATTATTATTATTATTATTTTTTTCCCCAAAATTTTGTGCAGGCGATTTCTCGAAAACTATTCAGTGGTTTTCAATGAAACTTTCAGGAATTATGCGTCATTATATGAAGTTGTGGCATGACAAGGAAAATTTGGAATACTCACCTTCGGTTCCAAGATATTGACAGTTTTCTGATTTTAAAACGGATTTTTGTTCCCCCTTTTTTTCAAAAATGGCTTAAGATATTAACTGGAGACTTACTAGAGATGATAGATGATCACTTCTAGATTTGCAGAATTACCTTTTTGTGCGTCGTTACTACTTCCGGTTGCTATCGGAAGCGAAATTAAAAAGTCCGTATTTTCTAACTTTTTTGTTTTTCAATATTTTTCATTTATTTTTGGAATGCTAATAGAAACCTTTCTTTTAATGCTCACTGTATCATTTGTTTGAATATTGATAAATCCAAACTCTAGATATTAACATTTAAAAATCTGAAGCGGGTCCAAAATGGCGGCTGTCTCTGTCATATCCGACATTTCGCAATTCAGGGTTTACGAAGTCAGCCGAGCGTTTGCTTGAATGAATGTAAAATAGGATAAATGAAATGTAAAGGAATACTTGGATTCTCACGTCGTTGTTACGTTATAATTCTGTGTCAAACTATGATTTAATCCTTGGTCGTCTGAAACGTCTTCTATAATTTGTTTTGGCTGGTTCTCAAAGTAGAAAAAGAAAAGACTAAATGTGCAAATGAAATACGATACCTAGTATCTTTTGTTTCGGAAAATTAGATTTTAAATCATAGGTATAAGTAATAGTTTTTAAGAAACAATATGGATGTACATAGTAAGTATTAAATGTAACCACTGTTTTGCTCATGCAGACTTGTGTCATATTCAAATAATAGAAAAGAAAAAAAAATATAAGAAAATCATTTTTCAAAATATCGTTGAATGGAGTTCATATTAACATTCTTGTCTCAAAGATCTGATTTAAATTATTGAACATAAATGTTATCTGATTGCCTGACTGTAGTAGGCATGCTTTTATCAATATGTTCTTGGTGGGTATGAACAGGAAATTAAAAAAAAGGTAAAAAGTTTACCAGATTCACTGATTTAGTATTATTTATCTATATACGATATGGAATGTGTAAATATGCTAAATATACTTTCTTAACATTGAAATTTAAGCTATAAGAACGTTCTTGTTTCATTTTCATCGAAGCTATCGCACCTATTTAATGGAACATTCCAAAGAAAAATCGCGAAGATTTACTCGTGGTGTTTGACACAAAATTATGAATAGTGACCTGTCTTTCATTATTCGAAAACACATGTACTGTTGCAGAAGTATATACAAGTATATTTAGAGCTTTGGTTCTTATAGAGTAATAGTAAGCGGTTTGGATTTTCATGCTAACGACCCGGGTTCAATGCCCTTTGTTTTCATAACAAGTTTTATCACTTTTTTCAGCTCAATTTTGCGGGGTTTTTTTTCAGAATCGGGCGGAAGACCTCTCGTTGCTCGCAACGAGTTTCTTTTCTAGTTTGATTTCTTTTATTTTATTGTCATACCAGCCTATTTTTTTTCAGCAGTGTGCCCCAGTGTTGTACTTATTTAGATGTGATATCTCCCCATTTTTCCACCAGGGTGCCCATATTTTTGTACTCATTTCATATCTGTTATTTCAATGTTACATATGCCCATTTTTTCACCTCTGTACCCATTTTGTAGTATTTGTATGTTATTTTCAATGTTACAGTTGCCCATTTTTTCACCACTGTGCCCACATGATTCTACTGATCTGCACTTGGAAGCTGTATACCCTTAGTACTCACACAGGGTCAAAGGTCATCAGGTACAAAAAACTTCACACATGCTTTACAACTTTGAAATTTTACAGCAGTGCTGAGGACAAAAGTTCCATTGAGACTTTTCTTGTTTATTTTGGGTATTCTAAAATATTTTGCATCTTTTACTTCAGGTTTTTAAAGCTTCTACTACAGTTTGTTGAAAATCTGAGAACATTCACCAGACCGGAAAAAAACAAATGGATCGAAAGCAGAATCTTATACTGCGAGTTTATACAAAAGATCAAAGACACTATAATAGCACTCAATGAAGCACCTGAATCTGAGAAAAACTTAGGGGAGGTTACAGGTATATATGTATATAAAAATTAATTATTCTCGTTTTGAAAATTTTGAAATTATTTGATAAATTTTTGCTCAAGTAATTTTTATAGTTGGTTTTATGGCTGCTAGATAAAATAAACAGGTAAAGATAACGTCAACGGACTCAGTTGCAAAATCTTCAAACTTCATTGCTAAAAGAATGTTCACTATAAAATTACATCGGAGCTTCACTATTTCAATTATTGATACCTGTATATCGAATATTATGGATATGTGAAAGTGATTTGGAAGTCCCAACTATTTATTTTTTAGGTATTTTACCCTTGATTTCTCTGATATCTTGGAGTTTTTTCTAAGTTTCATAGAATTCAACATAACAAGGTTGGACTGACTTTGTCTTTGTAAGGTAGCCTGTTGGTATACATAAGAGTAGGAGGCATGATCAAATCCTTTTATTGTTCACTGCGCCACGTCAATTCTAAGACGTAAACATGGGTAGTGACTCTTCCTTTGCCAAAGGCTTGGCACCAGAAGTGAAAGTCTTGGCTCTTAAAAATTAAGGTCCCGTGTCACGTTTGAGGTTAGCATGTTAAAGAACCCTCATTTCTCCTTGGCCTTGGGTGCCCAGTATAGGTCTAATTTTGAAACCCTTCGCCTCGTATTTTTGCAAGTGAGAAAAATTCTCGAGTGGCACGTAAACAACAATTTATGAATCACCTTTGTAAAGTTGACTTGTTTAGATCGGACAAAAACTGTAGGAGTAATAGTGATTTGAGAGAAATCACTTACATTCATGATATTTATGACCACAGAGGAATAACGCTTTGATAAATTTACAAATGAAATGTTTATTTTTAGTAAACATAGCAACACTTCCGTCGAAATGAAACCTGAAACAGAATAATCGCGTCTTTAATAGTACATATTCTACAAATGTTCTTGTGTCCCAAGGTTTACTGAAATGGAATCAAAATCATATGATAGTGTTTTGGGAAAAAAATCAGATTTTGTTTTTTTAGTGACCATGCTAAATATCGTTTCGGAAAAGTATCGTTTTTGAAAATTGAATAAATTCAAACAGTTCTTAAGCATTTAGAATACGTACAAAATTTGCGTACATGTACATGTTTATTGAAATGGGATCAAAATCGTATGATAGTGTTTTGGAAAAAAATCACAGATTTTGTTTTTTAGTGACCATCCTAAATATCGTTTCGGAAAAGTATAGTTTTTGAAAAATGAATAAATTCAAAAAGTTCATAAGCAAAAAATCTTTTAATGGTAAAGTTAATGGTTAGCAATCGTTTTGAAGAGAAATTGGAATTGGAGTTAGTTTTTATTTTCGTTGAAATATGACTGCATATTACAAAAGACTGATATAATATGATACACGTATTAAGGATTAAATGTTTATTTATAGTCTAAGACTACTAGTATACTAGTTGTTAGATATTGATTTTGCTAAAGAAACAAAGAACATTGACATCGCTACAATAATTATTTTTCTTTTTTTCCCTACCTGCCTCTTTGCAAAATTTAAAGCAGATTTATTTTTTCCCTTTAAAAATATACCTTGAAAGCTTAATTAAACAAATTGAGGATTACGATTTTTACTGTACAGGGGACTTGAAAAAAACGAAGGGATAAACTTACATAATTTACATGCAGGTAAGAACTAAGAGAAAGTCCGTGAAAGGTGTAACTCGGAGTCAAAAATTGTTTTGATATTTTGAGAACGCCAAGTTAATTTTAAAACAAGGAACGTGCAACATTGTAGGTCGATGACATTCGAGCGTTAAAACCAGTAGCTTCCATACATGGAGTATGGAGAAAGACGTCACCAAAAGAAGGTGATAATTGATGGGTCAAATATAAATATTAACTTTTTATACTTTTTAGATTAGTTGTCAGATGATAAGAAATGATGAAGAACGTATCTTCTTCGTTGGAGGGTCCCCCTAGTCACAGTGCCCACAATTTTACTATGTCGGACTACGGGTACATCGTCATCACGGCGCTGTTGACGCCCTCTGTCCTGTCTTTCAGCACTCTGGTGATCGGAGTCATACGGAAATTCAAACGCCTTCAGACGCCTACTAACTTCTTCATTGCATCGCTGGCTTCCGCAGACATTTTGGTGGCTCTGATGATTCCCGTTTTTACTACCTCTTTACTCCTGCCGGCGAACTTATACCACGATCTCGTCTGCTCGATCCCTAATCGTCTGCTGATCTTGTCCTGTGGTGCGTCCATCCTCTCTCTAGCTGCAGTGGCCTTTGACCGCTACATTGCTTTGACGAATTCTCTGGAATATGTTCAGATCATGACAAAGAGAAAGACTTACGTTCTTATAGTGTCTGCTTGGATCTATTCAGCTTTGATTGTATCTCTTCCAATGTCATTCACTAAAGGCCATTCTGTTCGAAAGAATTGCGGGTTCGGACATATTCACCCTCGGGGTCATTTGCTCTTTGCAAGTATGCTGTTTTTCCCGGCATGTGTGCTGATATTTTTCTGTTACTATAAAATATTTACAATTGCTAAACATCAAAGTAGAGCTATTTATGACCAAGAACAGTCCATAGCAAATGCAATTCATATGAGATACGTGAACCGAGACTGCAAATACGCCAAGACATTGGCTATTCTTATACTGGTTTTTATCGTTTTCTGGTTCCCATTTCAGTTTACACTTCTCCTGATTGCTCTGACGGATATTCAGGTTTGTGACGAAGTTTTAAATTACCTTTTGTATCTCGCAGCATTCAACAGTGTGATGAACCCATGGCTGTATGCCTACAAGAACACGCATATTCGGTCTGCCTTCAGGAAAATATCTTCCACAGTGACTTCTGCATTCAAGCAGACTACCCGCCATTTATCCACGACCAGTCCAAACGAACCTTCTCTGTCGTCTGATTACAAACTGAACCAGACAGACAGCAGAATGGAACAGGTGGACATCAAGCACCAGCTCGAGCTCAACTCCGACATGTTTGCAGACGAGTGTTGGGCATACGAACCCAAGAAAATGTCCGTGCATTCCGTAGGATCTACCATAACCCATAATGGACGAAAAATAGTTGTTCCCAGTTTGGTTATAGAAGACATGGAGGGGAGTTCGGACCTCAATTTGCCGAAAATAGAATCGACAACGTCTATGGAGGACCAAAATACTGATCTTATGATTCATATGTAGTAACTAGTTTGTTTCGGGATTCATTTCACGTGTAGGTGTAACAGAAAAATGTGCCAATCCTTGCTGTCCATGTAAGTCGTGTTATAAACAGGATGCCAGTAATCTTTCCATTAATATTGTGGAAGTCAAACACTGATCGTGAACCAGCTTTGATTCGTATTGGTTTATTCTGTAATTGACTTACCAATCAGAGTAGTCTATCAAGGCAATGCTTTTATGATTACATGCAATCTTTTTACGTTAAAGAAACACTTTCATCTTCCCTGTGATAGCAAAATGGATGCTTTTATGTATACATGTAGAAATTGCAAAGATGATATGTATTTTATTAAGATGAATAGAAAACAAAATAAATTGTTGAATATACTTTATTCTTTACTTATTTCCTGCAAGACATAATGACTCGGACCCGCTCGGGAAGCTGTTACATGACGCACGTTGCAGTCTATAATGTCACTAGATTGAACAAAATAGCTCTTTAATGTAGTTGAATTAGTTTTATGACATTTCAAGTCTTTTCTAATAAAAAATTATTTGCCCGAGTGGTTCATTGGTTAGAACGTATGTGTAAAGGTAAAGTAGGGAGTCAGTCCTTACTCTGACTTGATACAGTGTATGTTGTACATGTAACATTTAGCTCTTTAATAGTTCTTTTTTTCTGTCTTGTTACCAGTTCCTCTGTGAATCTTCTAATTTCTCAAACCCCTCCTGATTTGACGTCACAAGTTAATACACTATACATAATTTCAATTTATTAAACAAAAGTTTGGTTTGATTCGCCTACAAATATATTTATATATTATATATGTGCAAAAGACATTGATGGGAAAATAGCAATTAAACTTTATGATAAATATGAAGACTTTAACATCCCCAATTTAATGTAGCAATACATCATTATCACCTGTGTATGTTGTTCATATCTCTCAGTTGATTTGATACAAATACAAGCAAATTCAAAGAATTGTGGTCCGCCAGCTTTCGGTGTCTTGGTGGGTAAAATGTCATTTTTATGGCATGTTGAGTCAAATAAATTTACATCCACTGAATAATTTCTCCTTTATTTCTTAAGAAAACCCATTGCATTTATCACTGCATGAACTACATTAGGCATGTCGCCTGTTCACAATATAAACAATAAAATGTCTTTCTTTGTTTGTTATTACTGGAATTAACGGTCGCAGCTTGCAGAAAAATTTACATAACCCGCTTACGCGGGTTATGTATTTCTGCAACAGCTGCTTCCGTTAATTCCAGTAATAACAAACAAAGAAAGCATTTTATTGTTTAAATGAACGCCCTTTCGTAATATCATTCAGAAGTTATCATCAAAGTTGAATTTTTAAAAATTAGGTCAATCGTGAAGGTGAGGAGGTCAGAAATCGTAGTATGTTCAAAGATATCTTGTCACAGGAAATGCACATGTCAAATATGAAAGCCCTGTCTCTTCTCACTCAAAAGTTATAAGGAAAAAACATTTTTTTAAAATTAGGTCAAATTTCAAGACAAGGTCACAAGATCGAAATCATTGTATTTAGAAAGGTCTTGTCACCAGCAATACACAGGTTTGATATGAAAGCACTATGTCTTCTCATTCGAAAGTCATGAGCAAAGTTAAAGATTTTGAAAAGTCAAAAAGTCAAAGTGTATTTAGAAAGCTCCTGTCACATGTAATATACAAGTTTAATATAAAGACCCTATCTCTTCTCATTCAAAAGTTATAAAAAAGTAGATCAAACTTCGTGGAGTCGAAAATCATAGTGTATTTTGAAAGGTATTTTGTGATCGGCAATACAGAAGTTCAGTATAAAAGCCTTATCTTTTCTCATTCAGAAGTAATGAAAAGTAGGTCAAACTTCAAGGTCAGGGTCACGAGGTAGTGAACATGTATTTACATTTTTTTTTTTTGTAGAAAGGTCTTGTCACACGTAATGTACATGTTTAACAAGAAAGTCATATCCCTTCTCATTCAAAAGTTATGACCAAGTCAACGTAATAATTGATTTTTTTAAATAAGTAAAACTTCAAGGTCAAGGGTTCGAAAATCATAGTATATTTAGAAAGGTCTTTTCACAGATAATATACATGTGTAATATGAAAGCCCTAATCCCTTCTCATTCAAAAGATATGACCAAGGTTAAATTTTTGCCCCCCTCCATTTCGCGAGGGACAATAAAATCAAAATACAAACAATCACTGAAAGAAGACCCCATTTTACAGAGCCTGAGACGTGCTACTACCCTAAACGCACGCTGCACGAATGGTACACGCTTGCTTCACGGTTTGCAAAAAACGCTGCACGGTTTGCACGAAACGCTACACGGTTTGCACGAAAGGCTGCACGAGACGCGTTGTACACGTTTCTCAAACGTTTTGTACACGATTCTCACTCGCTTTGGTTTTATTATTTATAGATTAATTAAATCGCAATCTTTCACAACACGTTTATAGCAGCTGTTTAAACACCAGCATTATATAAACCGATAGAAATATATAATATACTTTGACAGTTGTAATTAATTAATAAATAACTGTCAATAAATAATTTGTATTAATTTATCCAATTGTTTAGAGATGAAATGCCGATATCATACATTTCATTCGCTAACTGAATCACTGCATGAAAAATATAATTTTTTATAAATTTGTCATCCATTACAATATTTATCTTGCATTTAATTTTTTTTATATTTTTAAAAACATTTCCAACGTCTTTGTCCGAGAAAAATTACTTTTTTCTCCATCAATGCAATGGTTCATCGATAGGCGCGGTTTGAAAAAAAAATCACGTGCGGGGCGGGACGTGAAGCGATAGAGACAGAAGCGGGGCTTGTAGCACGTGGATTTGCGTCCAGTCAAGAGCATGTAAATATAAGGAATAACTGTCAGATTTTTTTTATTTCATGACGATGATCAATCGATTGGCATAAACACTTAGGCGTAATAAACATTATGCAAATTATCACACAAGCCACTCGATTGATCACATCATGAAATTAAAAAAAATTAGACAGTTATTCCTTAATTATTACACATATAGATTACTAAATTAAACAAAAATTCGGTTTCTTACTGCAGGAATATGAACTCATTTATTGATTTTAAATAAAATTGAAAAAATATATTATCATTGAGTCAAATGCTGACTCAGTCTGACATTTTTCATCCTAATTTTTAGTGCATTATTTTTATACACCGAATTAATGACGGATTTTTCCGTTATTTCCCAATCATGACAAGGGGCATACGGCGGGTGTGACCCGTCGACAGGGGATGTTCACTCCTCCATGGCCCCTGATCCAACCTCTCATGTTTTGGAGGTCCGTGTTCAGTGTTGTTTCTGACATAAATTTTCCCAATACATGTAGGATATTAAATGAAATTATACTTCGACAGAAATTGGTTTATGCACTTTTACTTGTATGTAATATACATCTTGCAATAAAAACATATATCCTAAATTAATCGTTAGTCGGATAAAGTTTATAGCCAAATTTTATTATTAAATCAAAAACGAGAAAAATAAATTGTATATATATTTCCTGACAAGGTCATTGTATCGAACAAAGAACTTACGAAATGATGACTTTAATCGAGACTGCAGTGCTAATATTCTTATTTCATCAACTTGTTAGTCAGTAATTTACCTCGTTGTAGAAAGTGTTCATACCATAGACCTAAAGCGATTCGCTTTAGGTCTATGTTCATACTTAGAGCACATACGCTCTTGCGTATCGAATCAACTGAGATATATAAACTCCGTATGGAGGTATATTGATGCATAAGTGAGGGAAGTTGACGATAGAAAAGTTAAAGTCATCACGTTTATCATTAAGCTTGGTTGTTAGTTTACCATTAACGTTTCTTTCAAGTAAAATATCCAAATATGAAACAGATGTGTCAGACTCTGTGGTATCTTTTATCGCAAGCTCACCAGGATATATCGATCGCATAAGAATGGAAATTACCATTGTTAATTAACGACACGTCGTCGATATATCTAAATGTCGAGTTGAAGGCCACAACAAGTGTTTTCTTCTTTTCACGCATGACTTTTTGCACAAATTCTGCTTCATATGAATACAAAAATAGGTCTGCTAGTAACAGGGCTCAATTAGTACCCATGGGAATTCCAAAAGACAGTGTCAATTGTCAATAGTCAATAAGCAGCAAAGACAGGTCTAAAGGTGAATATCAAAAAGACAGAGGTAATACGCTTCAAAACAAACAGCAAAAACCAGTTACTCTTGGAGAGCACAACCTGAAAGACGTAGACTCCTTTACATACTTAGGCAGCATCGTCAAAACCACTGGTGGAACAGATGAAGACATAACAGCAAGAATTAATAAAGCAAGACACGTCTTCATCAACCTCAAGCCTGTGTGGAGTTCAACAGCACTGTCCACACGCATAAAACTTCGGATCTACATCACCAATGTTAGATCTACGCTCCTCTACGGGTCTGAAACATGGAGATTCGCCAACACCACCTCCAACATACTACAAATCTTCACAAACAGTTGTCCCCGCCACATGCATGTACTAAAATGAGATTGCCAGAAAATATAAACAACAAGAACTTGTGGGAAACAACAAACCAAGACCCAATCACTAAACAAATAGCCCGTAGAAAGTGGCGGTGGATTGGACAAATCCTCAGAAAACCATCGAGACACATTACACGCCACGCACTCGAGTGGAACCTCCAAGGCAAACGTCGAGTTGGGCACCCCAAGACAACTTGGCGAAGGTCACGTGAAGAGGAAATCAGAGAGTGTGGACATAGCTGGGAACAACTGAAAATTGCTGCTCAAAACAGGGTGCGATGGAGAACTGTTGCCGAGGCCCTATGTTCCACCAGGAACCAAAAGGAACCAATATCCTAGTGAGGAGTAAAGAAAGAGACTTGGTTGTACATTTACTGGAACCCGCTATATGTATCTTGGTTTGTAATTAAAGATTCTTATGAATTTTGGAATCCAATATATGTATGGTAAGTCAAATTCATTTTGGTTCTTATGGATATTTAAAATATTTAAAACTGACATATAATTTTGAAGAATTTCCTCCTTAGAAAGGGAACTACGAGTTGGATGCACATCTGTTTTTTTAGTCTGTACATGTATCTAATCAAATAACAGCGAAATACCCATAATCCTGTAAAATCCTTAATTTCAAAACCCGACTAGACGTATGTGTGTAATTAACAGTCGCGACATTTGACTACACAATCAGCTATATTACAAGAAAACGGGAATATCCTCGAAAACATTACGTCATTTATCAAACAAATAATAAACATTTATTCACGATTTTAAACTTCTAAACTTTACAATATTATTTTCAGAAAAAGGCTAGCAAATCAGTTATATTTATTTTCCTGTTTAAGTCTAGAACCTTGGCCAAATTAACTTTTGAATGAGAAGAGAAAAGAATTTCATATTTCACGTGTGCATCACCACTGAGACACCGAAGGCGAGCAGTGTAATCCGTGTGCCTAGACCTCTCTTTGGATACCAATATTTTTTGTCCCCCGCTTTGGCGAAAGCGAGGGGACATTATAAATCTCACTTGTCTGTCTGTCTGTTTCAAAAGGTTAACCTTGGTAATATCTTTTGAATGAGAAGAGATAGGATTTTCATATTATACATGTGTATTACTCGTGACAAGACCTTTATAAACACACTATAATTTTTTTACCCCAAGACCTTGACGTTTGATCTACTTTTCAAAAATTTAAATATTACTTTGAATTGACCATAACGTTTGAATGAGAAGAGACAAGGTTTTCGTATTACATAGGTGTATTGCCTGTGACAAGACCTTTCTAAATACACTATGATTTTTGATCTCTTGATCTTGGCCTTTAAGTTTGACCTACTTTTCAAAACTTCTATCCTTGGTCATGACTTTTGAATGAAAAGAGGTAGGACTTTCATCCTGACGTTTGACCTACTTTAAACAATTTTCTTTTCCTTATAACTTTTTATTGAGAAGGATACGACTTTCATATTTGACATGTGCATTACCTGTGACAAGATATTTCCGAGCATGATATGGTTTCTGACCCCTTGACCTTCAAGATTGTCCTAATTAAAAAAAAAAAAAACCTTGATGATAAATTTTGAATGGCATATCACATCTGAAAGGGCGCTCATAGTTTACACAATGTCATGAATAATGACATTTCACCCATAAAGACACCAGAAGCGGGGGACCGTAATTCTTTGAATTTGCTTGTTCAGACCTACATGTACTTTTAAAAAATTAACCTTGGCCATTTTAACTTTTGAACTGTTGGTAATAGGACGTAAATATATCATAAGACAGTGTGTATTCTTTATGAAAAGTCCTGCATTTAGGTAACAATACTTTGGCCTTTTGACATTGACCTTTGATTTTAATCTAAATTTGTAAAAAATTAAACCTTGTCTACAACTTAAAACAAGGAATTTTAGGGCTCTCTTTTTTTCTCTTTACGTATTTCTCGTGTCAAGGTCTTTTCTTTTATACCAAATGAATGTTGTTGTTTTTTTTTTTTTGTTTTTTTTTGACATCGTGGCCTTGATCATCAAGTTTGATTAACTATCCTTTGCTTTAATCTGTGATGCAGGAACATCAGTGTTTCACAAATCTATAATCAGGTTTTTTTCTTGTTCTTTTTACATTAAGACGGAGGAAGGGGCAAAAATTCTTAATCAACTTTTCACTTTATTTTTTACAAGCGTTTCACCTTTTCACGGATATCTTTGTATTGCAGATATGGTACTTTAAATTTTTCGTATAACATGTATCAGTATTCCATGCTTCCAATATGCACAACAATTAGTTCTTTTAATTCAAAATCCATATCCGACACTTTGTATCATGGGAAAAATACAGTGATTAGTGATTCATGGGAAGAATGCAGTGAATTATGGGAAAAATACAGTGAATCACCCTTCAGAGGTGAATATTCAGCAGTTGGTACAAAGGTAAGAGTATCTAAGAGGTGGGTCTTCCAGTCGGATAAGAGTATCTAAGAGATTGGTCTTCCAGTCAGGTAAGAGTATCTAAGAGGTGGGTCTTCCAGTCAGGTTAGAGTATCTAAGAGATGGGTCTTCCAGTCAGGTAAGAGTATCTAAGAGGTGGGTCTTCCAGTCAGATAAGAGTATCTAAGAGATGGGTCTTCCAGTCAGATAAAAGTATCTAAGAGATGGGTCTTCCAATCAGGTTAGAGTATCTAAGAGGTGGGTCTTCCAGTCAGGTCAGAGTATCTAAGAGGTGGGTCTTCCAGTCAGGTTAGAGTATCTAAGAGGTGGGTCTTCCAGTCAGGGTAGAGTATCTAAGAGATGGATCTTCCAGTCAGGGTAGAGTATCTAAGAGGTGGGTCTTCCAGTCAGGTCAGAGTATCTAAGAGGTGGATCTTCCAGTCAGGTGAGAGTATCTAAGAGATGGGTCTTCCAGTCAGGTCAGAGTATCTTAGAGGTGGGTCTTCCAGTCAGGTTAGAGTATTTAAGAGGCGGGTCTTCCAGTCAGGTAAGAGTATCTAAAAGGTCGGTCTTTCCAGTCAGGTGAGAGTATCTAAGAGATGGGTCTTCCAGTCACGTCAGAGTATCTAAGAAGTGGGTCTTCCAGTCAGGTTAGAGTATCTAAGAGGCGGGTCTTCCAGTCAGGTAAGAGTATCTAAAAGGTCGGTCTTCCAGTCAGGTGAGAGTATCTAAGAGATGGGTCTTCCAGTCACGTCAGAGTATCTAAGAAGTGGGTCTTCCAGTCAGGTTAGAGTATCTAAGAGGTGGGTCTTCCAGTCAGGTAAGAGTATCTAAAAGGTCGGTCTTCCAGTCAGGTGAGAGTATCTAAGAGATGGGTCTTCCAGTCACGTCAGAGTATCTAAGAGGTGGGTCTTCCAGTCAGGTTAGAGTATCTAAGAGGTGGGTCTTCCAGTCATTATTTACGTGTTGCATTCAAATCAAGGTTATGGAAGAGTGCATAGCGAGTGTCCGAACCTGGATGACTGTAAACAAACTCAAACTGAATGATGCAAAAACCGAGATAATGGTGATTTCCAGCGCTCATAACCAGAACCGTGTTAAGAACATTCAGCTGAAGATTGGTGACGCAATAGTGACATCTCAATCTACTGCTAAAAACCTCGGTGCTACCCTGGATGCCACCTTATCAATGGAAACGCAAGTCAAGTCCATGCTAAAAAAGATATATTTCAACATTAGGAGAATCTCCAAGGTGAAACAACATCTCACCCAGGAAGCGTGTGCAAAGGTCATCAATGCAACAGTCGTATCCCATCTCGACTATCACAATGCCCTTCTGCTTGGCATAACCGATCGAACCATGCACCGATTACAAGTGGCTCAGAACAATGCTGCGCGTTGTCTCACAAAAACAGGCTACAAACAACATATCACGCCAGTACTTCAACAACTGCACTGGCTGCCTGTAAAACAACGTGTCGTGTTTAAAGTACTGACAACCATGCACAAGTCTCTACACTCCTCCTCAGCATCACCATATATGAGAGAGTTATGCCCTACTTATCAGCCACAAAGGACTTTAAGATCATCGTCTGACAAATGGAAAGTAATAGTAAAGAAATCATCGAACAAATATGGTGCAAGAGCCATAAGCACATTAGGAGCACAACTGTGGAACAACCTGCCTTTTGAACTACGAGAGCTAGAAGCACATGGATCATTCCGCAAGAACCTAAAAACACTCTTGTTCAAGCGTGAATATAATCTATGAATGTAAAAATTCCAGCATAACACCAAGGACTCCATGTGTACCCTCTCGTATACTCAACTCAGAAGTACTTTCCTGTGTACATAACAGTTTTTTTTTTTTTTAATTTTCATTTTATTTGCCTTGTCTACGTTAACCAATTTCATCTTACTACCATGTTTTATTTTAAGGTCCCTTTGTTTTATCGATTATTTACTTTCCATAACAGATTTATAGGTCTTATTAATTTACATTGTTTTTAAATATTAGCAAAACCATTGTACAGCGCATAGAAACTATATGTGATTTTGCGCTTTATAAATTAATAAAATAATAATAATAATAATAATAATAATTGATTGCTGTTTCATTTTCACTTGCACTTAGTAATGATACTAACTTAAAAGTTCATTTTTCTCTCATACACACAAACACACAAACAAATGCACTATAACTTAGTATAATCAAGTTTCTTCCAGTTGAGCTATTCGGAGCAGAGTTACACTTCCGCTTTCTTGATCAATGCCACTGTTGTTACTAGAGGGCGCTTCCCACATTTTGCCCTTAACGCTGGATTTTACGTTTGCTGCCGTTTTATACACTGACTTTCCAGTTTTTGCTAATTCTTGTTGTAATCTAGAAACTTCAGCCTGAAAAAAGAAGGAATAAAAATTAAATATTTGATTAATTTTATTTCACATTAAATAATGAAACAAGGTTTGAGGAAACAATTCATAACTTTAAAATTTCTTTTTAAAATATTTTAATTGAACTAAAAATTAATCTGCCGCTTTCATCAGTCTGACTAAAGCCAGCCCCTACTATTTCACTGTGAAATAGTAGGGGCTGGCCTTAGTCAGACTGCCGCTTTCATCAAATTTACTCCAACCGTTTACTTTAAGTTGATGGCCTGGTTACTGGAAATTGATCTTACATGTACCAACATATTAAAGCGATACAAGAAAATCCATAATTCATATATCTGTCTGCGCGTAAATAGTCTGAAGGTACCTTTCGGAAAATATTTCTAAAAATTTACTTGAACTTGGAGCAAAACTTTCCTTTCATCTTGTTGTCATATATTTATAAAGAAAACAAAACCTTGGTATGGTTTATTATATTTCTATCCCCCCCCCTTTGCAAAAGCGAAGGGACATTAAATTTCATTCGTCTGTCAGTCTGTGTGCCCGTCTAGCTGTCCGACTGTCACGGAAATTTTAACCTTGGTCATAACCTTTGATTGAGAGGAGATGAGGTTTTCATATTTCACATGTACATTGCCTGTGACAAGACCTTTCCTGTTTAACCTAATTTTCAAGCAAATTAACTTTGGCGATAACTTTTGAATTACATATGATACTGCGTTCATATATCCACTAAGACACCGAAGGGGGGCACAATTCTTTAAAATTTGCCTTTGCTGGTATTTACCTCCAGTTTTTCTTTTGTAAGTCTTTCCATTTCTTCGGCCTTTTTGATGAAGACGTTCGAGATATAGTTAATTAGGAGGGATAGATAAGCCAGGCCGAACAATATCCACACGTACGTCACAATTCTGTACAGGTCGCCCGTACCACGATGATCTATGCGATTCTCTGAAATAGCTGTAAATAAATGAAAAATAAAATCATGGGTTTTTTTCCCTTCATCACGGAATGATAAAGGAATATGTTGTTATTTATCTAAATCGTTCTTGGTATTAAAATTTATTAAAAAATCCCGTGGAACACAGTGTTATTTGATCATCCTTTTTATAAAGATGTACAGTCAAACCAGTCATCTTGAAAAAGGATATGGAGATAATGAACAGTAATCAATATCAAAGTCCATTAAACAAGGTCATTGTATCGTCCATAGAATTTACGAAATGATGACTTTAAACGAGACTGTTGATATTCTTGTTTCATCAACTTGCTTGTCAATAATTTACCTCGTTTTAGAAAGTGTTCATACGAAGAGCATGCTCTTGCGTATCGAATCAACTGAGATATATACACTCCGTATGCAGGTGATGAAGGTATATTGCTGCATAAGTAAGGACAGTTGACGATAGAAAAGTTAAAGTCATCACGTTTACCATATAGCTTGGTTGTTAGATTACCATGCATTAACGTCTTTTTCAAGTATCAAAGTACTCAGAAGTACTGAAAGCCGCGCTCATTTACAGGGTAATGAACAAAGACCGCAATGACAGTTAAAAAACAAGCTGATTCAGACATCGAAAAGATGATCATATAATTATATCTATATATGTCATATATAGCTGCATTAAAAAGCTTTAAAATTAATTAAAATGTAGCTATCATTTAACAGCGTAAAATACGTGTCACATGTATCATTTCGGGGTTTTACATACCAACAAAAGTAAATGAACACTGATGCAGCAAGATTATTTAAGGTCAAACAATTATGCACAGATAGTTTTATCAAAGCGTACATCAAGTCATTAATGGTGTTCCCCGCATTTGTATTAGTACACCCTTTATTTATAGAATATGACGCAGACAGGGATACCTGATGAAAACTTTTCGCATATTTTAACCAAATGATTAATCATCGAAAACGATATAAAGTATTTTATTATAATTATTTTTTGACAATTTTAGATAACTATGAAAGTTTAATTCAGTGTTTGTATTGCCTCAAAGGTGATTGCGCAGACGTACTATATTCTAACTCGTAAATTTAATTTGGCGGTGAAGAAGCAGCATTTTCTGTTGCTCACCGTTGCAATAGCCGGGCATTTCTCTACGAGAAATGAGCCCGGCTAAAAATATCCAAGTATGAAACAGATGTGTCAGACTCTGTGGTATCTTTTATCTCAAGCTCACCAGGATATATCGTATCGACGTAGGAATGGAAATGACCATTTTTAGCCGGGCTCATTGCTCGTAGAGCAATGCCCGGCTATTGCGACGGTGAGCATCAAAAATGCTGCTTCTTCACCGCCAAATTGAGTTTACGAGTAAAAGTATAGTACGTACGCCCAGCCGCTGTTGAGAAAACAAAATCCATTCAAACACCTTAAGAAATAGAAAATCAAATATTTTTATCAAAATATTAAATTAATATTTTCCCTGGCTCCTTTGACTAATATTTTACAAAGCAATTCAAAAGGTGCGAAAGGTTTTCACCAGGCATCCCTGTCTGCGTCATATTTTATAAATAAAGGTTGTACTATCAGGCTAACACAAATGCAGGGAACATCATTAATGACTTGATGCAAAACTCCCCGCTGAGGACACATCAGTGCATAGTCATTTGACCTTAATTAATCTTGCTGCATTGGTGTTTATTTACTTCTGTTTGTATATAAAACCACGAAACGATACATGTGATAAATATTTTACGCTGTTAATTTCTAGCTATATTTTACTTAATTTTTAAAACTTTTTAATACTATACATGCCATTGAGATATTTTTGTGTGTAACATATCTTCTAAACGTCTGAACTTGATTTTAAATTGTCACCACGGTCGATTTTTGTTCATTACCCTGTAAATGAGCCCGGCTTTCAGTACTTCTGAGTACTTTGATTAATTGACAATACGTCGTCGAAATGTCTAAATGTCGAGTTGAAGGCCACAGCAAGTGTTTTCTTCTTTTCACGCATAAGATTTTGCACAAATTCTGCTTCATATGACTATAAAAATAGGTCTGCTAATAACGGAGCGCAATTGGTACCCATGGGAGTTCCAATAGATTGTTGGAATACCTGGTCTCCAAAAACCACATAGATATTGTCAATCAGAAACTCAAGCATCTCTTTGATGTCAACTTCAGATTACTTGAGAACTCAATGGTGTCGAGAAATCACGTTATAAAAAGCCAAGTTGTTTGGACTACACTGTCGCATTTTGATGTATTCGAAATTCGATGTAACTTAAGTTCAACTGCACATGTAATATATCATTTTTATGTAACTCAGGATACTTTTAATCACTTGGGTGTTTAGAATTTGGTAAACTAAAAGCAAATTACTTCAGCGTGCTTTATAGTGCATGGAGTATTTACGTTCTCTCGCCATTTAATATTTAAAAAAATTATATTTAATAAGTTCAATTTTATTTCAAGGAGTTACGCTTTGTTGACAATAAGAATAGTACATGTATTTTGGACATAATAATGTCAGCAGCTTTGGTGTACGTGACATTAAAACACAAGTGATACGATTTTTTAAAAAATCAAACCTTTAATAAAGCTTATATCTGCCCAACTAGTAGAAAGGGCTGCAAGTCATAGACATACTATTAAAAGCTTCTTTTTATCTTAATGTTTGTACACTGAATTCTTATTAATCCGAAGGCCAATATTCCGGACACCTCACCTGCCGGACAAAGTTTGTTGGAAACATTTTTTTATATTTACCAAGAAAGTTTTAATTGGCCTGACGGGATCACAGGTGTCCGTATAAACGGGACTCGACTGTATACATGTACGTAAAATTTAGTCTGCAGTAGCCACTTACCTGCTATATAGTCGCCGAATCCTATAGTACTGAGGGTCACAAAACAGTAATACAGTGCCTCTAAAACCGTCCAATCCTCCACGTAACTGAAAACCGAGGCCGGTAGGATGAATAGGATAGTCAGCCCCAGGGTAACAATGAGGACCATGTTCAGTATTTTGTTCACCAGAGGTTTGGCCGAGCAGAGTTTACATTTGTTGACCCGTGTGGAGAGGCGGGTCAGGATTTGACCCAAGTAGTTCAACATGATGAGAGTGATGGGAATTCCTATGAGGGCGTAAACCACCAGAGCCACTTTACCGGGGTACGTTTTGGGTGCCAGGTTTCCATATCCTTAAAGGTAAGAAAATATAGGAATTTTTGCATTCATTTTATTTGCTGTTAATTTTCACGTCTTACTAGTATATCATGTAGACCAGAAGATACATACATGTAGGGATTTGATATTTAGCATGTATACGACGTGTGCCGCAACTATTTTTAATACTTTTTAATTGACATATAGAAACCAAGTTAAGCTGCAATTGACTTAGATGTATGGATATATGACAACATGTACCTAGTGTAGTTTCTTTCACTAATTAACAATTTTCAATTGCCGATGAGTACAGAATGAGTCATATTCATTGACAGTTGAAAATTGTTAATTAGTGAAAGACATTAGCATATGTATTGATTCTCAATATATCTTTGTATAGAATTAAATTCAGACTTAACGGAGCATTAATTTTGTGCTGTTTTATTTTTAAGTTTGTGAGAGTCCAAGGCCCATGGGCTACAATAGTCACCATCAATAGATAGTTTTCAGTAAACCCAAATTAACATGAGTTATTTCCTGTTGGCCACCATACTGGGGGTCAACGTACATGCTCATATTCCTTCATTATTCAACCAACTTTAACTTTTTATACCGGAAATTGTGGGGTGGTAAGCATTGTTTTTCTTAAAAATATACATTTGTTAGAGTCTCCTTTATTTTATCATTTTTGTTCCATAAAGATTTCCCCCCAAATATTTCTGCTACATGCACTCTCTTATATTTAGTAGGACAAAGAGGGAAAATTACATGGTTGACCTCCAAGATGGCCTCCAAAGGGAAATAACTCTTGTTTATTTGGGTCTACTGAAAACTATCTATAAAATTTGCTCTGCTGTTCTTTCGATGTATACCGGTACATCGATGTTATGAGAATTTTCAAAAGAGGTGTTTCTTTTTTATTTTCTTTTATTTTGTGTGCCCCTAAACATGCTAAATATATAAACACGGCACTGACACCTTACGTCATTAAGTCAGTATAACCTTTTCTTTTATTGCCAGATGGCAATAAGATTTTTGTATCATCCTACTCATGTGTTGCTATGGTATGCGACACATCTACATTGCCACACATTAATTTTCATCCTTCGTAACAAAGCAGATGGCGAGATTCTCAGGGTTTGTATACTGATGTAAACAGAATTGACAGTATGCCGAGTACGTAACCCTGTTTCTAGATTGTTATATACTTGTTACGCTAATTTTTTTTCTGTATGTGCAATAAATCAAGTTTCTCTTAATATCAGAGTGTGTGTAGGCATTATCTTTCTCTCTTCTTTCCCTTATAGATGTATACCGCATATACATGTATTATCTTACTTTATATTAAATTTTTGTTGTATGTTTAATTTCGTTTTATTGGATAATACTCAAACACTGCTTTAGATATGCCGCCAATCACTTTTATTTTCTTGCGTGTGAAATTACAATAAAACCCGCCTAACCCGGATACCACTGGTTTCATTGAAATTTAACGGGATAAGACCTCATTCCGGATTGGTCAACATTTAAAAAACATGAGTGTGACTAAATGTTTAAATCGATTTACAGCAGTAGTATCTTTATTGGCATATACATTACATCGTTATAGGTACGATTTCGGATACACAGCATTCGAATTAAGGGACTCCGACCCTCAGCCAGCAAGGACAACTCTTTAATTTATAATTTAATTCAAAAAAGTCTTTAAATGAAGCTTGAAAATTAAATATTTTCATGCAACAATTTTCATTATATGCCTCTCAATGTACTTCAAGGTTCTTTGCAAAGCTCCATAAATCACTTCTAATTTCATATCATGTTAATAAACATTGGTATCTAAAAATGCTTTTTCGGGATAAAAATTTCTACTTTTAATTAGACCTTTCTGAGAAGTTCAAAGAACCTTGTTCACATTGAGAGGCATATAATGAAAATTGTTGCATGAAAAGATTTAATTTTCAAGCTTCATTTAAAGACTTTTTGAATTAAATTATAAATTAAAGAGTTGTCCTCCCTGGCTGAGGGTCGAAGTCCCTTAAAACAATTAGCATAACAATTATAAAATAATTTACCTATGGTGGTTACCACGGTAACAACGAAGGAAAATGAACCAATGAAATCCCACTGTGTGTATACCGTCGTGTTACGTAAAGTGTTTAAGGCGAACGTAAATTCCTGATCCACCTGACGTAATACGTTGATTAGGTCGTCATGCTTTACACAGGAATGGTTACCTTAATAATAATAAAAAAACAGATATTTCAAATATCATATGAATAAAAAATGTGTTTTTATTACCAATAAGAAAAAAATTGTGGTTGTAAGTAGACAATCTTATATGCACGATTTCTTTTTTTTAAAAGCATTGTATAAAAGTACTAGTAAAACAGTTAATTAAATCTTAGTGGAGACAATTAACATTGTCGGTGTAAAATGTGAGAATGCAGATACCATATAAATATGTACATTCTTTAAGGACATGCATAATACATTTTGAACTTTTTACCTGGTGTTGAAGAGTTCCAATACTTGATGGAATTGTGTACTACATTTTAATGTGTATATATACTTTTGTACACTTCTAAAATATTGGTTAAGAAATAAATAACATTAGGTACTTTAAATTGTTGTTGACAACGATGAGACGACTTAAGCTCCACCTCTTTGCCGGGTGAGACAATGTTATTGGTTATTCGGTACATTCATTGACATTTGCCCGAATTTCTATCCCGTGTGTGGCGGTCAGCCGGGTTTGATCGCCGGTAGCCAGATAGCTCAGTTGGTAGAGCACCAGACCGGAGTTTCGGGGGACCCAGATTCGATCGAGTCCCGGTCTGGTCCGCTGCATATTCTCCTCTCCCGTTACATTTGGTGCCGTGCCATTCCATGCAATTGACAGGTGAGAGGCCTGCCAGAGATGAGCCTCGGTTGGGGTCTTTGGGGACCAAAGAACTTTAAGGAGGGAGGAATGTGGCGGTCAGATGGGATTGGTTGCCGGTAGCCAGATAGCTAAATTGGTGAGCACCTGACCGGAGTTTCAGGGGGCCCTGGATCGAATCCAGGTCTGGTCCGCTCAATTTTTCCCTCTACCGTTACACTTGGTGCCGTGCCATGCCCTGGAACTGACAGGTGAGAGCCTGCCAGGGATGAGTCTGGGCTGGAGTCTTTGGGGGCCAAAGACCTTTAAGGAGGGAGGAATGTGGCGGTCAGCCGGGATTGATCGCCGGTAGCCAGATAGCTCAGTTGGTAGAGCACCTGACTGGAGTTTCAGGGGGCCCGGGTTCGAGTCCCGGCCTGGGGCCATAAAACTTAGACGAGCTCACTTTTGATCTCAGTCTCACTTTTCAACTATATATTCCTTTGGAAAAATTGAGACTGAGATCAAAAGTGAGCTAGAGATTGTTGTCTATGTCTAAACCAGTTTTATGCCCCCAGGAAACCAAGTTTAAAATTAATTTCCCAAATATTTGTTGAAAAATCCCCTTTCTCCTTTTCCTCTCTCATAATATCTGGTATTTTTCACTATACCCGCTGCATTTTCTCCTCTCCGTTACACACGTATATTTCAACAGTGAATGAAAGCTGTGTAAATTTCAGATGCTAATTATGTAACGTCGAGAATGCCACACCTTACTTAGTACTCAGTAAGTTACTAAAAGGCGAAGCTTAACTGAGAATCGTTGTAAGAATATCTTGAAAAATTATCAATGAGTAAGGTGCGTTGCGTATGTCCTTAAATTGAGAAAAAAATTATTGAAAAGGTAGATATATTTTTTCCTACTTACTAATATGGAATATTTCCAGAAAGACAAATTAATGGGGGAAAAGAGAAGCCAGAAGTGGCATGGGCAGAGTCAGGACAGCGGTCCTGGGTTAATATCATATTTATTTTACAGATGTTCATTTAAAAGTTTGAGATTATATTTTTTGAAGAATTAATACCCTAAAATTGAGAGAGAGAGAGAGAGAGAGAGAGAGAGAGAGAGAGAGAGAGAGTATTTCAAGTATATGCTATAATAACTTATATGTTTTTATTAAAAAAAAAATCACACTACATATTATCTTTGAAACGATGAAAATGTAACTATATGGTTTAGACAAAAGGAACAAAAAACGTCTGAATTCACAAGTAAGCTTATTAAAGTAATACGAGTTTTTTCTTATATATACTAGTTGTCGATGAGAGGAATACAGATTGGTGGCGCACAATTAAGGATATCCGATCCTCAGCCAGGAAGGATAACTCCAAAAATATTTTTTTAATTTGAAATGCACCAAAATGAAGCTTTAAAATGAATTTTTTTCAAGCAACAATTTTCATTTGATTCATCTTTATAAGATTCAAGGTTTTTGGAAGTCTTAGAAAAGGCCTTATAAAAGTTCTAATTTGTACCCTATAAAAGGAAAAAAATAATACAGTTTTAGAGAAATAAGATTTTCTTGAATGCAGCCTTAGATACCAATGCTTATTAGCATGATCTGAAATAAGAAGTGATTTGTGGTGTCTTGCAATGATACCAAAAGCCTTTTACACTATATATTATAGAATACATGGCGCAAATAGAAGACAAAAAATACCAAATAAGTTTAAAAATCATGACAATTTCTCTGAATGCCTGGATACCTATCGTTTTTTAACCGTAAATATATTTGTTGATCTATTTGCACTTAGAAAATGCATTGCTGATATTCCCATTCTCTTTTTCTGCAAAAATAATGGAGATTTGACAATTTTCCCTATATAATATGATTTTCACTTTAAGGATATCCGAAAGCGATCCTCAGCCAGGAAGGATAACTCCAAAAATTAATATTTTATTTGAAATGCACCAAAATGAAGCTTGAAAATGGAATTTTTTCATGCAACAATTTTCATTTGATTCATCCTTATAAGAACCAAGTTTTTGGAAGTCATAGAAAAAGTCTTATAAAAGTTGACAATTGTACCCTAAAAAGGGAAAAAAAATTAATGTAGTTTTAGAGAAATAAGATTTTATTGAATTCAGCGTTAGATACCAATGCTTATTAGCATGATATGAAATAAGAAGTGATTTGTGGTGTCTTGCAACAATAGCAAAAGCCTTTTACACTACGTATTATAGAATACATGACGGAAATAGAAGACGAAAAATACCAAATAAGTATAAAAATCATAGCAATTTCTCTAAATGCCTGGATATCTATCGTTTTTTAACTTAAAATATATTTGTTGATCAATTTGCAGTTAGAAAATGCATTGCTGATATTCCAATTCGCCTTTTCTGCAAAAGTATTTGAGATTTGACAATTTTCCCTAATATATAATACAAATGTATAATTAACTTAATTTGCTAATTTTATAAACCTGAGGATCGGATTACCTTAAAAATTTCACTTGAATCTAAAAGAAAAATTACGATCGAAATAACTTAGAGCTTCAAGTATTGCTTCTTTTCCACAAAAGGTGCCATTGCATCGAGGATAGCTTATTGAAAACGTAAAATGAAAATGAATTGACTCTTTGCGTGTTTCAAAGTATTTTCCATTAATAGGCTACACGTGTAACTAAAATTCCTCAGCCTCGTAACACGTGAGTACAATCATCCTTGAACCATCTTGTTACAGATGGACAAACATTCCTGAAATTTGTAGCAAGAATGCACCTATTAAGGGTATTGTTCTCTTGGATTGTTCATGAATATTTTACCGTTGTGTGGAACAAAAGAAACCTATTTCCACTACACATTAGGAGTAAATTCCTATAAAAGACAATGGCACGGATTTCTACATAGCAATGGGTTATTTTTCATATTGCGCCGTCGCATAGATTTAAGCCTATTACAGATAATTGAGAGGAATTCTACAAATTTCAAAAAGGAACGAAAACTAGCAACAAGTTGTTTACGACATAAAATAAAGGATAACTAGAGATTATACCTATGAAGTTTCTAAGGAAGGCCTCTAACCGAAGTCGTCGCTCTATTTCGGGATCGCCCTCGATTTGACTGAAGATAGCGGCTCCCACGCACAAATACACCACCACCAACACCAACAGAACCACCATTCGCTTCCACCCTGGGCCTTCTGACGTCATCTTCCAAGAGTCAAACGGAAAATAAAATCCTTAAATTAACTTTTCTTGCTTTCAGGTGACGTCAATTCTTCATGACATTATTCAAAATGTCTTGAACTTAAGGTATTCCAGACATAAGTAATTAATAAAGCACATTGTTGTTCCAAACTTTTTTGTAAACAATTCTATGGAACTTATTATTATTTTTGTTTTGGAAAGATCACACGGTACATTAAATGAGTATATATATCCAACTAATTGAAAGGTTTCCATACACTAGGTAACTCCTTTTTACATCCAGGAATCGGACAGAAATCGCGATCGGTGAGATATTTTATCTACTGATATGTTGGCAGTATTTCTGTTTACGCTACTCGTGCATTATTCTTCTGTTTCTGATCGACAGGCCACCTTATTCAACCAGACGATGTCACCAAACCTTCTATTTATATCTACTCCATCGCTCTGCTGATGCAGCTGATTTAGTTGTGTCACTTTTGTCGCTGTTATTCAATTGTTTGGACAATTGTTTTTCTATGACAGGCCCGCGGCACTCATTCAATCAAGAGAAATTTTTTAAATGAAAGTGGCAGAAACACATCAAACATATGTAAGTTAATTTTAAGTATGCAAAGGTGTAGAGACAAGATATTTTTTTTTAATTAGCAAACGTACATTTGATATTCTCTTTGAAGAATGTTCTAAATACCAATACACTAACTACAGATGGTTCATTAAGAATTAGGGGGAATGGTAATTACACTAGAGTGAGAATATTCTATTCTCATCTTTTTGTTTTGTCGATCTTGTTTCTTGCAATCATAAGCAGAAAAAGCCAGTATGTATTTGTTATGAAGATGCATGATTCCCGAGTCTTGTACACATATTTGACATGGTGTATCATTATTAAGAAAAATTCTAACACTATTTCGTTTTTAATCTGGATGAACTCACTCGTTTTTCATAAATCGATAAAGTTCCTCGTTTAAAGGTACATGTGTATTCTTAATTATACATTAGAAGGTCCATAAATGGTTTTAACTATCACTTGGTCATGTAAGACTTTAAAATTTTATAGCTATTTAAAATCAATTCTGTTTAGAGTTAACCATGCAACATATCCACTAAGCTAATACAGACAATTATGACATGCTTATTTTTCTCAAACTGGGAATATGTAGATGAATAATGCATGTGACTCTGTTTGACATGAATTAATCTAATATCCGGTATATAAATATCATAAATACTGTATCTGTCATAGTTTCGGTGGTATGTTCATAAATAAACGATTCTGTGTGGGTTTTTTGATTTCGAATAAGGGTGTGGTGCATGCATATGGTTAATTAAACAAGAGACCCATGGGCCACATCGCTCACCAGAATAGCTTTGACCATATGCTGTTCTTAATTTACCAGATGTTCCCCTTGTAAAACCATCTGTAACCCCACCCTACCCCAAGGGTCATAATTTGGACAATTTAAAATCCAAACTACTCCACGATGCTTTCGCAGAAGTTTCAGCCTTTCTGGTCCAGTTGTTCCCGAGAAGTAGATTTGTCCTATATAGTTGGATATAAAACTTGGATTCCCTATTGTGGCCCCGCCCTACCCCCCCCCCCCCCCGGGTCATGATTTGAACAATTTAGAATCTACACTACCCAGGATGCTTCTACGTAAGTTTCAGCTTTTCTGGCCAAGTGGTTCTTGAGAAGATTTTCAAAGATTTTTTTCTGTATAGTTCAATGTAAAACTTGGGTTCCATATCGTGGCCCCGCCCTAACCCCGGGGGTCATGATTTGAACAATTTGGAATCTACACTCCCCCACAATGCTTCTACATAAGTTTCCGCTTTTCGGAGATTTTTTAAATTTTTTTCCTATATATATTTCTATGTAAAACTTTAATTCCCTATTGTGGCCCCGCCCAATCCCAGGAGAGGGTCATGATTTGAATAATTTAGAATCTACACTGCCCCAGCAGAGGCGTAGACACAAACTTAAAAGTGGGGGGCTCAACTCCAGAAATTCTTTGACAAGCAAAAAAAAAAAAAAAAAAAAAAAAGAAAATTGAATTGAAAGTTCCCCAAACTCGAAAATCCTATTTTGTGTGTGGTGGGGGGTGGGGGGGGGGGGGGGGGGGGGGGGGGGAGTGGCCAACTTTTTCAAAGGCAAGTTACTTTCTATTCCAATTTTTTTCCCACAATTCTTCGATATAACTATGCTAGGGTCAACAAGTGGGGAGGGGGGGGGGCCAACTATCCCTTCAATGAACATTTCCTATAGTAAAGGTAAAGGGGAAAATAGCTGTGATTTTGTTCTTCATTTAAAAAGTGGGGGGGGGGGGGGGGGCACAGACATACTCTTGCCCCCCAGATCTGAAAGTGGGGGGGGGCCCCCGCTGCCCCCCCCCCCCCCCCTGTGACTACGCCTATGCCCAGGATGCTTCCACATAAGTTTCAGTTTTTCTGGTTCTGTGGTTCTTGTTGAGATTTTTAATGTCGTTTTAATGTCATCGGCTCAGGTGAGCTAGAAAGGAAATTTTATCAGTACAGGCTCGTAGAATGCAGGGGGTGGATGGGATGGGGGATGAGTATAGAGTCTTTTGGTAGTCTCAATATGTAAATTTCATTTAGATGCTGGTCCACACTCTGCACACACTCTGCTATCTGTTTTTGTCCGTCGTCTGTCATCCGTCGTGCGTTAACATTTAAACATTTTCAGCTTCTTCTCTGAAACCACTAAACCAATTTCAACCAATTTTGCCATGTAGCATCTATGGGTAAAGGGAAACAAAAATTTTGAATTTCGTGGTCCCTGCCCCCCTGGGGCCTGGGGGGGTGGGGCAAAACCCACTAAAATTAGTGCAATCTTTAAAAATCTTCTTCTTTACTCCCGGGCATCAAGCAGTCAAACTGTTGGTATGATTGTAATCAGCATTGAGTCCTCTACCAAAATTATGAAATTCATGGCCCCAGGGTCAGGGATTCTGGTGTTAGGGTGGGGCTCTATTGATTATATAGTGAAAATGCATTAATTCTTTGAAAATCTTCTTCTCTGCTCCTGGGTATTAAATAAACTAATTAAGTTCATAGTTATGATGAGCAAGAATGCTTCTACCAAAATTGTGAATTTTATGGCCCCAGGGTAAGGGGTTATGGTGTTAGGGCGGGGCTCTATTGAATATATAGTGAAAATGCATTATTTCTTTGAAAATCTTCTTCTCTGTTTCTGAGTATTAAATAAACTAATTAAGTTCATAGTTATGACGAGCAAGAGTGCCCCTACTAAAGTTGTGAATTTTATGGCCCCAGGGTCAGGGGTTATGGTGTTAGGGCGGGGCTCTATTGATTATATAGTGAAAATGCATTAAATCTTTGATAATCTTGTTCTCTGCTACTAGGTATCAAATAAACTAACTAAGTACATAGTTATGATGAGCAAGAGTGCCTCTACCAAATTTTTGAAATTCATGGCCCCAGGGTCAGGGGTTCTGGTGTTAGGGCGGGGCTCTATTGATTATAGAGAGAAAATGCATAAAATCTTTGAAAATCGTCTTCTCTGTTCCTGAGTATTAAATAAACTAACCAAGTATATAGTCATGATGAGCAAGAGTGCCTCTACCAAAATTGTGAATTTTATGGCCCAAGGGTCAGAGGTTCTGGTGTTAGGACGGGGCTCTATTGATTATATAGTGAAAATGCATTAAATCTTTGAAAATCTTCTTCTCTGCTTCTGAGTATTAAATAATCTAATTAAGGACATAGTTATGATGAGCAAGAATGCTTCTACCAAAATTGTGAATTTTATGTCCCCGGGGTCAGGGGTTATGGTGTTAGGAATTGGCTCTATAATGATTATATGGTGAAAATACATTACATCTATGAAAATCTTTTTCTCTACTCCTAGGTAATAAGCAGAATGAACTATTTACATAGTTATGATGGGATGGGCTCTTCTTCCAGAATTGTGAATTTCAAGGCCTCTGGATCAGGGATACCAAAATGGGGAGGGGGGGGGGCTCTACTTATATACTGAAAATGAATTGTTTGAAATATGCTCCTTGGTATTAATCAAACATTTTTGATAAGCAAGTGTGCCTTTTCAAAAATTGTGCAATGTGTAGACCTAGGGTCAGGGGTTCATGTATGGTAGGAGCACTCCTGATTATTGCTGAATATTACTGATTAGTTGACATACTTTTTGTTCCCCTACCCTGCTTATCCATATTAAGTAAACAAACTAAACAATTGCTAAGTGTATAATTATGATTAGCAATGGTGCCTAGCTCTTTCAAAATTGTGAATGCCATAGCATCTAGCTTAAAACATGAACCAAATTCAATCATTTGAAAGTTGTTGCATGATGCTCAGGTGACCTATAAGGCCCATGGGCCTCTTGTTGTTTTTATAACATTGAACACTGCCAATTCCAGCATTCATTTCTTTTTAAATACAAATAAAGGCATATATTTTTGTGTTATTTTAGAAACATGGGAAGTCTCCAATATAGTATAGTCCTGCGTAATTGTTTTTTAAATAAATCTACATTAACTAGTTAATAAAATTTATACTTTTTTGAGAACCTTTATGTCCCTTCACAGCTTTCGTAGCTCACTATGTGTGCAACATGCTTTGAAAGAAATTTGTGGGAACGAATTTTTATTTCATACGAACGAATTTACTAATTTCGTGGGATCGATTTAATATTGTGGGAAAGAATTTCTATTTCGTGGGATCGAATTTAATTTCGTGGGAATTAATTCTTATAAATTTCGTGGGAACGAATTTAAAAAAAAGTCATATAGCAGTCACCGTATATATACATGTATATGGAATGATGGAGCAAGGAAGTCGACATCACCCATGAATTAGGATACAAGTAGTTGAATGTGGACAGTTTAGGGTTGTTACTTTTTTTGTTTGTCTTTTGCATGTCATATTTTAGGGAAAGAGGGGTATATGCCCCCTAAAGACCTTTCTATAGTAGTGGTCTTGGGGACAGGTCTCTGTATGGCAGTGGATTTAAACCCTCGATGTGAGGATCAACTCCCTGGGAAAAATGCTCTAACCACTGCACTATGCCAGCGAGGATAGTTCTATCTAGGTTTTACTGCCACGTACTAAGGCTTACAATCAATATATAATCTGTGATCTTTCGTGATACAATCTCATCTTTAAAAACAAAACGATTCATATTTCATTTAAATTAATTTTTTTAATTATTAAGACATTTTATACATATTTCACAATGAAAAGTTTTATCAGTGGCATTTTTATTCAGTGTCATTGATTATGCTTTAAAACAGGATGACAGTCAAACACAGATATCACACTCAGACGTACAGTTAAACTCGGTTAGTACGAACACGGATATTGTAAATTCACGGATATAGCAAATTTATCTTGGATCCACAACTATGTAAATTTAGCAAATTTCTTATACAGATATAACAAATTACAGATATAGCGAAGTAATTTCATAGGTCCCAGTGACTTCGTTATAACCGAGTTTCACTGTACTGATATCATGTTCCGAGATATCTCATGTTCAAGATATTAGAGTTAAAACTTAAGTATACATGATTTAACCTAATAACAGTCAAAAACCGATACCTCAAACTAATAGTACTGATATCATGCTCTAAGATATCAGATGTTCTGATCAAGACATTTAAGTTAAAACTTAATATCATACTTTGAGATATCTGACATTCAAGATATCAAAGTTAAAACAAGACTTCAGCACCAACAGATAAACTGAAAAGAGTTAAACTCAGATATCGCAAACTAAGTAAAACTGATCATACTGTAGCATACTATGTTATATCTCAAGATATCAAAATTAAAATTTACACTTTACTTATAAAACACCAGTCAACCTGGATATTCCAACCTCAACAAACTGACATCATACTTTGAGATATCCAAAATTTTGAATTTTTGAGACTTTGCAATACAGTTTAGGTTGTAGATCATGTTTGACATAACCCTGGTATTTAAGATATCTGTGTTTGAATACTTTTAAAAGTATAATTATAGTCATAACAAACATTTCTTAGGTTTTCAATATTTTTCAATTACATGTACATGAACTTTTCAGTATTGTAAACAAAACAAAAAAATTACATGACAGAACACATCTAGATTTCCACCATGCTACACTGCTTGTAGAGTCTTCTCAAAAGTATATGAAGCAGAGATAAAAAAAATATCATACATACATGTACAATGTACTAAATTTTTTCATGCAATAATTGCATCCCCCTTTTTTACAATTTTTAACTGAAACCATTTTTTTTGCAACCCCCCCCCAAAAAAAAAACCATGCAGTAACAGAAATAACAATATCATTTTGACTTATTTCCTTAACATTTTAACAAATTAGAACTTTTAGGCCCTCTTTTAAAGAGTATGAAATCTGTTATTTTGAACTCTGCAAGATTTGACCAAAGATAAAAGATATCCAAAAGACTTCATCTATATACCTTCAGTATTCTACATCTAGATGAAAATTGAAAAATAAATTGGAAACTTAGATGTAAGGAATGTTAAGATTATTGGCTTAAAAAAACCCATTAACACACTTGCAGAAAATTAGGCATCATTGATATGTTTAAAGTGTAGATATATTTAAATAAAGCAAAAAATTGACTTAATAAATGCAATAAAATACAAATACAATAACAACATATGGATCTGTAAACAAAACAAAAAAATTCTAACATTTCATGTAATAATGAATGTGTGGTTTAAAATAGGGGGAGTGAAAGGCTTGATATATAGAACAGCTTGGGCAGTAGGTGAAAAGCACGAGATAATTATATTGAGAAAATGATTCAGCTTCTGGCTATTTAATATATATTAGGATCATAAAATGGTAATAAAACATTAAAATTTCAAATTTTAAGGGTAAGTATAGTTCCCAATAATTAACAAATGCAAAAATTGACGTTTACTCAATAATACATATTAAAGGTTTAACACATTGCTCATGTTTACCAAGCAATATTGAAAATGTTATACACATCAAAAATTGTCTAACTCTTCATTAGATATTTAAATTACCCAACATGATATTTATTTTAATAATGACATAATTAACATGATTAACTTACTGTGAAATCACAAATTTTCATGGGGATTTAATTTTCACATATATTACTACAGTACTGAACAATTCCTAAACCACGAAATCAAGTCCCCGTGAACCAATATATTTTTCTCAAACCACGAAAATTTGACCCCTTGAAGATATGTGATTTAACAGTAATTAACAATCATCTACATAGTCACATATAACAACGGAAGTTCACTTTTTATCTTTTTATAGATATGAAAAGAACTTTATTCGGTAATAACCAATATTTGCCCCCCAAATCAAACTTTGATGGAGGTATATTTAATTAAGTTCGTAAACAGGGGAGTATATGCTGACTTCAAAGCACTGAATATTTTCATAAGTAATGACGTCATATGTACGTAATGACGTCACAAACATGACGTAAATTTCAGATTTTTATGAATTCTACAGAAAAATGTACAAATTTCGTCGATATTTTGAGTAAAAGTCACCGAGCGCATGTGTTTTCAGGATCAATATTTTGATATAATGTGTAGAATGATAATATCAATGAAATATGTCAATATTGTTCCTGAACAAACTTGCCCTCTATAAATTTTAAAGCTAAAACTGTTGAAATTTTGTCCATTTTGTCCTCTTTCTGAAAAAGGATATAAAATCGGACTAGTTTGTGACATCATAAAAACAAAAATTGTGAATACACAGCTTTGAAACTATAATATTTTCTGTTAATTTATATTTCTCATACAATTTATTGAATTCAGCACATTTCAGGAAGTTTTCAAAATTTTTGACTTTTGTGGGGGCAAATATATGCAATATACCGCATATAGTTCTTTCTTGTAGATGTCAGAGAAACATATTTTGAGTAAATTACAGACAGTTGATCCCATAATTTGATGTAAAGGGCACTATATCCCATAGGCTGCGGTAAATTACAGTAAATCCCAAGGGTTGCTATAAATAACAGTAAATCCCGAAGGTTGGTGTAAATTACAGTAAATGCCATAGATTACTGTAAATAACAGTTAATCCCATAGGTTGCTGAAAATGAAAGTAAATCCCATAGGTTGCTGAAAATGAAAGTAAATCCAATAAGTTACTCTGCTTGGTGTCTGATTGGGAACATCAATACTTTAGCCTGCATGAAGGACAGGTCTGGTAAAGTCTTAATGATTTTGGTAGCCTCAGCCCCCAGTTTGTCTGTCTGTCTGTTCTTCTTCACTGTGCTGACCTTGAGATTAGCCAGGATGTTCTCTAATGGCTGAAGGTTTGGTTTCTGTCCATGCATCAACTCTGAATCAAACACTGAAACATGGAAAATGAAGTTTACTATACTGAGTAAAACCAGAAAGGCGTTAAATCTTGCTTTTTTTAAAGATATCTTTGGATTTGCAAAATGTCCTAGTTCTGTACTCTCTTGAATACCTATTAATTGAATTCATCTGAAAAATTTAATCTAAAGAAAAATAATTGTTGCAAACATTTACAAACAAGCAAGCACAAAGTACACTGACATTGTAAATAGGTATACAACATGAAGGAGGGGTTTTGGAATAACCCTGAGTTTACCAAGAGAAAAACATGCACAGGCTATCATCATAAGTTTCATTCCATATACTGAATTTTAACCAAGTTACATGCACAGACCTGACTTCTATATCCTTCCCATTATTCCCCCCATCCTCTATGTTTAAAGTTGTTTTGTTTTTTGTTTATTTTTATATAAATTTTCCATCAAACCCTTGGAACATATCACACTATATTGTTTATTACCATAATTTTGATTTATTTACATGTAAACAATCCTTAACTTATAGTTTGGTACATGTTTGTCTATAAGTATTAATTAAGATTCTAGCAAAGAATGAAAAAAAATACACCTTAATTTGAGTAATTTAGGGAAAAAAGCATCATAAATTAATTATAAAGAGGATTTTAACCTTCAGAATATAGGCACTTTCAATAGCATTATTGAAGGGATGGAATGTTTATCAATTTCTTTGGTTTGGGACAGGCCGGGGTCTAAGTGTATCATCAAGGGTAGTTAATTAAATTAATTTCTACTTTGGGGATTTCTGCCTTTGGCTAAGGTGCGTTAAAATCATGTACACATAACATGAATGGGAAAGGAAAGAGGGAGATTTAATTAGCACAACCATGAAGCTAACTGACCATACACATCTTTCTCATCAAACTACCGGTATATATATAATTGCATAATTTATTGATTTAATTTTTTTTACATGGGGTTCTTGAAAAGAGTGGCATTCCAACCCTCAAAGATTTTTTTTTTAAATGAATTTAATGGTCATTATCAAATCTGACAACACGTAATGCCAAAAATTTGTAAATTTCCAACAAAACACCAACACATAATGAACGATGACACTGATCTTACCCCAATCCCACTCTACAGTGCATTAAAATTAAACAAGAATCGTTTTAGTTGTGCATAACAACAAATGTTATATACAAGAAGTATTTAATATCAAAATTGATTTATTGCATAAGTTTTTACAGTGTAACGTAAATTGGATATTATGAAGGCTTGAAATTGAATTTGGAAGATAAATAAAATATTTTTATCAATTAATTTAAACCCATGATGCCAAACAGTTATGTTCCATTTAACCTGCAGATATCAAAATTGTCCTATATATTCTCTCAAATTAACATTTTCAATCTATTCTTAGTTCCAAATAATAGCTTCTACATGGGTCACCCCTTCCCCCACTTAAACAAATCAATAAGAAGAAATGATTGTGAATTAATATACATTGTAATGCAAGAGAGTGTGAGTGTGTTGTTAGTAACTGGTATTAGTATTTAAGATTATTATTTGTAGAATGTTAAGTTTTATTAGTCCTGACATTGACGAGACACGTAGAACATGGACTGGCCTTACGACACGGAATAAATCCCGAGTCCTTACCTCCAGATCTCCCCCCAGACTCCGTCTCCTGGACCACCAGGAAGTCCAGGTCCAAGGACTTGCTGCTGTCACCTGGAATAACAGAGGAGTTTAAGGTGGCCTGACCCACTTGACAAGATAGATAACTAACACAACTAACAGTAAAATCTAGTTCTAAAATTCTGAAATCCATTTCAATGAAAATTCTGATCTTTCTTTTCATTACAAGTTTCTGTTTTCTATTTTCTTTGACATGTGCAATCACGGACACCCTTTACAAATACAATATTTTTGTCCTTGTACCGGTATATATATCAGGTTCAAAGTTTCACTCTTCTTGCTTGTAATGTCTTCAGTTTGTAAGGGATTTAATGAGTATGGTCAGACAAAACTACATGCATTTTTGAAAGACATTCAGATGACTTGATAAGTTAATGTTAAGATACATAAGGAAAGAAATTATGAAAATTTTCTCCAAAACAGTAAAGCAAATTTTAGTCATACTGATATTCAGAATCCTCATGTACAGGTTGTATAAAAGTTTGGTTGTGTAATAATAAGCAATTTATAAAATGACTTAGGTGAACTTATTGATCTTTGCCTTCATGTTCTAATTAAAAAAAATATTTTTGACTATCAATTATTAATAGAAAAAGGACAAACAAACTATTTTTGTTTTTAATTTCATTTATATTCACTTGACCAATCCTCTTAACTGACAAATGCTATTATTGCTAATTAAGAGATAATACAGGTGACTCTCGATGGCTCGAACTCCAATCTCTCAAAGTTCTCGATCTCTCGAAGTGAACCCCCGGTTCCGTTTTTTCTCTATATAACTAAGCAATTTTACTTCTGATCTCGAGAACTTCTATCTCTCGAAGTTCTCTATCTCTCGAACCAAGACCTTAGTCCTGTTACACACATTTCATTGCTTTTTTACTCTCTATCTCCCAAAGTTTAGATTGCGCGTGCATGCACGCCAATCAAACGTGATATTAATGCAGCTTGGATTTACCTGGATAATAACAATGAATGCCTGGGGCTGGTATGGAAGTGTTAATTGGGTGTTAATTTACATAGATGAAACTACACATGTGGGTCGTCCGTGTGTAAATATAATTAATTGGTTATAATTGATAAATTATAAACGAATCGCTTCACAACTTGTTTGACTTGAAATCAGGATAATAATTTTTAGAAAATAATTTGAAAACGTACGTGTCAATAAGTTCCCACAAGACTATGAACTTTTATTACAGTCTATATAATCCCGGTATGTCAAACTTTGGACAGAAATCCTTTCTCTAGGATTGAATACTGATTGCGAGAGATCTGGTGAACACTAGTGAAGGACCCGTTCGAGCCGCAGAATAGCCAAACTGACAATTGCTATTTAGGTTTCATGTAATCATGAAATAAGAACAAATAAAAACTGAACCTTCAGGAAATCATTTTATTTATTCAAAAAATGATAATTGTTGATTTCAAGTGAATTACCTGTAATATACGATTGAAAACGTGCAAATGATTTTATTACATATACTTCCGGTATCTATAATTGTAGAACATTGATGATCGGAACTGAAAATTACGGATTTTATTTACTTCCAATCACTTGAACCACTCGATCTCTCGAACTTTTCTTATGGTCCCCTGAACTTCGAGAGATCTCGAGTCACCTGTATGTATTCATATCAAAAATTTTTTGACAAATATTTATCAACTCTGCTAGAAAAAGTGTCAAACCAGAAGTCTCTGTCGAGACTGAAGCTCTACTGGTTTGTACTTAGAGCAAAGGAAGAGAAAAGTACTTAAGAAGTTGGGAATTGAAACTTTACAACAGCAATAAATAGAATAATGATCCTTGATAAAGTCTCTTTATGTTCCTAATGTAGTCTACTTGTGTGCCAAGTTATATTGAAATCAGACCAAAACTGTAGGAGGAGTAGCATTTTGAAACAATTTTATAGACATTTTTATTTTTAGTAACCACGGCAACACCATTTAAGGAAATCAAATCCGATACACACAATTATGGATCTTATGTAGTCTACTTGTGTGCCAAGTTATACTGAAATCAGACCAAAACTGTAGGAGGAGAAGCATTTTGAAAAATTGTTTACAGACAGACAGACAGACGGCCGGACGCATTACTATCGCATAAGCTCTTCTGGTCTCTGACCAGCAGAGCTAAAAACAAGTCTGTTTTCACCTTTTCTCTATACAGTGTACTGTATATAGGGTTATTTTCGCCCCGTTTTATTTTCGCCCTTTCACACTTGGAAACAATTTTGCCCTGTTTTAATTTCGCACAGTTATAATATTCTGTTTAAGAAATCATGCTGTGTATTTTATTTTTAATTCGCTCCATTTAAAATTCGCCCACCTGTAGGTAGGGCTAAAATAAAACGGGGGCGATAATTTCCCTGTATACAGTAACTCACATACTGACCTTGTAGAGGATTAACCAGTCCACTACTGGACCAATCAAACTGCACAGGTGGAATATCCTACAAATTAAAAATAGAAATTATCAGTACATCCAATGAAACCTGACAGGTGGAATGTCCTACAAAATTAAAAATAGAAATTATCAGTACATCCACTATATGCCTTAAGTTTTAAACTTGTCATTCTCTGAACCCCCAGTCTCAACGGGCAAAAAAATTGTTTATTGGTGGCATAATTTTCTATCTGATAGCATATTATTTCATATGTCAATGTTTTGGGCTTATAATTATCTCACAGCTGGAGATTCTTAAGAAGAAGGTTTGCAGTACATTATCAATGTACGTAACACCAATTACATGTATCACTGATGTCATAGTTTTTCAAACTTATCAATTTAAGAACACTCTAAACACCTGAAACACTTGTGAGATTTTTTTTTTATTTTGAGAATATACCACATAAAGCTATACATAGTTAACCTAGTTTATTTTAAGCATAGGATATTGCCCGTCTTTATTTTCCAAGAAAAAAACATTGCATAAAAATAGAACATTAGTGATCTGAAATCCATGTAGTATAGTTGCAGAATGGAAAAAAAAAGAGTCAAAATTCAAGTGATTTATATAATCTGATCACTCACTAGTACTTTATCTTGGTCTACAGACATAATCTTAAATATACTACTTACGATTCTGTCATTAATAGGCACGGGGAGGGGGGCTTGGGGGCTTTTGCAAAGATAAATGAAATATAAGCATCGAAATTTGTAGCTTTGTCTCCAGACATTTTTTGTTTGTTAATTAAGCTCCTACCTTCCCCACTTTCAATTTGCTTCCAAAACCTTTGGTCATTAATGAGAGATTCCCATTTACTGCATCATACATGTAAGTGCAGATCAATCTATCTGCATTTAACTATCTGTTAACTATCTCTTGTAAATTATTTAGCACTTCCTTAAAAAGTAAAATGCTTACAATTTGCCCAAAGAATATAATTTGTTTCTTATAATTTTCAAGAATTTTGAATAATGATGAAAAATCCTTTAGTCAAAGGTTCTCCATCACATGTTAATTATCACTTTGTAAAGTTCATTAGGCCTAAAAAATATAAAAAAAAAAATGTGTAGAAATAATTTAATTCTGGTTGTAGCAAGACATCTCATTGGATATACAAATTCTCGCATATCAAAAAGCTTGAATTTCTTCTATTATCTTCCCTGGTTAGTTTTACCTATCTCCAGTGACAGTTCCCCTTAATTTAACCCCCCCCGTCACATTTTCTGTCCTGTAATTATACCCTTCCCTGTTTATTTTAACTGTCTCCAGTCACATTTCCTTTCCTGTAATTATACCCTTCCCTGGTTAATTTTACCCTTCTCCAGTCAGAGTTCCTTTCCTGTAATTATACCCTCCCCTGGTTTATTTTACCTATTCCTAGTCACATTTCCTTTCCTGTAATTATACCCTCCCCTGACCTATTTTACCTGTTTTTGCGGTTCCTCCTTGTTGGTGTCCACCAGGGTTGGTTCTGGTTTTGTGGGTTTAGCCGGCCCTTTAGTCGGTTCCAGGAGAGTTAAGTTAGAGGCGTAGATTGGGACTGACGGCTTTTTGTGTCCTATCAGCTATATTCAAATAAATGAGATAGAAACCTCATGATTTTTGATTTTATTCATTAAACCTGTGTTTATATGTGAAAATATTGTTCAAATGTTTTCTAAGGAAACTACAATATCACAGCATGTGAAAATTTCTGTAATAGCTTCATACATGTACAATATTGCAGTTGTCAATAGCTTACATTATTATTGTAAGCATTTCAAAAATTTTTACTTACTATAATTCACGTCATAAAAATCTCAACAGACAAATTACAAAATATGTATATGTCAAAATATGTACAAGTACACATACGCATACAAGTTTAAGATCTCAACCTCTCTATTAGCTTACGATATTGCGGGTGTCAATAGCTTACGATATTGCGGGTGTCTATCTTGAGGCTTGAGAACAGCTGTTTGTTGCTCCGTGACTGGGACCACTTGAGCGGCGACTCCGTTGCTTGTTTGGTCAGTGAGCCCCACACCCTCGAGGACTTCCTGGAAAAAAAAATCAATTTAAATACAGTGCACTTTAAAAACGTTCTAAGGAGGTCTTAGCTGATCTATAACATGTTAATTTTCGACAACTTTAATTAATGATCCTATAATACTAAATTTAGAGATTACCCCTGAAATGCTAATTACCAACTCATAATATAAAAATATTGCATGTAGTTGAGTGTAACATTGAAAATTTTCACTCCAAGAAAACCATTGTCAACCTCGGCTCAACTACATGCAATATTTATTATATTATACTGAATGTTTTATACAAATACATGTACATATAACAGTGAACCGTGCGGGCATAAATTCTGCACAGTCTCTATTTTTTGGAATATCACCCGTCAACAAGCAATGGTGACTGTTGCTACGCTGGAGGGCGTGGCTTCATTATTCAGCAGGTAATAGTGATTTTTAACAAATGTTTCTCAACCAATCAGATTCAACTAATTTACATGAAAGTATAATATTGTAAATTATATTTAACATATTACACAATCACGACAATGCATTGTAACTGCACATTAGTTGTAACGTAAATGCAGTGGTGTTTATGTGGAGACTTACTCAGGCGATGGATCGGATTCTTTGTCGTGGACGTAGTTATCTAATGATGTGATAATGTTCCCTGGGTCTCTATCGTTTACATCACCATGGAAACAACTTGTCACAGCTCTGCTTGATAGTTCGTCCACCTAAACAGTATTATAAGATATAAGATCAATTCTATTAAAACTTAAAACAATCATGGTTCAAATAAATATCTGACATATACATTTAAATGTCAAACTTTATGCACAAATCATTGGCTTCAGATTATCATTAAATAACAAGAGGCCCATGGGCCACATCGCTCACCTGAGCACCAAGGGTAGGACTAGTATAAAATGGCTTTTTATTGTAAAGTTTAAATCCAAAAGTAGTCCCATGACCAATCATGGATTTGCTATTTTTTAGAAAATGATTGAGAAGAAGATTTTTAAAGAATTTTCCTACATATTTCTATGTAAAACTTTGGTCGGCCATTTTGGCCCCACCCTACCCCCGGGGGTCATGATTTGAACAAAATTGAATCTACACTACCTGAACATGCTTCCATATAAATATGATGAATAATGGCTTTGTCATTCTTGAGAATAAAGATTTTTAAAGAATTTTCCTATATATCTCTATGTAAAACCTTGGTCGGCCATTTTGGCCCCGCCCTACCCCCGGGGGTCATGATTTGAACAAACTTGAATCTACACTACCTGAGCATGCTTCCATATATATATGATGAATTATGGCTTTGTCATTCTTGAGAAGAAGATTTTTAAAGAATTTTCCTATATATTTCTATGTAAAACATTGGTCGGCCATTTTGGCCCCGCCCTACCCCCCGGGGTCATGATTTGAACAAACTTGAATCTACACTACCTGAGCATGCTTCCATATAAATATGATGAATTATGGCTTTATCATTCTTGAGAAGAAGATTTTTAAAGAATTTTCCTATATATTTCTATATAAAACTTTGGTCGGCCATTTTGGCCCCGCCCTTACCCGGGGGGTCATGATTTGAACAAAGTTGAATCTACACTACATGAGCATGCTCCCATATAAATATGATGAATTATGGCTTTGTCATTCTTGAGAAGAAGATTTTTAAAGAATTTTCCTATATATTTCTATGTAAAACTTTGGTCGGCCATTTTGGCCCCACCCTACCCCCGGGGGTCATGATTTGAACAAAGTTGAATCTACACTACCTGAGCATGTTTCCATATAAATATGATGAATTATGGCTTTGTCATTCTTGGGGAGAAGATTTTAAAAGCATTTTCCTATATATTTCTATATAAAACTTTGGTCGGCCATTTTGGCCCCGCCCTTACCCGGGGGGTCATGATTTGAACATACTTGAATCTACACTACATGAGCATGCTCCCATATAAATATGATGAATTATGGCTTTGACATTCTTGAGAAGAAGATTTTTAAAGAATTTTCCTATATATTTCTATGTAAAACTTTGGTCGGCCATTTTGGCCCCACCCTACCCCCGGGGGTCATGATTTGAACAAATTTGAATCTACACTACCTGAGGATGTTTCCCCATAAGTTGCATCTTTCCTGGCACAGTGGTTCTTGAGAAGAAGATTTTTAAAATATACCACTAAATTTTCATTAATTCCCAATTATCTCCCCTTGAATAAGGGCGTGGCCCTTCATTTGAACAAACTTGAATCCCCTTCACCCAAGGATACTTTGTGGCAAGTTTGGTTGAAATTGGCCCAGCGGTTCTTGAGAAGAAGTTGAAAATGTGAAAAGTTTACAGACAGACGGACAGACAGACGGACAGACGCCGGATAAAATGTGATCAGAAAAGCTCACTTGAGCCTTCGGCTCAGGTGAGCTAAAAACAGATCAACATTTGTCTAACTCTAGATATCATCAAAATACATGTAATATTAGTTATCCAGGTTCAATCAAGGGTGTACGGGGATTTACCCCGGGTTGTATTCCATACACCCTGAGGCCGAAGGCCGAAGGGTGTATGGAATACAACCCGGGGTAAATTCCCGTACACCCTTGATTGAACCTGGATAACGAATTTATTTCCTTTGTACCCATAACAATGCTTTAGAGTGTGTCTCAACATATCGATTTGCTTTGTATTATAGAAAAACTATGCATTGTGACGTCACGTTTTATTTACACCCGGCTCAAGTCGGGTGCACGGATATTTACACCCGACTTTGTAACCAATCAAAGCTCGTGTTACAAGCTAGATAGGAAATAAAGATATGAATTTATGCATGTTGAATAGTTTAAAAGATTTACACATAAATATTGCAAACCTTTTCCTTCTGTATTGGTTGAGTTGGTTCTTCATCAAAATCCCCAAAGTCCCCGAAATCATCCCCACCCCCTTCTCCCCACTCCTCATCCCCTCCCTGCTTCCACTGATCCCCACCCTGGGTATCATTGTTACTCCATTCATCCTTTGACGCCTTCCAATCAGAATCTTTAGCCTCTCCGCTGTCGCTGGTTTCCTGAAACGAGGCCCAGTTTCCATCACCGCTGGCAGCAGAATCTTTAGGGAAGGACGCAAACTGATCACTTGATTTGGTATCTTTTTCTGTCTCCAAATCATTTGAAGGCGCAGAATCGAAATCTGCAAAGTCATTAAAATCATCATCATTTTCCTGTTCATCATGAACAGTTATTTCTCTTTTAAAGTCTAAATCATTTGATGGTGCAGCATCAAAATCTGCAAATTCCTCAAAATCATCATCATTGTTTTCTTCTCCATTATCGTCCACAGTGACTTCTTCTTTTTTAAATTCTAAATTATTTGATGGTGCAGAGCCAAAATCCGCAAAATCATCAAATTCATCATCTTCTCCATCTAGTCCAGAAGCAGGATTTGTTTCAGACTGAATACACACATCATCAATGTCCTTCTTTCTATCCTCGGTATTTTCCTTTTCCTCATCAGTTGTATTTTTTTCACTTTTGTCTAACTGACAAGGATTTTCTTCCTCATCTAATCCTTTATTGTCCTCTCGGACCACAGGGGTCCAGTCGGCATCTGGTGCCGTAAAATTTGTTTCATTAAAGTCATTATCAGTATCTTCACCTTCACAAACAAATTCCTTATCCTTGTCTAAAGACTCAGAGGAATTCTCACCTAATTCACTTTTTATATCACCCTTAACAGTTTCAGTTTCCTCTTCCAAAGTCTCTTTTCCTTCAAATTTATCTTCAATATATTTGGGTAAGTCTGTTAAATTTATATCACTCTCTAATTTGGGTGGAAGATCTTTCTGATTTTCACTGTGTTCCTCTGTGTTATCGGTAGGATTTGCTATGGATTTCTCGTTAACTTGGTCAGTGCCTAAATTTTCTGATGTTGCTGAATTTACATTTTCATTAATTTCCCCAAAGTCACCCCAGTCATCATCATCATCTTTTGGAATAACTTCACTACTTTTACTTTCAGTTCTGAGATCAACTGAAGAAGAATCCAACACAACATTGTCTATACACTCCTGATTTGCACTAATGTCTTGCACTGATGATCCATTATCATCAGAATCACCCATGTTAACAGAATCATCTTTCTCAACAGATTCGGAACAATGATCCATTTGATTTGATGAAACAGATGTCTGTATGTTTTCTGATTTATTCATAATTTCAGAATTGTCCTCTAATTCCTCGTTACTGTCTTCATTTGATGATTGACTAGACTGTTTAGAAACATCACAAGCTGTTGTGGTTGACATAGATTTTGGATCTTTTTCATCACACACAACAGATCCTGGATCACAAGGTGAAACTTCTGTGCTACACAGCCCTGAGTCAATTTGGAGCTCCATGCCTTGTCTATATTCTTTAGAAACAGTAACATTGCTGCTATCTAATTCTAACCCTGAGTCACTACCACTTATTACATTACTACAATTAAGATTAAGCTTAATGTCTGTTTCGGTGGGTTGTACATTTTCCTTTTCCTGAGACAAATGAGATGGACTAGCGGAGTTTTCTCTCGTAGCTGGGACAGAGTCTGGGAATGCTGCCCAGTTTCCCGTTTCACTGTGTTCTGATACATTTTGGTCTGCTCCCATAAAGTTACCAAAGTCGGCATCCCAATCATCACCACCGTCTTCTTCAAAGGGTGGAGGGGATGCCGACACCATAGGAATAACACCTGACATCTTAGGAAAGCTATCCTTGTTGAATATTCATCACAGGTTCATTATTGCAAGTCCATGATAAAAAATTGCGATATCTGCAAAAAGAAAACGCAATTTAGAGCAAACAATTATGTCAAAGGACCTATATTTCCTGAAGATAACACGTTACAAGCTGTATAACAGCTGTTCAAAACACCTGCCCATATTCATTGGACACTGATGCAGATAAGACGTGGTAAACCTCCCAGAGAACAATTAATCCCGATAAATCAGTGGATGGCGGAGATGAGCAATAAGCCATGTCTTTAAATTTATGTAAAATTTCATTAACAAACCTAGAAAAAGCACACCAGGAATACTTACCTCACCCCTCAAATTTTGTCTGTATTTTTTGACAACTCCCATAATGCACACGTACTTCCTTGGTAGTAGATAACTGGTACAAAAAAATAGTCGTATAGTGATTTCGTTTTTTTTCCCTTAAACCAGGTCCCTGCTTAAACATAATTTTTCAGAAAAGAAGTTAACTAATATCGGAATATGAATTAATTTTTTTTCAGAAAAGAAATTTTTAATTTCATAAAGTTATATTTTTAATTATCAGATAGTCAGAAAACAGTAATTCTTTTTTAATCAATAGTAAAATTTATTTACTCCCTATGAGTTTTTATAGTTCATTGGTTAGTACATATATTTTTTACCCAGTTTGTCTGTCGTGAACGGCTGATGAATCCAAAAAAATAGGAGGCTAGAGAAACATAACAATGAACAATAAAGTTATTTCTATAATCTATTTATGTTAGACGTTCTGTTAGAATTTTTTTTTATTTCATTCGTTTATTTATTTATTTCAATAGGTTTTTTGTTAATTTTAATTTTTCTTAATTTAATCAAATCATTATCTTATAATGAAATAATATAAATTTTATGACATAAGAAAAAAAATACTTTTTTATCCCTGATATCAGACCTAAACAATGCCGATATAAAAAAAAAGATATATAAAAAAATGATTTTCTGAAATTTATGAGAATAATTTTTGTAATAAATATTATTGATAGAATTTGAATTCTTGATATTAGCAGAGACATATAATGACAAACCCCCATCTCTCACCCTCAACGTGGTACAACTTAACAATATCTACTTTCGTTTTGGAAAATATGGCGGCTGCAGCTGGGCGAGTTGATGAACTTGTAAAAGATTATTTATTATTCAGAGGATGCACAGCGTCTCTAAGAAATTTTGAGTATGAACTGAAAACAGACAAAGACAAAGGCTTGCGGGCTGACAGAATTTTGGAGCAGTTTCAGCACTATGTAGGAAATTACAACCTCCATAGTCTCAGAGATTTCTGGGCTCATCTTAACAGTCGGCTCTTCTGTCGCTTAGAACAACGGTATATTCAAAGCGTACGAAAGTTAGAAGTGGGGCTTTTGAAGCTTTACATCGTTAATGCAGCCCATAACAACAGAGCGGATAAAGTGACCGAATTTTTCGAGAAAATGACCAACGATTTGCACCAGGTTCCAGAATTTAAGGAATGGTTTTGTTTCCCGTTCATCAGAAACCCGGAAGAAAACAGTCACTTTTCAATGTATTTCACCAAACAATGGCAGGATATGTTTTATTTGTCCCTTTTCAATTTTCTTAGTGTGATTATAAATGTAATGCCAGCACCTATTCTATTGAATTTTGATATTGAACATAAGAGAATGAAAAACTTGCAGGAGGAAAATGACATGTTGAAAACACAGCTCCTCTCAGCAGACAAAGCTCCAGTTCTAAAAACGCCTAATATCAGAGAAAAGGAGGTCATTAGGAGAGGTGCAAATTCCGTAGAACTGCAATATGACTTTAGTGAACTTGGTGACGATACTTTGGAGATACAGAAACAGCAGAAAACTGGTCGAAAATTTCCTTTCTCAGCATCACCGCTACTCAATAAAAAGCCAAATTTTCTCTCATCAAATAATAATAAAAGCCCAACAAAGTCACAGAGCAAAGCAAAAGCAGCTAAACCACAATCTGTAAACATACAAAAGAAACAAGGAAACTCAGGGTCACCGTCCAATCAAGGTCATCCAGAGTTCACCAATAGGTCACTCAGTAGTGGTGGAGCCATTCAGAAAGTTGGTCATCCCGACACCACTGCAAGATCATTGAGTTTACAGGGAAAACCTGCTGCCTCTGAAACTTCAAGACACAAAACAGTGCCATACCAAGGGAAACAAACTAGTATTACAAAAGCTGATGATTCTGCTGCAGCTGATAATGTACCTGGACCAAAACAAGAAAATCCTGACCAAGACAAGACTTCAAAAATTCAAGGAGAGTCCTCAGGGGAAGCAACTGTAAACCCGAAGTCAAACTTTGTGAACAGTGAAACTGCAGAAGATTTAACACCAGTGAATGATAACAATAACTTTACCGGGATCACAAAGAATCAAGGTGTAATTGATAAGTCTGATTATCTACAAGAAGGCCAGGGTCCCTTTCTCCTCCTTAGTCAAGAAGACTACAAAGAGCACCACTCAGCGGTATCTTATGCTCGATTCAGCAATATGGGTCAGTATGCAGCCAGTGTGGACATCGATGGAATTGTCAAAATTTGGTCATGGAGCCCACAACCCCAAACCTGTGCCACAGTTATGTCAAAGTCTGCATTTCTTTCACTGGATTGGGCAAGCAAGCAGGATCGCTGGCTACTTCTGGGTAATCGCTCAGGCAATGTCAGACTGTTTGATGTCAAAGAGATGAAATCATTTTACGAAGCATCAGCCGATTCCAGTTATCCTCGAATCGTGAGTCTGAGTTCTAGTCCCTCCAGTGGAGCGTTTATTTGTTCTGCCACTGTCAACAGGGCTCGTTCGAGCTCTGGGAGTGACCTTGGGGCAACATCCTCCGTAGCTCGAGTTGGAAAACTGACACTTTGGGAGCTTCGCAGCATGAAACAGACAAAGCACCTAGAGATACAGCCAGGCCCTGTGGCCATCAACTGCTGCTCATTCAACCACAATGGTCATCTCCTGTTGACTGGGGGAGTGGATGGAGCTATTCGACTTTTTGACATGCAGCAACACAAAGTGATCTCACAATGGGAGGCCCACTCAGGGGAAATACAGAACCTTCAGTTCAGTTCTGATGAGACGAGCTGTTACAGCATAGGCACAGACGGAAGGGTAAAGTTTACAGACTCCCATTTTTAATTCACCATTTTATTGCTTGAGAAAAAAACAGAGAAATCTCTTTTGATTTATAAAACTAAATGCAGTTAAATGCTTTTAAAATTAATTTCAAATTTACAACAATATTTCAATTGAAATTGTTCCTAGATTGATCTTTTTTCTATTATTTGAAATAGAGAATGATAAACAAAGTTTACTCTATTCAAAAAAACATAATGAAAGAAACTTCATCCTTTTATTTCCATTTCTGATATAAATTAAATTTTCCAAAGTTGACGTTTTATTTATTTCCTATTGTTTCAGCTGATACAATGGAGTATGCACAAGCCTGGAGTCCAGAATGACCTGCCTATCCATAGTGGTGCCTCCCTTCCATACCTGTCTGGCCTGCCAGGGGGACTGAAAGAAACGCCCCGGGGTCAGATCTTCTCCTTGGATGCAGAGGGAGAATACATGTTGACCTGTGATAAGACCAAAGGAAGCATGTACCGAGTCAAGGACAAATCACTGACCCATGTCATGAATATTCAGGGTCATGGGTCATTTCTCACCACGGTTGATTGGTCACCTAATATGGACACAAAGGTTTGCTTGACAGGATCCATGGATGGAACTATCAAAATATCAACTCTCTTATCTACACACATGTAAAGTCAAGTTAAAACTAAGACTAATGTATTTATTTAAATTTTTAAATTAAATTATTAAATTTTTTACTCGAATCATTCCTTGTCATGGTTAATTTTAGTCTGTTGAAAGAAGAGAATGTAGAAATACTGAAGATGTATTTTGCCAGTGATAAATACGTTTTCCTGAGAAAATATTTTTAGGCTCAGATATGCACCAAGCTATGTTAACTCTTTCATTTATCTATTTATTTTTTGGGACCACCACTCTTTACATATTGTTGTATATTACATAATTATATACAAGCATGATTTTTTTCCTTTATTCGCATTCTTTTTCCAAAGTACATACTTGTCATGTTTTACTAGACCATTTTCTGTCTGTTGAATAATGCTAATCATGATATTAACGGGTGTTTTTTTTTAAACAGGTGAAATACAGTATTACATGTATTACATATGTACAGTTTTCATTATAGAGTACTATGTCACTGGGTAATTTATTTCTTGCAGATAAATGTATATTTTTTTTCTATTAAATGGCATAGCATTATGGGTACATGTATGTACTGCCATAATCTATAGAATGATATACAGTAAAACTTGTCTTGTTGGGATGTTTTTTAACCTGAAGTCTAGCTACATGTAAGTGCTATGTAAACTTCAAGTCCTTTTCAGTAAATTCAGTTATGAACAATTTCATCTCTGGAATGTTATCTGTAATCCAGATGGTAGAAACCAGTGGTGTCCCAATGAAATGAGATTTTTTTCATTCGATCAGTACATGGACTTCATGATCAATACATGATTATCTTATGGGCTACATATTTCTAGATTCAATTAGCATCTAGAATTTGGGTAGGACTGGATCCAAGTTCTGATCTGACTCATTCCATTTGTCCCTGTTGCAAAGGATTATGTAAACAATTCCTCACAAAAAAATAGAATACTAGTATTGTGCAATTAAAATATTTTTATATTGAGCTGACCAATAGTTCATCACCAAGAGAAACAGTAAATGTCCATTCTGTTAGTAATGTCAACAAACAAATTAGTGCAGATGTACTTTCATATCTCAATATCTAGAATACGATTGAATTTTCAAACTGAATTAGAGGTCTTGCCCACTTTTTCTGTATTAACCTTGTTGGCCTTACTAAGTTCAAGATAATCAGGTCTGACTGTATAACAGATGGTGGATGATGAAGATTTAATCCTTTTTAAGTGGTGGATCTGTTTTGAGTGGAATCGGTAATGGACGCAGTCATAAAATGTGCAATACTAGAGTATAAATGGAATTACTTATTAGTTGTTATGGCAATAAGTAGTATATGGTATTGTTGTTGTGTGAATTGCTACAGATAATGTATTTTGCCTTTTAAAAGTGCATTTTCATAGTTTATTGTAAGAAGATTACATTGTATGTTGTTCTGATTGAAGTTTTTGATTGATAATTTTAGCATGTAAAAAGGAATTTGTTGATGGATATAATGTTATTTTAAGACTTTGTCTCACAAAAGGGATAGAAGCTGTACAGAGTATATGTATTCAACTTTACAGCAGTCTCTACTTGTACAAAATAATAGTGGTAAATGACAATAGGGTACTTATGCTCCCACTTACTGTATTATGGGCTATCCAGCAGCCCTCAAATTCTTTAAAAATTTCAATTTTTTTAGTTGTGCTTTATATTTTCCTTAAAATAATTTTGAATTCAAGAGGGAAATCAAAAAAAACTTGATTCGTGTTTATTCCTATTCTTTTAACAATTTCGAAAATGGTGCAGAGCAAACATGGATCTCAAAAAACCAGAGGTGGGATCATCAGGTGCCATGGAGGAGTAAGCATTCCCTGTTGTCTGGTCAAACTTGTCATGTGACTTTTGTTGTGATCAAGTAAAACAAAATGCTGACAATTTATTGTTAAATTAAACAGGACTTTTCGAGACACTTTTCCTGTACTGAATTGTGACTTAATGTAAAACCTGCAAAGGTAAATCAATTAAATTGTCTGAATTTCTCAGAATTGATTATAAAATTCCTAACTTGTTGTAAATTAAGCTAAAATTTTTCTATTTTATCTCTGAATCTACACTTAATTTTTGTGATGCATTTTGCTGGACAGCCTGATATTACAGAGATGAAATATTTTAATTTATATATACCAAGTAGTACTTACTTATTTGAATATGTAAAAAATTAAGACATTTTTCATATCAATGTAAAATGTCTGAAAATTGACTCAAAGCCAAAACCAAAGCAGCTGTAGCAAGTGCATTTATCAAACAAGCACATGTTTTTTGTTTTATTTATTTATGATCAGTTGTCATGTAAATTATTTATTTGGTAATAATGTAAAGTAAATTATTTATTTGGTAATAAATATCACAAATTGATTATACATTGTACATGGTTAAATCATTATTTTTGTCACAGGTGTTGATATAAGTTATTTACATGTGAAAGCCCTATCTTCTCTCATTCAAAATTTATTACCTATGTAAGAAATATGCATTTATTGGTTCAACTTTAAGGTGTAGGTTACATGGTACAGTGTATTAAACCAGACTAGACTTGAGTTTAGTGAACAGGGTCACACTAAATCATATTTCATTTATGTATCTTTATTTATTATACCCCCCGCAAACGAAGTTTGGGGGGGGTATATAGGAATCACCTTGTCCGTCTGTCTGTCCGTCCGTCCGTCCATTTAGCTGTCTGTCCGTCTGTCTGTGCAAACGTGTCCGGTCCATATCTTTCTTATGGAGGAACATTAGAATCTACTACTCCACACAAAGATTGTCCATGACCTAAGGGTGACCTTGACCCAAGGTCATTTGAGGAAGTTCAAGGTCACTGGAAGAAAAAATTCATAATTCGTGTCCGGTCCATATCTTTCTTGTGGATAAACTTGGTAGGTTCTCATTTCACACAAAGATTGCCCATGACCCAAGGGTGTGTCCTGAACTAGACACAAGGTCATTCGGGGAAGTTCAAGGTCACTGGAATAAAAATTTCATAATTTGTGTCCGGTCTACATCTTTTTTATGGATAAACTTGGTAGGTTCTCATTTCATGCAAAGATTGCCCATGACCCAAGGGTGTGTCGTGACCTTGACCCGAGGTCACTTGAGGAAAATCAAGGTCACTGGAAGAAAAAGTTCATAATTTGTGTCCATTCCATATCTTTCTTATGGATAAACTTGGTAGGTTCTCATTTCACGCTAAAATTTCCCAGGACCTAAGGGTGTGTCCTGACCATGACCCAAGGTCATTTAGGGAAGTTCAAGGTCACTGGAAGAAAATTTTCGTAATTCGTGTCTGGTCCATATCTTTCTTATGGATAAATTTGGTAGGTTCTCAATTCACACAAATATTGCCCTTGACCCAAGGGTGTGTCATGACCTTGACCCAAGTTCATTTGGGGAAGTTCAAGGTTACTGGAAGAAAAAATTTACAATTCGTGTCTGGTCTACATCTTTTTTTATGGATAAACTTGGTAGGTTCTCATTGTACACAAGGACTGCCCATGACCCAAGGGTTTGGCATGACCTTGACCCAAGGTCATTTGGGGAAGTTCAAGGTCACTGGAAGAAAAAGTTCATAATTCATGTCCATATCTTTCTTGTTGATAAACTTGGTAGGTTCTCATTTCACACAAAGATTGCCCATGACCCAAGAATATGTCATGATCTTGACCCAAGGTCATTTGGGGAATTTCAAGGTCACTGGAAGAAAAATTTCATAATTCATGTGTTATACATATCTTTATTATGGAAAAACTTACTTCTGAAAAAAACCAGCGGGGGGTATTTTGTCCCGTTTGGACAGTTCTAGTTTTACCAAATTGTAGGACTAGAGGTCAGGAAGGATAAAAACTGGGGATCCCATGTAAATCCGTGTAAACTAGTTATAAGATTTTTCATTGAAATCCCTGATTTGTGTGAACCCCAAACTGGTTTAGAAATCATTTTATGGCCCCTTGGAGCCAGGTAGGTCCTTTTTACTGAGTATGGGTATGGTCGGGGGAGAGCAGGAATTTTCACATTTTCTACGTAAAGAAAACGAATATTTCATTGGATGACCAAAATTGTTCCGTTTTATTTACATGAAGTTATACAGGTTAATAAATGATAACATGGTTATACATGTACATATATACGAAATGGTAATAAAGAAATCACTGTCTAGTTAGTAGAGTATGCTAGGGCATCAACGATAGTTGGAAACCTGGGATACTAGGATGTCCGTGGCATACTATACTAACTAGCTAGACAGTGATTCCTTAAATTTCCATTTCATTGTAAAATAAAATTATAAATTCAATAGACCCCGCTCACTGACGTTACACACAAAAACAGTCACCTGAGATTTAATGCATATTACGCCCCCTTAGCTCCTGACCTATCGCTTGGCGAAATTCACATGCCGGTAGAATGATGAAGAAATCAACTCGACTAACTTTCAAAGAGTTGTCACAGAGAAAACAATTACAAATGGAAAATATTATTGCTTGTTTAAATGAAAAAAATACGATATTGTCCAAAATTTAAAATTATAATTGTTAAAATTATCAAATTACATGCACAGTAAAATATGCTAAGCAGTGTAAAAAAAAAAGCAGTCACTAGTAGACTGAGGTGTCTTAAAACCTTCTCAATCAATCATGCATAAAATTGTAAATTGGTCAAGGTAACTATGCAACCACTTTTAAAAAATCCCACAAAATAATTCACATTGCTATGGACGTTGTCATACAAATTTGTGTTTGTTGACTTGAACTCCGGTCTGGCCCTCTGTCAGAGTACAGTCGTACTCGATCCATGTGAGACTAGAGCCCCACCTACAATGTTCTATCTCACTCTGACTGTAAAACTTGCACTGAAGTAGAACAGTTAATGCGGCGCCATCATCAAACTGAAAAAGAGGCTTAGAAATGAAAGTCTGTTTTAAAAGGTCAGGGTCACTGAATATTTCATTCAGAAGGTGACCTTTTGACCTTTAAAAATGAGCCGTACCTATTGCTTACCTTAGAGTACTGTATACTTTTTGTAGCAAAATTGAGACTGAAAGTTCAAATAGTATACAGTACTCTAAATATCCAGTCTGCAAAGACTTAACTGTTAACAATTTCAATTAATTTATTTTAATTTATTCACAAAAGCTCACCGTTAGCGCCACTGCAATGTCTTTCCGCCCTTTCTTCTTTTCTGCTGCGTACCCGGTGGTGTTAAAATTGGCGGAAAATTTTAAAGAGTCATCAGAAGTGTTCGATTTGTCTCGTTTCACTTCCGTTACTTCACACCTCTCTCCATGGATTATCAAGTCTCTGAAAACGATAACAAGATGGAAAAGTTAACGATAGAGAAATGGCAAAACAAAATTATCGAATTCACCCCATTTTAACTTCAAAGACTTGTCTTGATAATTGACACAAAAGAATACGTAAAAATCAATAGGTTCTCCAGGAACAAGAAATATTTTAAAACCTTTAGCCAATTAAGTATTTGGTAATGATTTTTCCGGTTCCACGCCATAAAACTGATCGAGCTAGCTGCATGCAGGTAGCTTGCTAAGTCCAGTCTCACTGCAAGTACGAAAGGTTGTGTAATGGATAATACGCGAGAATGAGATGAAAAATAAGCCCATCAAAAGTTTTATTGCAAAATATATAAGAGCCGGGACTTTGATGTCTATCATAGGCGTCGGAACCGGAGGGGGGGGGGCTAGCTTTTGCAAAGATAGACATTTTCTTTGCATAGAAAATTGGAGTTTACCTTTTTTTTGTTGGTTTAACCCCCACCCTCCCACTTTCAATTTGCTTCCGACGCCTATGTCTATGCACGCAAAGGAGATCGCTCAAGCTTGGCTCAAACTACTAGTATGCTCAAGAATGAAGATGAGATTGGATCAATCTTAAGTTGAGATGATCAGCTAAAAGTTAGCTCATATTTGAATAGTTCAAACTTAGCTCAAACGAGATTGACTCAAACTTTTTTTTGGTTATGGAACAAGATGTCTTTCTCAAGGACACAAGACCACGGTCTTGAATTTTCTCTTCAAGACTGAAGATCGTAAACCCTGTCCAGGCTATTCTAATTTTTCATGCAGTCTATTCAGTATGTAACGATCTTCTGGAGATTACAGTATAATAGACGGAGAGTATTTTCTACTTATATATATGTGCATGTAATATGCGTGGATTGAACTCAATGAATACATAAATCGGAGACTGGCTAAATTATTACGAATTAAGTCTTCCATACGATTTAGGCATCTCAAACAGTCCTTAAAAATGAATGTCTGAGAGAATAATTATTGGAAAATATAGCCATAGACATGTAGAGAGGAAGCTGAAAGCATTATAAACTCCCGTGAACTTGAAGAACCGTGCAAAACAAATTTTCTTCATTTAAAATGGATTTACCAGTCGATAATGATTGAACGATGTCTTAAATCTTTCCGGTCTGCATTATAGTAGCAAATGTATATTTTTACCAGGTACAATAAATCCATTTAATTCAAATATAAAAAGGTCCTTGATATTTCAAAGGCTTTTTGTGTTACATGCAACATTGCCTCTGAAAGAAAACTAGGTCAGGGCAAATGCACTTGATACTTTCTTTATCACATGCTGGAAATTCATCAACGGGCAACAGATAAAATATTGATACAAAATGAATAATCATAACATTAAAACAGGCTAGCTGGAGATAGTATGCATAAACACGTACGTTAACAGGGGTACGATATTTAGTTTGAACTGAAGGGGGCAATCAAACTTATTGATACTATATTTACTTATCACAAGGTCAAACCGATCCGTGTTGCCCCTCCCCCTTTAAAGACTCACCTGAGTTTCCTGTTAGATTGCACGGTGACGACATAGTCCGTGTTCTGGTTCAGTTTGAGAGTATGGGGTTGGGTGAACCTCTCCCCGTCGTGTTTGTAGAACACCCCGCCGCCTCCCTCCTTCCGTTTGAGAGAGAGAAGAACTTTAAACTTGCTGGCCATTTATTGTTGCTGTATTCCCCTCATGGCCCAGTCCCCCTAATAAGATCCACAGTTCTGAGGAGACTCGTGATAGATTTACAGCTTTATTCAATGGTCTGCTATGTCGCTAAGTACTGCGATCGATGTGCGTCCCTTAAACAGCAGGACTTGCTTCATAACATGCAGATTCATTTTTAGTTTTTTTTTTTTTTGCTCCAGTAGAGAAGAGACACGCGAGGGTTTTTTCCCCATGTACTTATTTATTTTAAATCCTCATCCGCGAGGAAAGGGTGGGAGTTGGAGAGGTACTTTTCAACATTTCTTTCATTTTTTTTGGTAGAAACTTAATTCTGTCAGGATTTTTTTCAAGTCGTTCGTCCTTTTATACATGTACATACTAGTAATATTAAAAAAAAAATTCTGTTAAATTTGTATAGGACGTTTATGCTTTAAATGTACTCAAGGGCTCAGAAATGTTTTTTTTTTCTTTATAATATAGTATCTAAAACTTATAACGTGTTAATTAACTGTCTTTACTAAGTTCCCGGCATACAAAAGGATGTATGAACTTGCTGACAATTAATAACGGAAATGTAGTACATTGCAATAGAATGTGTACATGAACAATGCTATATAGCTACTTGTAGTATATACTGTTCCTTAATTCAAGGGCAAGAAATAAAGAAAACAAGCAAATTCAAAGAATTGTGGTCCCCCGCTTTCGGTGTCTTCGTGGGTGAGATTTCATTTTTTATGACACATTGTGTTAAATATAACCGCCCTATCATATGTCATTTAGAAATTATCACCGAAGTTGAATTTTTAAAAATAAAATTAATCGTGAAGGTCAAGGTCAAAAGTTATGTCCAAGGATAAGTTTTTGAAAGGTACATGTAGGTCAAACTCTAGGGTCAAAGGGTGAAAATTGTTGGTTTCTTAAGAAAGGTCTTGTCACAAGTATTACATAAGTGAAGTATGAAAGCTCTAGCCCTTACCAATCATACGTTATGACCAAGGTTATTTTTTTTTAAAAAGTAGGTCAAACTCCAAGGTCAAGGTCAGAGGGTCAAAGTTCTTGACATCCAATGAAAGGTCTTGCCACAAGGATTAAACATGTGAAGTATGAAAACCCTAGCCCTAACCCTTCAAAAGTTATGGTCAAGGTTTGTTTTTTAAAAGTAGATCAAACTCCAAGGTCAAGGTCAGAAGGTCAAATTTCTTGGTATCAAATAAAAGGTCTTTCAACAAGAATAACATATGTAAAGTTTGAACTCCACAGCCCTTACTGTTCAAAAGTAATGGCCAAAATTAAAAATCTATCATAAATACGGAAATCTCCAAGGTCAAGGTCAAAGTTGTTGGTATCCAATGAAAGGTCTTCCCACAAAAAATACATATGAGAAATATGAAAGTCCTAGTATCTAAGGTTTAAAAGTTATGGCCAAAGTAAAAGTTAAAACAAGAGGCCCAGGGGCCACATCGCTCACCTGAGCAAATTGGCTAGGAAAAATCACAGAACAGGTCAGAACTGAAAGATTCACTGAAGGGGGGGGGGGCTTGAATTTTAATACTACTTGAGATTGCCTTCATATTACTACACCATATGACTTTGCTGTTCTTGATGAAAAGATTTTTTTAAAACATTTTCTTCCTATATATAACTTCATAATAATTTGAATTTGATTCCTCATGTTTCCCTCCCTACCCCCAAAGGGCCATGATTTGAATAAATTAATATCTTCAATACATGAGGATGCTTAAATGTCAATATGATTAATTATAGCTTTTCTGTTCTTGGGACTTTTTCCTTTATTTTTCTATGTAAAACTTTAATCCACCATTGTGGAACAACCCTACCCTTGATGGTTATGATTTGAACAAATTTAATTCTACACTACCAGAGAATGCTTCCATATAAATACTATTATTACTAATAATGGCTTTGCTATTCTTGAGATTTTTTAAATATATATTTGAATGTAAAACTTGGATCCCCCATTGTGGCCCACCCTATCCCTGGGGGTTATGATTTGACCAAACTAGAATTTACATTACCTGAGGATGATTCCACATAAATATCACTAATCATGGCTTTGAAATACTTGAGAAGACAATTTTAATAGATTTCCCTATCTAGTCCTGTGTAGAACTTTGATCAGCGACCCCCCCCCCCCCCGGGGGTCATGATTTGAACAAACTTGAATCTACACTACCTGAGGATAATTTCACTTGAGTTTCATCTTTCCTGGCCCAGTGGTTCTTGAGAAGCAGATTTTTGAAAAATGCCATTAATTTTTCACTAATTCATAATTATCTCCCCTTGGAAAAGGGCTTGGCCCTTCATTTGAACAAATTTGAATCCCCTTCACCTAAGGATACTTTGTGGAAAGTTTGGTTGAAATTGGCCCAAACGGACAAATTTTGATCAGAAAAGCTCACTTGAGCCTTCGGCTCAGGTGAGCTAAAAATTTGTGTAAAGGTGGGTCAAACTCCAAGGTCAAGATCAAAAGGTCAAATTTGGTGGTACCCAAAGAAAGGTTTTGTCACAAGTAATACACATGTGAAATATGAAAGTCATAACTCCACTAAATCAAAAGTTATGGGGCAAGGTTAAAGTTTTTGTGACGGACGGACAGATTGACGGACAGATGAATGAGATTTAATGTCCCCATGCTTTTGCGAAAGCGGGGGACAAAAATGAAGCATGGGATGTCATATATCCGCATAAGACATTGGGTCAGCAAAGTACATATACTTCTCAGAAATTAAGATTGATTCTTTGCTGCTAGACAGATAGAAAATTGTGGGCTGAAAAAACTTAACTGTAAAGTTATGGACTTGTTAAACTTAATTGTAAAGTTGTTGACCCACATATTTATCTGCAAATTCTACCACCATCTTTTTTTCTATCATTTATCCAACCGCAGATGATTTTCAAAATATATGCATCTTCATCTGCTTTTATATTTTCTTGAAGAAAAAACTCAAAGTTTACTTTGTAAATATAACTTTTTATTATGAAATAAAGAAAGAAACAATAAGTAGGGCATAAAAATATACAAATTTAAAAAGGGACTTGGATAACATTATGAAAGTGAACACAAAGCAGAAAAAATGGGCTCAGAAACACACAACCCACAAGAAAATCAACAGAACACACCGTTCCCTACACCAAATTTAGTACACATGTACTAAGGCACTATCATTGCTTAATGTTCATTATAATTTTTTTTCTATATCAGGATATCTTTTAAAAAAATATTATTAATAAGGTTACTACCAAACAAAAAATTTTCCTTTAAAATTGAGTAGTTTGCAGTCAAAATTGAGTAGCAATTTGTAAGCTAAATTGAGTAGCAATTTAAAGTCTCAATTGAGTAGAAATTGGCAGTTAAAATTGAGTAGCATCTCACAGTTAAAATTGAGTGACAATAAACTTTTTTTATGCACAAATGCTCTTTATACAGCTATTCAATGCACAACACTTCAAAACCCTGTTTTCTTGTGACACATGTAATGACCATTTTACTATTGAGCAGAAAAAATATTCTGGAGAAAAATATCAAGCATTACATGAGAACAAAGTACTTGTATATGTCCACTATACATGATAGTTCACAGCTGTTCACTAATGATATGGTTTGTCAGTATTAAAAAAAGACAGTTTGTACAGGCAAGCTTATTACATGTATGTCTTTGGTTTAAAAAGTAAAACTTGCTTAATAAATACATCTTGTCCCATCAAGGAAATAGGAGCATGTAAATAGTAATATCAGAGGTATTAATCAATTTTTGACTAAAAGTAGCTGAGCATATAGTAATGCCAATGGAAGAATGAATGACTAGAGGATATAGACTAACAGAGTGCTACTATATAAATGGTGCCTGTTTTGGAGAGTAACATTTGAAATTGACACCCCAAGGAAAACCATTGTCAACCGACGCGTCAGCGGAGGTTGACAATGGTTATCATCAACAGTCCATTTCAAATGTTACTTTCCAAAATAATTTTATTTTATTATACTGAATGTCTTATTGATTTAGGACGTCAGCAAAAAATAGCCGTCGATCGTCTTTACGTTCATGTATAGAAAGCCTTCACACTCACCGGTTCACTAATCTCCTTATTGTTTGTTTGATACTCGAATTAGAGTCAATTATCATATAAAGTTTCGTTATTTCTGGCTTGCAAGCATGTTTCCTACACTCGCAAGCATGTACAGTTTTTTGTTGTTTTCAAGTAAATATATCGGACGCAAGCTTTTATTGACGTCAAGTTAATTCCGGTTCTTTCAAACGCGCAACTGACTTTTTTTGAGGAAAAATGTTTTACGGTGAACCGTAGGCGCATAATTTCCACGCATGTGGCATTACCGTTGTGTTACCCGTTGTCACGTGTGTTGCTAAGGCTCAGGGTAATCGAACGGATTGTTAACTGCGTCTAAACCAATCAGATTTTAGTATTTAACATGAAAGTATAATAAAAAATAATACTTATGGTTGAACACCTTTCTTTCCCAAAAAACCAAAAACAACTTTTGACTTCAGCAGGGACCTAATTAGTATATCATCAACAGTTCACATAAGATGAATAATTATATTGTCTAACAATAAACAAAACAGCAAAAAACTATGGTAACCAGGTAATACAAAATATATACATGTATATGATGCATGCACACACATCTGTAAAGATAAAAAAAAAAACAAGAAATTTACAAATTGATGTACAGTACATGATGATTATAGAGTGAAACTTGTTTAATCCAGATATTGTGTATTCCGAAATCTTGTCTATTACTGTAAATGTATTGTATTTAGCATGTACGATATTTGGCGAAAATTGGTTTTTTAACAAGTTAGAGAAAATCTGATTTAGTGCATTTCTCAATATTATTATTTATATCTATGTGTGCAAGATATTTAGCATTGTACATGAATTAGTGGAAGTTTCTCTCCACCAAAAACGCTAAATAGAATACACAGCCAAATGTAATACGTTTACAGTAATACAATTAAAATTTTAGTAATTTGCTAAAATGTTTTCATATCTGGAATATTTTCTAATCCCGCCTATTTCTTTGGAACTAGTGGTAGCTGGATTAGTCAAGTTTTATTGTACATTAAAAACAAAACACAATAATGCTGACATTCATCAGATGACTTGGATTTCATTTATAAAAGAGATCATATCTTGTGTATTATCACAGTTTACAGCCTGATTCTATTATCAAGGTGGGGTTAAATCTGAAAAAACTTAAATACTCAACATTGTTCAACATCGAAATCTTTTAACAAAATTTTCACGAATATTCATACATTGTATCTACATGTAACTTAAACATATGTATAAACATGTAACTTAAATATATATACGAGGGTTGATCCAAAAGTTCGTGGAATTTCTTTAATTTATATCTTATTTATTTATAAGTGAAATTGTGTGAAAATTACAAATGAGAATATAGACATGCACTTGTTGAATATTTTAGATAAAAAAATGTTTTAAATATTTGTGATGGTAAGTCTATAGCATTTGCCATAGCAACGGATGTTTGGAAATGCGGGGAAGACATCAACAATCATTTTAATTCTTAATACTTGAAATGATATTAAAACCACCCTATGTATTACAGAAAATGAAAATTATGTCATTATTAAGATTCCTTGATCTTTTATAAACCCTTGTATGCAAGTTTTACTGATTTTACTGGATATTTTGTTTATTAGTTGATAGTTTTTTGTTCATATTTTGGTTGTTAAACAACGTCAAATTTCGGTAAAGTCATAAGTTTTGTGAAAATCCCGGAATCACTCTATCTTAAATGCATATATCATTGACACAAACTGGTGAAAATTACATTTAGTTACTGGATTTCCAGTGTCACAAAAAATTGAAGAAAAATAGAACTTCCACGGACGTTGATTCAAGTTGTGGCCGCCTTTTTGAGGCTCTGTTTTAAGACTAGTGTTTATCCCCCTAGACAAATTAAAAGCGATAATAGACGTTGTCAACTGACGTTCTGTTCTTGACATTGCTAATGAAATCGAAACATCATAGGGAAAGATGGGGGATATTTTGAAATATGAGTGAAAAATGAAGATGAGTTGGTGCGAGAGGATACCCAGGCTTTTCATGAGAAAAAAAAAATATAGAAAAGGACAGCATTTTGTGAAATTACGTATTCGAATTGGACATTAGGGTGAGATGCCTCTATAACGTGACGTGACATACCTCACTTGACGTTACGTCGAAGTCTCCCCCGGGTTTCACAACTATCCATTTTCAGAAAGCTCGTGTGACCTTATTGGTAATTGGAATGTAGTGAAATTTTCCAGTATTGTTGCATTATGACTCTATTTTATAAATATGCCCATTGTTTGCTTTTATAAAATCACGATAGAATTTTAGAAAGAAATTCAACGAACTTTTGGATCAACCCTCATATATATTTAAATAACAATATAGACATGTAATCTGCATCACAAGGAAGCACTGATTCTTTAATCTGCTTCATCCTGGAGCATGGAATATTCTACATCGTATTTCTTATTCTCACTTTTCCTACTTCCTGTGAAATATTTACGAGCAAAACTGAAAGTAACAACTAGAACAAGAAGCAAACTGATAAAGAAAAACACGAGCATGAACACTGATCCCGGCCAAGCAGAGCTTCTGTAATTAACCTCGCTATGGACGTCGATCCCCCAAACATCGTCCAATAGACTGAAAGCTTTCGTAGAGTCATGTCCTATCCCGCCCACTACATACAATTCGTTCCACGTATTAAAAGCCATGGCGTCTGTTCGACAGCTTGGATATCTTCCGTGATCAAATTCGTTATCCGCTGAACCGTAACTTCCCGGGTCACTGGCTCTATCTGTTCCACCCATCCATGACCACATTTTATAGTCCAGGTCAAAGTACCAAAGGTCATTCAGAATGACATCTGGAACTTCATCCGAGATTGTTCTGGGGTCGGAGGAGGCCCCCTCTCCCCCAAACATCCACAGGTGCCCCTCACTATCCGTCCAACGAATTGCTCCTCTCCGACATCCAGGAATATTTTTCTCGTTTGCCAGGCCTTTTTTGCCATAATAACCTGCCAAGCACTTATTCGGATCTCCCATAATTTTAATCCATGTATTTTTCTTGCAGTCAAAATTCCACAGATCAGTGGAAAAGCCTGAATTGTTATGAGAATCCACTTTGTTTTTGTTTTTTGTGTTTCCAGAGAACATATAGAGCTGTTCATTGTGGGCGACCCAGGCCGTTGCCCCACTACGCCCTGCAGGATACGATATCTGGGGACGGATGATGCCTTTCCGGTGAAGCTCTGATGAGAGTTTCTCTTGCCTCCAATTAAGATCGATTAGGCTGTACTCCCACATGTCATCCAACTGATCCAAAGTCTCAGAAATGCCTCCAAAGACCATCATTTTTGTATGCATACACCACACAACAGCGTCTGCTCTTGGATTGGGGGACTCACCAAGGCTCTCATTCCTCATATTCTTAAGCATCTCTGACAATGGAAGCCACTCTTTCTTCTTGAACACAAAGACCCAGGTGTCTCCAAGCACCTGTTGGTCCTTATTCATCCCCCCAAACACCACAATCAGTGTCCCAGGTACCCCACACATGGAGGCAAACCTCCTGGGAACAGGTGCCCTATTTTTATTTTTGGAAGATATGTCCATGCTTTCCGATCCAGGATGTTCCAAAGTCCATTTTCTTTCCCTGACATTGTATTTCCAGAGATCGTTTTTCATGGATGGCCGACCATTATAGATACCTTTTCCGCCGAACACCCAGGTGTTGAAAACGTCTTCCTGCCAAAATGAACCTCCTCCCCTGCCACCGATGGACGTCTTAGAGGGTTCCTGATTCCCATGGCTATTTCCAAAGGCCCATCTAAACCTAATGCCTGAAAATAAAATTTGAAAAAATCTTACTCTTTTTCGTTGAACATATAATTTATAGCCCATTTGTTCTAATGCAGTAATGGGAAATAAAAAAAAAAAGATTTTTAAAATTCCCTGTATGTTCCTATTCTTCACAAGGTCTAGAACCACTAACCAAACATCTCAATCAGTGACACTGCTTTGTTAAGCTTTATTCACAATTTTGCAATGATATTTGCTATGTACATAAAAAAATCAAAATTGTGAAAAATTATAGCCTTGTCAGATATTTGGGACTTGGTTTTCCTGTGTACAGATGTAACTTGATTGAGAGGGTTTCAAGTCACCTCTCAAAGTGCATGACAAAGATCTGCACTCTTTCAAACACCATGACATTACTATAACGGGGATCTGAAGTTTACTCGGACGCAGATTATTGCAAGGCCATGCGGAGTAATGCCCCTTTAACTCTGCCAATTCTTTTTTGATTTTAAACTTTGTAGGCCAATCATTATATATGTGAATGTTTCCTAAAATTGTATTTTGTGGTCGCACACCTCCTTCAAGGTTCAAAGTTATACTATATGCTAATTAAATAAGATTGCGTTGTCTTATTTCAGTGGCGGATCCAGGAATCTTGAAAGGGGGTTGGGCTGTGTACCAGATGTATCTTGATTGAGAGGGGCCCCATCCACATTAAAAAATTCATCGATTTATTTTATCTTATGTATATTTGGACACAAAAGGGTCCGGGTCCCCTGAGCTTCCCTCTAAATCCACCAGTGCAATAAGGTGAAGAAAGGTAACGCTTTTGATTTTGCAAGGTCCAAAGTGAACGTACACAAATGACGTAGAAAAGATTCAAGTTTGAAAGTTTTCAAAATCAAGGCAAAGTTTGTAATCTTACTTACCCTTAACAGAAGAAGTGGTTAAAATCAACAGAAAAATTACAAACATAAAATTCCTCCCAAGTGTACCCATTTCGCAATTTTAGTGAAACAGAAAGTAAAAGCTAGAGGTATTCCGATTTTTAGCTCCAAGAGTATGCTAATTGATGTAAAATGTTCCTTGGTGTCATATTGAATTTTAAATTATTATTTCCTTTCTTTTATTGCCTAAAAACAAACAAACAAATAAAATATACAAGAATGAATGAATAAATAAATAAATCATAGACACCCCTCAGTTTAATTGATAGTTAAAAAAATATTATCTACTGTATTGTACATTCTGTAGTCTGTATGAATGAATGAATGAATAAATAAATAAATAAATAAATAAATAAATAAATTAATTAATTAATTAATTAATTTGAAAAAGCAAAAAATTTTATTAATCGCACACTACTTTTTGTACTGTGGTCGTGCTTTCTTTTAAAATACAGAGAATATATAATATTCTGTAGGTTAATTTTTTAAAAACCTACACCTTTTCCGTTGAATTCAGAAAAAACATATTAAAATAATATTAAATAATGATAAATGAATTGCAAAATATTTATTATTTAATTTTATTATTATCTATTATAATAAATGAAATCTACTTTGAACTTATTCTAAACAATTCGAAGTCTTTGTTGTTGTTGTTACTTACTTATGGTTACTTATGGCATTTTTCCAACACAGGTCCTGTCAAGGTCCTCTTCGTCGGACTCCAAACTTGCTTTGTGACTACTTGGGTGACTACCGTTGTAATCGGTTTTAAAGTCTACTTTGTAATTATAGAGCACATCCTGGTCCTTACAGAAGTTGTCTAGTCTATTCTTGAAAGTATTCAGAGTTTTAGCACTTATCCTCTGGTAAGCTATTCCATAGACTGACAGTTCTAACACTGAAGCTGAATTTTCTTATATTGAGTCTCGGTCTCTGTACAAACAGCTTCTTGGAATTCCCTCTTCCTTGTTCCCTAGTAACTTGGTCTCTCCTTAACTTGATAAAGTCTGCTGCTAATGGGTCGTACTTTCCACTTGTTATTTTGTACACTTCAATCATATCTCCTCGGTGGCGCCTGTACTTCAGCGTTGGTAGTTTTAGTTTCTTCAACCTTTCTTCATGGCTTAATTTTGCCAATCCTGGAATCTGCTTGGTAGCTCTTCTCTGCACTCCTTCCATCATCTCTATGTGTCTTGATTTGAAAGGGAACCAGACCGAACTCGCATAGTCTAAATGTGTCCTGACAAGTGTCTTATAAAGAGGAATGAAAGTTTCTTCGTCCAAATGTTGAAAACATTGTTGTTGTTAACAACGACAACAACAACAACAACAAAAACTTCGAATGTTTTAGAAAGAAAAATTAACCTTCAAACAAAATTAATAATTATTCTACTTTAAAAAAAAAAATTATGTTATAAAGCATGTGCCTAACAGTTACATCCATACACACACCCTGGAATCTGCCGAGCTATTAAAGTTATATACTAAAACAACAAAAAAGTGACCGTGACCTTGGACCCCCCTCCCCGAGAAGTCGACCCGTTTACCCGTGTATATCAAACCCCAAGGTCAAGGACAAGAGGTCGAATTTGGTGGTACCTGAAGAAAGGTCCTGTGCATGGTCAATCCATTCGTCTGTCTTTCTGTTTATTTGTTTGTCCGCTAAAACTTTAAATTTGCCCATAACTTAGGCCGGAGTGGGCGGGGCTGTGGCTCCATATTTTCACAGGTATATTCCTTGTGACAAGACCTTTCTTCAGGTACCACCAAATTCGACCTCTTGTCCTTGACCTTGGGGTTTGATCCACTTTTTATAAAAAAAAAATAGCAAACTTAAAACATAGCCCTAACTTTTGATCAGTTAAAATTGTGCTAGGGCTTTCAAGATTACTTCACATGAGTTTCTTGGTGACATCTTTCAATGGGTATAAATATTTTTGACCTTGACCTTATATTGTGGGCCACTTTTTAATAAAAAAAAAATAACAATTTTGGCCACAACTTTCTAATTGTTAGAAATAAGGCTTTCATAATTTATATTCCTTAAGGACACTCTCTACACCACTGCAAAATGTTTTTTGGACATTGGGGAAAATATACTGCATATTAAAAGGTGTTAATATTAAGCTTATCTATTTAATTTTCACTTTATGGTACGTGACATTTACCCCCAGAAGAAATGTTCAAACACAACACAGTATCCGTGAATAGATCGAAATCACAGTTGTTTACTTCCACAGAGAAAATACATGCAATTAACATTTTCAATTAATTTATTTTGGCCTTTTAAAATGTTCAGAAAACTTGAATTGGTTAAAAATTGAGTAATATACTGTAAATTTCTATTTTTTAGAATTTACATCTAAGGGCAGAACACTCTTAACTACAAAAAATAGCATAGAATCAGAACTCTCTAGTGTGCAGTGTAGAGAGGGTTCTTCCTTTGCCAATTGGGTACCAATAATTTTGACCTTTTAACCTTGACCTTGACTTACATTTGAGAAAATTCAACCATTGCCATAAGCTGCTATACAGGTACATCAGTGTTTCGCAAACACATCTTAATTTAAAAAAATATATAGATTATATATATTATCACTTTTCGTCGCCCGGGATACATTTAGGTACTTTGCGTCAATTAGATTATCGATTTGAGAAGAGGGATTCCGAAAGGTGTTTTGTCAAAGATGGCAGGACCTGAAAAGAAACTCGAGAGATCTAAGAGCGGACTTCGAATGATCCCCGTGTCTGACTCTGATTCGAGCCCATTTTCCCTCCCAGAACCTCCCTGGGTATCAGACGATGAGGTAAGTTAAATGAACCAGGAATGACATAGTGAACAGTTCCGTAAATTGCATCAATTTTATGCATAAAAAAATATACGCCCATCATAAAAAACAAAACAAAATAAGCCCAATGTCTTCTAAATGAGTTCATTGTTGCATATTGTAATTATTCGAATTCAAGAGGGATATTTCTCTTTCTTTTTTTCCAGTGCAAACTGTGTCAAAACTGCAGAGCAAAATTTGATTTCTTCAAAAGAAGAAAGGTAAACACTATTAAAAGAAGCAACACTGAACAGGCGTTAAATAAAAATATATAACAATTCCAAAATGTTATTTAAAATATTTAGATTTAAAAAAAACAGTCTAAATGATTACTATGGTGACAGATCTTGCCTATTTTTTGCCTCAGCATCACTGTCGTCGCTGTGGAAAGTGCTTCTGTAACGACTGTTGTCAGGAGAAGGTGAATTTACCCAGAATGCTATTCCTGGACCCAGTCCGTCATTGCCAAGTCTGCGTAGAGATTTCACGGAAAGAGGAGGACTTTTTTGAGAAGCATTTAAAAACACTGCTGAATGGTATATTTCTGTCATATAAATTTAGTTGATCTTTAATTGGTAGATTGTCAAAGTGTGATTTTTTGAGTTCTAGCTACTAGGCTTACAATAAGTTGAGACAGGAAGCAATTTTTCACTGTTTCAGTACCCAGAATTTGTCATTTGGAATTAAAAATTAGCAAAATAAACTATTGGACATTATTCTGAAACAGTCTCTTTAATCGACAATTCATCTTCACTTCAAAATTATTGAAATCCCTGAAATACGGTATACCTTTGACATGTCAAAGAGTTTCAATTTAAGTCTGAGCAAATTGTCGAAAGTCCTTTTTTGTTGAAATGTCTTTATTTTGAATTCTTTAATAGATATATCAAATTTTTATGACCATGCAATGAGTTCACAATAATGAGTTCTAGCAGTTTAAGATACAAATGTTTATCATCTAACAGATACTGCTGTTTTTTTTTTTTTTTAGGAGGTTATTTTAACGTGACTGATTCAGATACAGGACCAGATGAGGGATCTCTCTTTTTCGTCAAACTATCGGCCAATCACAGGTGAGGAACACTCTGAATGGTGTCCATTCTCATAAAATGGTCGGAAGATTTAAAAAAAAATTTTAAAAACGTTTTTTTTGTAGCATAGTGATTGCAGTATTGAGCTCAGTTATCTAATAAGATTTTGTGTGTTAATTCCATTTTAAGCTAGTATTTATACACTGTAGAGACAGTTGTTAAAATTTAGAACCATTTTCTACATTTGATTGATAACCAGCAGAAAGACCAATATAGAATATGAAATTAACAAGTGGAATAAAGAGTAGCTTTAAGAAATAATTTGACTATACACTGTACATGTATTTTTAAGGTATTTTAATGCTGAATGTTAATTCTTACAGATTGCACAGAACAACAAAAGATTTACATGTAATTGGTTTGACCTAAATTGTTTTAAAATCTAATTATAGACAGCTGCTATTTGAGGGAGATAATGACAAACACGAACCAGTTCAGATTGAGAAAATCGACACCTTGCAGATTCTACCATCAGGCAAAGATGAAGAAGGTGAAAAGATTTCTTTTTTAAAACAAAGTGATATTCAACCACTAGAAGAATGCTTTGCGTAATATTGGCTGAATTGAATGAAATAGTCAAAGAAGTTAAATTATGTTATCAATATTTTGGCTGCAAATGTTTCTATTATGTGTGTTTTTTTTCTGCCCCATATCGCTCTCAGATGAAATTTACTCAGGTAAACTACTAAACTTGTAAAAATTATTTTGTTGTGTATTGTTGTGTTACACTGGAGACCATTTTCTCGTTAATGTTGTGTAAACAGTTGTTTTTTTTTTAACCTCAGCATGAATATGGCTGGGGTGTAGAGTGTTTGTCTTGTCTGTCTTCCATTCTGTCGTGTATCAAATTTTGCATTTACATGTATATATACAAAAGCCCAATTTTTAAGAAACTATTAGAATATTTTTCTCATACATGTAATTCATGAACTCAGAATCACTTGATATTTGCATTATTGAACAAAGAAAAATTCAAATAGAATGTTTTAAAAAGGTGAATATATCTTAAAAAACAAATCACTTGATATTTGCATGAAAAAATATATTACTATAATTTGAACATGGTTTTTGCATAATAGAGAAATACTAGAAGTAAAGAGATAATCGCAAGAATCTCATGTGGCCATTTTATCATATATGTATATATAAGTTTGTTTGTATAAACTCCATACATAGTAGTATTTATCAGTTACTTGTTGAAGGATGATAAAGACACATTTTTTGTTCACAAGGTCAGAGTTTAAAGTTTAAGAGGTCAATATTATGGGTAAAATCCCTGGATGATTCAATTTCTATGCTTCACCTTAGGCATCATAATGTATTGAATTTATCTGTTGTTAATTTAGTAGAGATTTCTACCAGTAATAATTTGTTCATTATATGATTTTAAGGCAACACCTTAGCTGGGGGCATTGCAATAAAATACACCAACACCACTGGAGGGACGAACATCATTAAGATGATGGTGGACAGTGGGGGGAACAAAAAACCTGGACAAATCTGGATCGCTGCTATGCAGAAAGTAAGATCCTCCTCCATGGTCAATAGTTTCATACATTTATATACAATAAAACTCGGTTATAATCTAAAATTTTTATTCTGTATAAGGAAAATATGAAAAGTCTTCAACAGGAGGTTCCTTAGAGCCAGAGATTACCTGTATAAGCGATTATTTTATAACACAGAACAAAATGTTAATGCTATCATTAATATTATCAGGATATTTTTACCATAAAATGTATTTCCTGATGCCTATACATTTACAGGTGATATCAAAGTAACGGAGAATAAAATTACCCACATAAATTATAGTGACTAATATACAATAAAATACCTCCAGTCTTTAAGTTATCCAATTTTATCAATTAAAGGAAGGTTTAAATATATTTAAATATATATAGAAAAAACATGTTTTTCTTTTTTCTGTCATACTACATGTATCTGTAAGTGTTGAAGCTTATAGAGAGGAAAAAAACTGTATCCTGGTTCACTTATAAATATCACTACAGGATTTGAATTTTTGTTACACAAAATCAGTGTTATATTTCATTCAGAAAATACTATTCAATGATGAAAAATTTGATATGCGGAACTCTATTTTTTTTTAATGCAAATTGAGCAGGAAGCTTACAGTGTAAATGTCAACATGTGCATAGCACACGGGATGTGCCTTCCTGTTTGTACACTACCTTCCTGGATTTAACTTCCTGAAATTAAATTTGATCATATTATTAAAATTCACGCATTATTTATCACTGCAGGCATTTAAAATGGTATATGATGCTAGAGCAAAGTAAACGATGGAGAAATAATTGAGAGAGGAGGCAGAAAAAGAGAACGAAAGAGACAGAGAGAAAGTCAAAACAGAAATATGTTTTATGTGTCATATATCAGTACTATATTGTTATGATTTTATAACTTTTAAAACACAGAGGCATTTTGTTTGATTGAATCATGGACTCTCTTGCCAGATATATGTGTAGTTTGTGTCGTGTCTGTGATTATATAAGTACATGTTTATAAATACTCTTCGTATGGAACATACTATTTAATCATTCAATGTTTCATGCATTTATCTACTTATATATAGATGTGATACACATTGCACTGTGTGTTCATTTGCATATATTTCTGAATACAGTCAGACTTCAGTATCTGGGAAATGTATTTGTAAGGGCCCTTGGGTACACTGTATTCAAAGTTTTTTGTAGAATTTATTATGTAGAAATAGCTCTGGTACATCAAATCATGAGATATAATTTTTCTGACAATCCTGCAATTGTATAAAAGTATTTCTTGTTCTTGAGATATTTCGTGGGTTATCAGTAAAACACGATATAAATAAGTGCCAGGGAAGTATGTGTTTTTTTGTAATACACATGTAATTGTAATTTGTTATAAATGTATATTTTGTTTACAATATTTTTTAAAACGAGGGGAACAAAAACCTCGCTGTAAGCTTCACTTTCTTATACCAATAAATATGTTTGATATAAGCATTTTTTACTGTATATGGTGAAATCACTAATTTTCGTTGTTTTTGAGGTAGGAGATTTTCTTTTGTTATAACCACAAAATGTAAAATTTTTATGCATCATTGTTTACACATATAATTAAATCCTACAAACCAATAACCACATCAAACCTCGAAATTTTGACCCCATGAAAATATGTGATTTTACAGTGTTACAGTGAATCCTGTCATAATAAATCTGGTATCTCAATAACTCTGCAATATGTCTTCAATGTCCTTGTTTTTATAGAAAATCGTGTCATAATAAAAAAAAAATCTCAATTTTGCATCTCAAACATGAATTATCTTTAGGCTTTTTTGCTATGAATCTTGTCATAATACAAATTTTTATCTTATCTTAACTTAAGCATCTCACAATCTCAGATATCTCAATATTATATATTTTATGATAGCCCTATCATATTTGAGATAATGGAGTTTGACTGTATAAACACCACCCTAAAGGTGAAGGTTATATATACTAAGTACATGTATATACACTGATATACTAAATTGTTGCTTTGTATTGATAGGTTGTAATCTATTGGTTACTGTTGAATAAGCATTGTTCTTCTTATGTTAATTAAATTAAAGAAGAAGACTTAATGAATGTTCTTCTACATACTGTACTGTACATGAAAACAGGATTTTTTTCCTATTCTGTGACTTGCACTTCTTGCAGACTGTATTTAAAAGATCATTTGATGAAAACCAATATTGTATCTATCTGTGGTGCAGTTTGTTTTTAATGCATGGTTTTAAAAGTTCATTTGTATGAAGTAACCAATTTTTTGTTTATCTCTTGTAATCATCTTTAGGTACATATTATGCAGTTTGTTTTTCAAATTACAATGCTAAAAAATGTTGTAAAATGCATTTTACCATCCAAACATAATTGTATTTATGTACATAATGATTTCAAAAGAAGTGAAATTTTGTTTTTCTAGCACATTTAAAGAAAAATAATAACTTTTCATTTAAAGTCATTGTAAAAATTGCTTGTAAAAATATCATGATATTATCGTGATATTCTGGGAAAAAAATCATGATATATCACGATACAAAATTTTTGGCGATACCCATCCCTACTGTTTACTGTCAAAATAATATGTATAAATTTATGCACAACTTGAAGGGTGATATTTTTTTTTAAAATACTAATTAAATTAAATTTTTTTTTTCCCAACAAATTTTTATAAGTGAATATAAAAGCTTTAAGATGGACCAAAAATAGAGAATTTCAGTGGAAGTATGATGTAGTTAAAAGCAACTGAAACCATGACTTTGGTTAGAATATGAAGAGAAGCCATATTTTAAACATCTTAAAGACTTTGATAAACATTTTAGTGACGTTGACAAAACTTTCAGAGTGAATTGGATATAGATAACTGCATTGCTTAAGTTTTCCAAATATATAAGTCCAATACATTTCTTTAACAGCGGTGTTTACAATATGGATTAATTAGTTAATGTGCTGTTTGTAGAGAATGTAATGAAAGTTGGTGCTAAGCAGCAGTATTGCTGTAAGTGATTGAATGTTCTGTATATAATATTTAACATATAATTATGTATTGTATATACTGTAAATAGTGTATATAATTTATACATATAATTATTAATTTAAATACTTAACATATGTCTATTTAAAAGCAATAAAAAAGCATTAGAGTCAGCAGAAGGCATAATGGTTCATGGGATATATTTATTTTATCTATGTAGATAATCTAGATATTGTGTTGGTAAAAAAAAATACTTCTCATGTTACTCTATGGAATTTTGAATGTTATCTTTAATTGATGTAAAATTTTGTACTAAATAAACTCTCAATAAGAAACAGTTATATATTTTTTCTTGTCAAATTTATTTGATATGAATATTTGTCACTAATTAGCAGGACCCATTTAGGGAGAAATGTTTGTGTAAGTGTAGCAAAGAAAGATCATCCTTGTGGACAACTAATGTCTGTTTTAAATAAAACTTAAAAATAAAACTGCATAGTTTACACTTGTCTACTAGGTTTGAAAATTATTAATAAGGAAAACAAAGTGTGTTTGTGAAACGCTGATGCCCCCTTATGGCATTTGATGGCAAAGCTTTAAAAATGCAAGTAAAACCCTCAAAAATGTTGTTACTCTAAGAAATCATAAGGAATGACTTATCTTAATGAATATACTTAAAAATATAAAAGCGGCTATCCCAAGTACAAACTGTTCTAAAGTGATGGCCAAGGTTATTTTTTTTAAAGTGGGTCAAAGGTCAAGGTCACAATCTATTGTTACCATGGAAAGACTTTGTCACAAGAAATACACATGCCAAAAATAAGAGCGCTTACGGACAGGGCAAAAACTATTAACATTGAATCTTCGATTACGGGGAAATAAAATTCACACACATAAAATATAAGACCAAGGATGTTAAAATTTACCACCAAGTTAAATGGTGTCTTTGTTTCCTTCATCAGTAAAAAGAGGGCTGTTTAATTTTTTGTGGAGGTACATGCAAAGAGTGCTTTCCCTTCACTCAATTGAACGTTTCAATCTATATAGATAGGAAAAAAAAAACGTTTACAAAAGAGAGAAAAGGTTGAACTCCTTTGAGCCTATATAGCTATATGCAATGGCCGAGAATGCATAACAGCACAATGAACGAATCTTTCGGTTCATGGGAGGCGTATTGCCAAAATTCGAATAAAACACACACACACACCCAGAACTAATATGAAATTAAGATAAAAGGGAATGTACAACATGAATAAGTTTTCACTCAAGTCACCCTACTCCTCTGTGAAACTTGAAGACTTAGAGAACACGAAGTGCCGAAGTTTAAGAGGGAAAAAGGAAACTACGGCAAATGTTTCGCTTCAGCAAAAGAAGGGCGAAACCTTCTGTTATTTGTCCATAAAGTGAGTCATCATAGTCACTTATATACCTACAAAGAGAAATGGAATTCTTTAGTATCGAATTAACTTCAAAATCCTCACAAAAATTCAGAATACTTCCATATTGGCTCTTTGTTTTCCTCTGTTACATTTGTTCATGAAACCAAAAAATAAAAAAAAAGTTTGTTAAAACATTTATTATAATTTATAAATTTAATAAATACAAATCTTTGAAGAGATCAAAGCCGTTCATTTTATCTATCGGAGAGAATTATTCTTTCATTTAAAAATTCATCTTCGCTATCCAAGGATTTCTGATACCCTCATTTATGAAGAGAGTAGCGTATCAAAAAGTCTTGGCTGGAGGACATGTTAAAATTGAATACTGCTTTTTGTTCAAGATTGCTTTGTCCCAATTCTCTCTGAAATATGACCGTCGGTTATGACCACATTGGAAATTTGAAAAACGACCTCTTAAAGACCTTAATTTATAACGGAGACGTAGCAACCTTTTTGAAACTTGGGGGCCAGCCAGAAAAAAAACTTGACATACTTAAAATTGTCAAAACTCGAAATCCCATCATTTTAAGCTCACCTGGACGAAGTCAAGCGTCCTACCTATAGTCTCTTTTCCAAGTACTAGAACTGAATCATTCTTGGGTTAAACTACCTGACCTAATGGACCAGGTTAAAAACTGGCTCATCCCCAAGTAACCTTGGACTATATTTTCATGCACTTTTTTGAATTAAAACACTGTATTCATGGATGATGCTGACTTGACTTTTTTCAAATACTGAATCTGACTTACATTTCAAAGAAGTTAATTAACAACTGATGCACATTTCTTGACATATATTCAAATATTTGACCAGGTTCAAATAAGTTCAAATAAATTGAAGATAGGTACAATTGAATTAAAGATAGATACAATTGAATTAAAGATAGGTACAAGTTAACCTTAGGCCACATAATTTCTAGGTACAAATGAATTATACCTATCTTTTGGAACAATTCAATTAAAGATAGGTGAACCCTATCTCTAATTCATTTGAGGATTACTGTGGTATAATTGATTTAAAGAATACAATTGATTTGAAGATAGGTTCCTACAAAGGATTTTAGTACAATTCAATTATACCTAGGTTCAATTCGTTTTATGTTTTTTCAAATGCTGAACATGACCTACATTTCTTATTGATAAAAATTGTATATCAGGCTTGTATTTAAGTTTTCTTTTGCGCCAGCTGTGACGCGGAAAGTGTCATTGTTATTGCAAGTAATTAAAGATATCAATTCAATTGTACCTATCTTTAAATGGACCAAATTAGCATTTGGAAGATGTTTATTGTGATCATGAATTACATACACTAATTCTTACAATTGATTTTGCATTTGAAGTTAATTAACAACTGGAATATATGTTAAGTTAAATTTTGGAGAAAATGCAAACAGATGTGTTGGAGATTTCATTTGTATAAGAAATGCCTAAGCCATATATACCTAATCCAAATTAGCCAGAAGGATTCATCTAGGGATACAAACTTTTAGACCTGCATGCTTCGGATGCTGGATGTAACCTAGATTCATTATAGTCGTTTTTTCCCAAGTAACTTTAATTTAAGTCTTACCCGAAGCAGAGACGCACCTGTCAGAGGGTACAAAGATCTAGGAATGCACCTACAAACTTATGTGGAATGCTGGATCCCATGTGAACGAACAGGTAAATATTTATAAGTGTTCTAATTCCAAGTAACTATATAATTATATATTTAGGTTAACTTCTTTCAACGGCTTTCAGGAATGCACAGTATAACACATATCTTTGGAAGCTGGATCTGCATGACCAACATTTATAATGCGATTAAATAGGGATAATGTTTAAAGTTAAGCTAGGTTCATTTTGAAGTACCTGTACTATGGAAATGTATCTACATGTACATTGTATGTGTGAGGGTCCGTGTAACACTTAACAATTCAAATTTCTAAAATGATTTTAAGTTTTAGATGTTACACATGTAACATATTACTTTAAGTTTCTAACTTTCAAAAACTCAAACTGATTTGGTCTATTGAAATTAAATATTTTAGTTCAAACATCTAAATTTTCAAATTTCCAAACAGGTTTTAGAATTTTAAGTTTTTAGATTTTTACCTTTAATATTCAAAATTCAAATTTCCAAAAACCTATTTTGTATTTCAAACTTTTTAGTCTTTAATCTACCGTTTCTTCAAAAACTTTAGCTTAACAATCTAAAATTCAACAACATTTTTTTGTATTTTGATTACCGGTATTTAGAATTTACTTCAAACTTCCAACTTCCAAACGTTTTAGATTTCTAGAAATTTAGAATTTTGATCCAAACACTAAACTTTTAAATAACCGAAACACTTTTTACATTTTGAGTTTTTAGAAGTTTACTTCAAAAAACAAAAATATCAAATTCCAAACCCGGTTTGAATTTTGAAACTATTTCAAAAACTCTTGGTTACGCAAATGAGCTTTTAGATAGTTGAAATATTGAATTAATATTCAGAATTCAAATCGGGTTTGGAAATTTGATATTTTGGATATTTAAAGTAAAATTATAAAAACTCCTAAGTGTTTCGGTTATTTGATATTTCAACATTTGAATCAAAATTCCAAATTTCTATAAATCTAAAGCGTTTGAAAGTCGAAATTTAGATGTTTGAAGTTAATTTCAAATAATCAGAGGACAAATTATGTTACTGAACTTTGGATTGCTAAGCGTGCATTTTCTGAACAAACAGTAGATTAAAAACTTAAAAGTTTAAAGTACAAGAATCTGTTTTGAAAAGTTGAATTTTGAAAATATAAGGTAAAAATGTAAAATATTAAAATCCGAAATCCTGAAATTTCAAATACCAAATCAGTTTAAGTTTTTGAAATTTAGAAATTTAATTTAATATATTAACATTCTAAAAGTCAAAATCATTTTAGACATTTGAATTGTTAAGTGTTACACGGACCGTGTAAGGTTTTGTTTTACTTAAGATAGCATTCATTAAAGTGAGCTTTTTAATCTTTGGGTTACATGTAGCAAAATTTTTTTTTAAATGAAAACACGCAGCTCTTCAAGCTTATAAGATAGACAAATTGTGTTGTTATTTTGATACCGACATTTTGGTTTACAATGTACTTAATGTATATAAGAAGTTTTTAGACTTGCACCTCCTCTGGTGTATAATCTTTTTAAATCCCACGATCGACGTATGCTGATGAGTTTTTAAATTTCACCTCTATATTTTTTTTTCATGTCACCTTGATAGTATTAGAGAGTTTAACTGTACGATATCGGGATCATTAAGTGCAACGTCAAGCATGCGGAAGTCAGCGATTGATAAGTTATTACGTTTAGTATGGGAAAAAATGAAGCAATTATAATTAGTTCATTTAAAAAAATATATCCCTTTTTTCTCATTACGCTATACATAGGTATTTTTTTTTTTACAGTTTGATTTTCAAACCTCCTTAAATTTATTAATTAATGATTAATAATACAAGTTCCGTATTGAATAAGAGCTCATAATAGTCACATTATAGCATATCGTTCGATTTTCTTGTGACTCATTCCGGAGCTCTTAACGTGGAACCGTTACGTAATATAACGATTTTAAACAAAACTCTATTGATAAGCCGTTATAGAAAGATGCCAGACACAAATGGAACTCTTCCAGAGGTTTTGTGAAAAGCTGTTTTTCTTGGATTTCATAAAGCGAACATCTGATACACTTTCAGAGAATTTCATTTGTTTTTAGCTCACCTGAGCCAAAGGCTCAAGTGAGCTTTTCTGATCACAATTTGTCCGTTGTCTGTCGTCGTCGTCGTCGTCGTTGTCGTCGTTGTTGTCGTCGTTGTCAACTTTTCACATTTTCGACTTCTTCTCAAGAACCGCTGGGCCAATTTCAACCAAACTTGCCACAAAGCATTCTTGGGTGAAGGGGATTCAAGTTTGTTCAAATGAAGGGCCAGGCTCTCATTCAAGGGGAGATAATTGGGAATTAATGAAAATTTGATGGTATGTTTTAAAAATCTTCTCAAGAACCACTGAGCCAGGAAAGATGAAACTTATGGGGAAACATCCTCAGGTAGTGTAGATTCAAGTTTGTTCAAATCATGAACCCCGGGTAAGGGCGGGGCCAAAATGGCCGACCAAAGTTTTACATAGAAATATATAGGAAAATTCTTTAAAAATCTTCTTCTCAAGAATAATAAAGCCATAATTGATCATATTTATATGACAGCATCCTCAGATAGTGTAGATTCAAGTTTGTTCAAACCATGACCCCCGGGGTAGGGCGGGGCCACAATGGCCAACCAAAGTTTTACAAAGAAATATATAGGAAATTTCTTTAAAAATCTTCTTCTCAAGAATAACAAAGCCATTATTGATCATATTTATATGAAAGCATCCTCAGGTAGTGTATATTCAAGTTTGTTCAAATCATGACCCCCGGGGGTAGGGAGGGGCCACAATGGCCGACCAAAGTTTTACATAGAAATATATAGAAAATTTTTTAAAAATCTTCTTCTCAAGAATAACAAAGCCATAATTGATCATATTTATATGGAAGCATCCTCAGGTAGTGTAGATTCAAGTTTGTTCAAATCATGACCCCGGGGGTAGGGCAGGGCCACAATGGCCTACCAAAGTTTTTCATAGACATATATATGAAAATTCTTTAAAAATCATCTTATCAAGAATAGCAAAGCCAGGATTGGTATTGGGACTACTTTTGGATTTAAATTATTAAATAATAAACCAATTTCTACTTTTTCCTAGTCACAGTGCTCAGGTGAGCGATGTGGCCCATGGGCCTCTTGTTAAATGTTTTATAAGCTCTCAGTGGTGTAGCATGTATGCAGCATCATTGTTAAGATGTCTCTACTGTTTAAATATGAAACTGTCGAGGATCATTATAAAATGAGGATAAGGACTTAATTGTTGTCAATAAAAAACACACTCCTTTTGCAAGGACTTACAAGCACGGCGTGAACATCAGTGTTTGTCGCGTATATTAGTATCTTCAGAGGAGTGGTATGTAGGGACTAGATGTGGTAAGTTATATCTTTCAAATGATCTCCGTAACTCGCAGTCGAAATTGATGAATTCCCACCTGCTTTATAAATGATCTTTTAATTTAGTTCCAAGCATATTAATATTGTAAATACTGTGTATTTATGTCTTTTGACTTATATAACTGAATTGAAGAATTTTGTTATATTTATGTATCAGGCTATAAAAACACAGTGAATTTGGTGTAACCTTGATCTGTTGATATAATAATTTATGCATTATATGCATGATAAGAGTAAATAAAATGAGGTTAATGGGTCGAATTTATTAGCATGTTTACATGCTAAAGGTAGATCAGTTCCCGAATGAAAACCAATAAAATTCACAAACATGACAAATTAAGTGCAATATATGTATTTTGTTAAAAGAGTTTCCAGCATTTGAAAGCTTACTTCATCTGGTCTAGTTAAAAATCCTGGGAAGATAGATACTGGAACCTTAAGATTTTGAAAAAAGGTATCAGAATAAGTAAGTACAGTGGAACTTGTCTCATTCGAATATTATTTATTCCGTAATCTCGCCTTAAAAGTACGTACAGACTTTTTCAGTAAATCTGTCTTATCCAGGAATATAGTATAGTCCGACCCATTTCTTTATAACAAGTGATGTCTGGATTCGAAAAATTTGTGTAATAAGCTTCTTGTGTTAATAATGATTAAATAGCTAATGAGAGAAGTACTTCAACCATATTTATATACACGTGTATATTATGTACGCATACTCTCCTCAGTGACCAAATCTTTATATTCTCTATCCTATATCATATGATAAAAATACATGTACATCCCATCAGCTAACACTTATTCTAGATTTTCATGAATTTATTACATTTACACTATGACAAATAGATGTATCTTTCATGACATAGCAACTAAAACAACAATCGATACAAAATCACCATGAATTTTTAATAATAACTAAAGAAGGCTAATTTTTATTAAGAGACAAATTCAAAGTATTAAATTCCTGTTCCCAAAGAAAAAAAACGTAAATACTTCCGCCTTTCCTCTTTCTTCTTGTCAGAGGCTCTTAAAGAAACATCGCCCTTAAAAAAATTTCACATCCGCTGGGTGAGTAGAGCCTCCTTCGTGGTACAAAACTTGCCTGGTACTTCAGAATCTACATAAATATCTTTAGCTGCTATAAACGAAGAAACTGAAATCAAACGATGCGTGGGACGAGGTCATCAAGGTCATTCAAGGTCATTCGGGTAATTCAGGGATGCATTGATGCAGTAACTTAGGGAGGCGTTGATTTTCTTTTTATTGATAACCAAAAGCATGTTTAATGTGCAGTGTTTGATATAAAGTGACTACTAATCAGCGACTGGGCCATTATATTTTCTGGTTTTCTTCGATAAGTTTGAAAGCAGTAATCACCGATATCATGAAACAAAAGAATATATGGGATTTAGTTTAAACTCACTGTGTTTTGAAACTAGACAGAAAAAATTTAAATACGGACATTAAATCAAGGAAATTTCGCCATAATCAGTTTTATTTGAATTATTTTATTGTTTATAAAAGAGAAAATGGCGTCATGAGAATCCTTGGAATCGAGTGGTTATGAGTGGACATTTTCTTTCTGTACTCACTTTGCTGTGCTCGGCTTGTGGAGGTTTAGCCATGTGTACAATACAGGTAACACAAAAAATCGCAAAATCTATAAAATGCATGGAAATTTTCATTATCTTTAATCTTTAAAAACCTTTTTATAGTGAGCTGAGTAACATAAATACATGTGTCTTTAACACCTGCATATAAAGTTGTCATAGTTGATTCTAAGCCCAAGGTCATACTCTTAAGTACGCATAATTCGTAAAGCGAGGCAAGCTATTGACATAAAAGTTGGTGAAACAAGAATTTTAACTGTCTCGTCTGAAGAGAACATTTCAATGGTCGATCTACAAATACAATTTATTATTCAGCCGAATACTGATTCTCGTTGTGAATACTATTTGTTATACCATAATTACAATCTTGCCACCGTACTCGAAGATTCGGGAATATAAAGTTTTTGCCCTGACTGTCCATCTGTCTGTCCGCAATAACTTCCGATTGGTTGGAGATATGGCTTTCATATTTCATTTGCCCTATCCCTTTCTTTGGATACTTATAATTTGGAATCTCTTGGCCTCTTGCCCTTGGATTTTGACCAACTTTTGCAAGAATTTACTATACTAGTACTTTTACCTTTGGCATTGCTTTAGAAAAGTGTTGCTAGTGATTGGTACTTCTCAAGTGCATTCATTGTGACAAGACCTTTCCTTGTATTTGTATATATTAATAGTTTGACTTTGACCTATGACCCACTTTTAATATCTTAAACCTTGGACATATCCTTTGAGCACATAAACTGTAGCACGAGGGGCTTCTTAATTTACTGTTGTATTTCATGTTACAAAGCCTTCCTTTGGATAGCAACTATTTTAACCTTTTAACCTTGGAATTTGACCTTCTTTAAAAAAAATAACCTTGGGTAAAACCTTTGAACAGTTGTTGTTAGGGCTTTCATATTTCGCATGTGTAATTCTTATAACAAGCCCCCCCCCCCTCCCTGCGTACCTTTACATTGGCCCTCCCTTAGATCTTAACCTTGGATTTGACCCACATTTAAAAACTTAAACTTGCCTTAAACCTTTGAGTGTTTAGAGCTTCAACTTTCATATTTCACCGTATATTCATTGAGATAAGTCCTTTCTTTGGATAACATTTTTCCTCTATTTACTAGGGAGTTGGACATGCATTTAAGAAACATTAATTTTTGCCAAAAGTGAGCATCAGTGTTTCACAAACACATCCTGTTGTGAAATTAATTGTCACCATATTTTCCCGTTTTACAAGGAGCAAAGGGTGTGACCGGTTTAAAGGGATGCTTACTCCTCTATGGCACCCAATATTTTCCAGAAGTCCGTCTTTCTCTACTCTCGATTGTACTGTTTCTATGGCTTTTGGGCTTTATTACTAATTGCTATATTTCATTAATTTTGAAGTCACAGGGAAGGAAAATTACTTGTTTTTGGGGTCAATTTGTTATAAGAGTATTGAACTGTAACTTGAAAACCTACGTAACATACATATATAACCATGCAGCACTAAACGAAAAACTATACTACTATTTTTTAGAGGTATCCTACTTCTGTTGAGGAATGGTACAACTGTGTACCGTGTCCACCTCCAAGGAATTTCTCCTTGTTGTGTTCACAAGACAGCATCGATTGTACTGTGTTGATAAAACTGCTTGAAGTTTGCCTCTCGCAATATAACCAGTACTACCAGCAATGGTTTACCGATGAAATCAAGTGCGTAGAAAAACATACATGTTTGAACAAACGACCTTCCTGTGGTCTTGATGATGAACAAGTTTTTCAAAATATTTCGGATTCCTGTATAACAACCACCACTACCACTTCCACTACCACGACGAGAGCCACCACAACAACACCGTTTTACACCAGAACCACAACCTACTTCTCCACCACAACCCCTATGAGAACGACGCAGACGACCAATGATCACGTGACAAACGTCACAGAATCTCTCACAACATCGTTTATCGAAATGAGCAATGACACGACGTTGACCATTTCTGTTACAGCCATTCCACAAGAACCACCGAGCATGGAGCCTAAATCTTATGACTTATTATTTATTATAATAGGTGTTGTAGTTACTGTGTAAGTTTTTATTCTTGATTTTTTTTGTTTTTGTCTTTCAACCGACTTCAAGTTCAAAATCAGAAAAAGGTTTTATTAAGTCAAAACTTTGATGTCTTGATACATCAAAAACTATTCAAATACTAGTACAAACACCCAATTAAATTTTTGGTGGATGAATAGAATTAATATTATTTCAAAAGTTCATTTGATCTGACGTTTAGGTTCAAGTCTTTCTCAGTTTATGGGGCCTGGGTCTCTAATTTGCTTAATCACATAAATAATATTTTGATTTTATTTTTGATCATTTTAACAGGTTTGCTGTATTCGCAGCTGTCGTTTTTGCTTTCTGGAAAGTAAAGAAAGTAAGGACATTCGTGTTTTTCTTTAATTAAGTATAAAAACCACTATGTTGTAATATCAATCTTCACCGATTTCGTCTAAAGACCTACTGTTTTCACTAGAGAACATCAATGTAAGGATTCCAAAGCATTTATAATACATGTATACTAAATCAAGGTACTAGAAACTAATTGTTTGAAGTAATAAATACATGTAATATGTGCTGAATTGATATTATACTCTTTCGTTTTAGATTTACTATGTTAATTTTGAAAGCCCTCTTTACCGCCAAACTTCTACTGACTCGCGTTCACCGATCATAAGAACAGAAAAGGACTGCAGCATACTATGTGTCTTGCTCAAACATAGGGTGACGTCACATGACAACGGGTACCTGACGTCAAAAGAAATTCAAAAGGGATATTACAACCATGTTCCTGGGGTCGAATCTCAAACTGTCGCCGTGTTTCAAAACAACGAAATATTCGAAGAGGATGAGAGTATTAAAGCGAACTGTGATGACGAGCTATGTGAAGATAACGTCATTACAAATGACGTCGACCGGGAGACACGAATATAATTGGATGAAACATTAATCAAAACATTCCTGATATTAATACTCAAAAAATATTTGTTAGTATGTATATACAGATTATTTATGTATTTAATGGATTTTATGGTCCATCTGTAAATTAAAAAAAAAATGTTTGGTTGTCCTCTCCCAACCGACTGATTAAAAATGGCCCGACTCAATTTTTTTTTACATTCCAAGACACAATATATTTTTTTCTTTTAACTGATCCTCATATCCCGTCAACAAATATGTTTAATTTTTCTAGAAAAAAAAAAAGATTTTTCCGCCTTAGGCCTAGGTACCTACCTACCGATTAGTAAATAATTTTACCCTCAGTCGGGAGAGGACAAGAAAATCTTAATTAAAGATGGCCTCGCTGCTTATTATAGTGAAATATCAGATGAGTGCAATGCTGATACTTATTACAAGCATTGAATTTTGAAGAGCAAAATCTACTAAAATATACTACGGGTTTACATGCTTAAAAATGTTCAGTGTTTATCTGTACTTTATACATTGTATATTTATTCATTATTTAGTAAGAATTTCTTTTTTTTGTGATTTTTAGGGAGGAGGGGGAGTTATGTTAAAAGGAAAACGGCATGACTTCATTGTTCACATTGGTCCAACACAGCTAAATAATGGCCACGTTACATTTTTTCTGAGAAGAAACTAATAATCAATCAATATAAATTTATTTCAAATACAGATGTCTAGAAATAAGAAAACTGTATTAAGAAACTTTTCAAAAAGGAAAACGCAATACATTGTGTATTGTTCTAATAACAAAACATACTTATTTTATCAAGAGTTGCGGCGACAGGCGTATTTCTTTATCCGAAGGCTCAATATAATGATAAATATTTACGAATAGTTTTGTAAATTAAGTAAATTAATCAACCGTTGGAAATGTTTCGACAGAATGTTGTAAAGAATTGCACATCTGACCCAAAGTGTGCTTACATAAGTAAACTACAGGTATTATAGTTTAAAGTTTTGAGAGAGAAAAAATATTTAGCTCAATAGATTACATTTTGAGTTGCATTGTAGTAAATGTCTGATTATTTCATCTGCAACAGCCTTAATACTTTTTTTTTATCTTAACGTCATTTCCGTATGTTATCACATTTCCATGTGTATATCAATCTTTTGGTCATATCCGTTGTACGACAAAACACTAGAGTAAAGTAGAGCGTATTTACAATAAGCCGATATAATAATGAGGAAGAGGGAATGTCCTTTAAAACCGATAGCTATAGCTGAAGCAACATCATACACAACACAGCTGATTTTTCTTTCTCAATTTGAAATATTCGAATACACAGGATTAAGTGGCATCGGTATCATTTCCTCGTAAGCCAGGAAACATACTTCAATTCGTATGTATGAAGACACATGAAAATTCAGTCGCAATTGGAAAGATTGAAGTACTCTACGAAAGCTAGCTGACCAACGTCAATTAAAAGGGAATATTTTTTAAAAGATGGATTACGTGAAGAGGAAAATACTTTTTTGGGTTTTTGCTACTATTTATGGATCCAATTTTGAAATTGACGTCATCACTGGAATCACATCATGACGAGATTGCCAGAGATTCGGTTTGGATATGAATAGATTTTTCTGGCCACTGATCATTTGGATGTGTAGGGCTGGCGAAGTTAAAGGCATGTGTACAATCAAGGTAATATCGGTAGGAAAAACAATACAGTTCTAGTTCATGTAGAAAATATAATAATTTTTATTATATGATTGAATAATTTCAATCTCTCTGATTGGCTGAGATCCAACTATGTTAGAAAAATATTACGTTGTATTGACCTGCACGTGACGTTCCAGGTCAATACAAGGATTTATTTCCTCTACATTTACCTAAAAATAGATTCGGAAATTCCAAATTGATATAAATTGTTTTAAAAAGCTATTTAAAAGCTATTTAAACGACTATGATTTTTATTTTCATGTGAAAAAACAGCAAATATATATTTTGGGTGAGGAGGTAAGAGGGGATGCAGGGACACACATCCCCCTCCAACACTTTTTCTGAACAACATTTTTTTTAAAAACTTTTTGGTAGTCAGTTTTTCCTAATAAAACTCCTTCCATTCAAAATCTATTCCATAAAAAAGACTGACAATATATATTTCTCTCATGGCATTTTTTTTTTTTTTTACAAAAATTGATTTTAAAAAACATTTCAAATTGATACGACTGGTAAGGTTTATTCACATTTAGATTCTGCTACTCTCTTGTATTTGGCTAGGGCTTAATAAAATGCAAGCAAGTAATTAGCTGTATCATTTTATCAGTGAATCATATAATAAAACAATTATTGCTGATTTTTTCGGTCAATACAATGATTTAGCCATCTTCGAAGTACAATATTCACCTCGCCCTTCGGGCTCGGTGAATATTGTACTCCTCAGATGGCTAAATCATTGTATTGACCTCAAAAACCAGCAATAATTGTATATTATTGCAAATATTAAATTCTGCTACTGTGACGTCACTATGGCTTTTGCGTAAAAACTCGAATGACACGTAAAACGTCATTATTTATCAAACTTAGCAACTCAATTTGAAACAAACTTTAATTTTCAAATGGTAAATATAAAACATTGATAAAACAATATATTACAAATAGAAAAAAATAATGTATACATATCTAATTATACTATTGAATTTATTTCAGAGATACCCTGCTTCCTTGGATGAATGGTACAACTGTGTACCGTGTCCACCGCCTGGGAAATTTTCTATGTTGTGTTTACACGAGTGTGTTTCCAATGATTGTGATTTTTTATCAAACCTTCTTAAAGTCTGTCTTCCACAATATATCAGAGATTACCAACCTTGGTTTACAGACGACATCAAGTGTTCCGAAAAACAGGTATGTCTGGACCAACACCCACTGTGTGAATCCCTTAAAAGTGATTTTAAAATCTTGAACGTCTCTTGTGAACAAACGACGGAAAGTATGACGACAACGTCACAATATTTAACCATGTCTACATCATCAGCGGACCGTATTATTACTACACAATATCTCACCACGCTTGGAGTTTCCACAACTCAAGTCAATGTCAGGCAGACGACAAAACGTCACGTGATTAATGACGTAAAAAACGTCACGATAAATGACGTAAAATACGTCACAACTTCATTTACTGTAAGCAATGACTCCATTTTAATTTCTACAAATACCTCGAATTCAATTCCACTTTACCCACTGAAGACCGAAAACCATTCTTCAAATCCAGGCATTGCTGTAGCTGTAGTTTTGCTTATTTCGTAAGTTTTATTTTGATTTTATATTTGACAAAAATTATTTTTTGATTGTTTTTCTTATTTACTAGTTTTTGCTTATTCGTGAGTTTCATTTTGATTTTATATTTGACAAAAATTATTTTTTGATTGTTTTTTTTATTTACTAGTAATTCTATTCTTTTAAATTGTATCAGATTGGTTTTCTTTGCTTCTGTGATCTTTGCGAGAAAAGCAAAACAAGTAAGTAAATTCATGCTTTTCATAAACTTAGGGAATAACTGTCTTCTAATTTGGTATTTGCGACCGTAAATGCTGATTTAACGGTTGCAAACTGAGTTTTACCGGCGACGCGTAAGCGGAGCCGGTAAAATGGATGTTTGCGACCGTTAAATCAGCATTAACGGTCGCAAATACCAAATTAGAAGATTAGTTATTCCCATTCTAATGCAATACATGCATTTTGTTTATTTTTACGTCTTATTTTGATGAATTTTGTTACAAGATACGTCACGGAGCATTGTGTTTTTGCGTCGCTCTATTATGACGTCACAATGAAAAAGCTTTCACGCTCGTTAATGCTCGTTTTACTGCTTCAAACATCAGTGCATTGGCCAATCAAAAGGTGTTTTACAATATTTTTGCATTAGAATATAAATTTAATTAGTCTTGAAACATTTCTCCAGTACAAAAGCAAAATTTAACTGATCGATTTGCATTTATCTACAAGGTATGGATGAATTATCAGCAAACAAAAAGTCATTTGTATTAACAAGAAAATTATTATACATTCATTATCAAAATTTTAACTGAAATTAAAATATTTTTTATTACATGGTTCAAATAATACCCAGATCAGAACAAATCAAGATTGTATTGACATTTTTTTTTAGAATTATTCTGTAAGAATCAGGGCACCTCTTGAGCGCCAGTCGTCCACGAGTTCCCGCGCACCTGTCATCAGGACGGACGACGGTTATACCATACTGTGTTTTACGATCAAACGTAGAATAACGGCACGCAAAAAAGGACCTCTTTCACTGAAAGATACTCCAAGGGGATATTATAGCGCTGTTCAACTGGACGAAACTCAGGAATTTCAAAAAGATAAGGTGGAAGAGGAACAGAAAATAAATTCTTATGACGTTATCTGTTCAGTGGAGGATGAGAAAGAGAAAATAAATTCTTATGACGTTATCTGTTCAGTGGAAGAAGAGGAAGAGAAAATAAATTCTTATGACGTTATCTGTTCAGTGGAGGATGAGGAAGAGAAAATAAATTCTGATGACGTTATCTGTTCAGTGGAGGATGAGGAAGAGAAAATAAATTCTGATGACGTTGTCTGCCAAGTGGAGGATGACGTCATCAAAAGTGCCACACATGAGTCAGAAGTGTAAATGACAAAAGTTTAATAATTTATGAAATGAACATTGATTTTATCGCATAAATTTTAACGGAGATCTTTACCGGATTAAAATTTTATAATAAGAAATGTAAACCATGAGGAATTCTTGCAACTATGTGGCAGATCCAAGCCTGTTATGTTTGATACAAGTACGAGTAGTGAAATCACGCTATCGAAAAACTAAAAAAAAATAGGTGGCGGTTATAAGCAATTAGATGTTATAAACAATATGTTCAGGAAATCACAGCTTGTTCGTTTATCCAAGCACAACTCTTATGATGCAAGTAACATGCATACAATTTAAAAACGTTAAGAGTATAATAAGGAGAAGTACAATGTAAAAAAAAAATCATTTTTTTAAAATTAACTATGAACTGAATTTGAATCTTCAGACGAATTAATCAAAATGTGTTTACAGTTCCTGGCTGGAAAAACGGGTAAAAATAAAGTAAAGTAGTCTTTCATTGCCAGTTTTAAAAAATTTTGATAGTCATGTACCGATATTTCAAACAACTTTTTTTAAAATTAATTCCCAGTCTTCATGAAAATCCAAAATCAAAGATACATATAGCGGGTCTTATTTATAAATGTGCTACCAAGCATCTTTCTTTACCCCACAAAAATCAACAGCAGGGAAGAAAACTGTATCAGTACTTTTGAACGTATTTGAGAAGTTGTTCAGAAACCCTTGACTAGCAAAGATGCAAAGTTAACAACTGTTCAACACTTTATATTTTTGAATTCTCCACTATAAGTTAAAGACTACTACTAGTAGACAGAAAAACACTTGTACATATGAGACAACTGTTTCTAGTTGCTAATATACAATTCTTTTCATGGGTCACATGCAAATATATTGTGATAAAATACAACTACTGGAGATATTATATAGTACTATTAAAAAGAAGCATGTGTTTCTCAACAACTACATCTATGTAGTTTTTGGAGACTAGGTCTTCCAACAGTCTGTTGGAATTTCCGAGGCCGCTTATCGTGCCCCAATACAAGCAGGACTGTTTTTGTATTCAGATGAATTTGAATTTGTTAAAAAAAAAACTACTAAAAAAGAAATCTTGCTGTAGCCTTCTTTTTTACATTCAAATATAATGACCCCATTCTGTTGGTCTGTCTGCATTGATTCAACTATCCCACTGAACGTTAACAAAAAATATTAAAGACATCAAAGAGTTTGATGCTTTTTGCTGTTTTATATTTGGGTTTTTTTTTTCCAGAGAAAGCAGTTTATGGCAAACTGACATTTTAAATTTATAATTAGAGTAATGACTTCAATTTTTTTCTATTTTCAAGCCTCCTTTTATATCAATCTACTCTTATCACATGCATATGAAGTTTATGTCTCCCAGTTTTCTTTAAAAACCTTTATTAACAAATCTTACAACTGTTACGTGATAAAATGTATCTATTTCGGTTGATTCTATACGCAATAGCATGTTTTTGCGTACGGGTTCTAAAACAAATCTTAGTATGGACAAAAAGGTGATGATATTAGAATACTAGTAACAACAATCTTGTTTAAATAGCATCTTAATTAAACAAGAAACAATATTATACAGTTGTTGACTGGGATAGAGAAAAACGGTACATCTGTTGGACCGAAGTGCAAGATGTTGCCCAAGTCCGTAGGCCTGCATCAACAGTAGATTATTATATCCCTACTAAGCAGTCCCCATACAATTTCTTACTTTAAAGAGTCCGTCTGTTTTCCTCGATTGTCAGTCTAGGAACTTTTAAAATAGGTCTACGGCCTTGGGCAGTCTACCCCAGTAAACAACTGTATATTCAACAGATTTTTTAAATATATATCTATCCCATCGCAACGAAGTTGGAGGATACACTGTATATTAATCCAATTGTGTGTTCGATTGTTGATGAGTGAGGAACTGAGCGCTGTACAAATGAAACTTAAGTGAAGTAATTTACATCGGAATCGATGTCAAATGCTGTTTTAATTTAAAGATAATAATGCTCTTTGCAAAGGGATGTGCCGCTCTCTGGTGCCCTTGTTGAATCTCATATTTATAAAATACATATCATGTTTTTCATACTCATTGCTTGGCCATTGAATGAAAATTGAACTGTCTGAGAATTTTCAGTTTATCTGATCTTAACAAGGAACAGACGGCGGATGTGAACTGTTTACAGGGGATACTTCCTCCTCCATAGCTCCTGATATCCTATCTCTGATAATTACAGAGTTTAATTTATGCTTGTTTTATTCCTAATTTGTACTTTTTCATTGGACCGTTGAGCTTGATTTCAGTTCGTTGTCTTCATATTTATTCGAATAGGTTTGAAGCATTTTCCTTCAGAGTTAAGAAAATATCAATAATATTAACTGGTACTTGAATACTTTCTATTAAAAAAAAACATGTGATCAGTGCACATGCGCGTGTTTTCCTTAAGAGGCTCAGGAACCAGGAAATGTTTTTCTTTGGTCTTTTGTTTAATGATAAAGTCAGCTTTATCAGCATGTAGAACATGTATAAGAGTTATTTCCGTCAGAACCAAATTACAGAATATGGCGGAAACATACCCTTGACATTCTTCTCATGGTTTGAAATAGTTTAAAAGAATATCGAAATTGACGATAATATTAATACACTGTAATACTAAATTGCTTTCCATTCTGCAATCAGCATGAACGTAAAGCGGATATGATGAAAACATCAAACTAGCAGAATAAGAAATACGATCTCCCTATACTTATTCATTTCATATTCTTAAAAAAATCATTCTAAACTTCTAAACTTCAAAAGAGCCGACTTGTTACTACAAAAAAAACCCCATGCTGCTGCTTTATTACCCCTTCCCCACCCCTCGAGGCCCTCAGCTTGAAAAGAAATGGTAAGTGTACTGAGTATATGATGATAGGGAGGTTCGTCCGTCTGTTCCGCTGGCGTTTACGCATCATTTATCCGGAACTCCACCTGCACCACTTTGTAAAATTTCATGAGACTATTTCATCGTACTGTTGTGCAGCTCCTATTTGAAGTTTTGATCGGACATATATTCTTGACTTTCTCCGTATCATAATATGGACTTTCCCATTATACTCATATGAAAGCTGCTATATCATTTTGTGAGCTCAGTGAAGCACAGTACTTTTTCTCTTTTAAATGCACCTTTTCATTCAAGTTTCATTCATCTGCAATAGGGATGACAGATGACTCTTTTCCAAGGAGTTTTATTTTGCGGTTCGACACAATTCTAAAATGATAACAAAATTCTTTTGGGACTACGTGGGTTTGATTATCTGTACTGTATTTTTGCTATGTATCGTCTTGTTTTAAGTTTTATATTAAATTTTTAGAATTTTGACATAATGTTATTTCCTTTTGTCTAATTTAAATGTGTTTTATGCATAATGAGATTAAAATGAGTATCATTTGACACCTCATACGAAATTGACCCACATTCTGCCGTGAAGCGATGGACGAGACAAAATACTGTGTTCATTTTTATAGTTTATAAATTATTCCATACATGTATATCTGAATGAAATTTTAGGGCAAAAGTCAAGTACGATGTATATAAAGTTTTGATTTTTTTGTTTTATTATTAAAGGTTCTTTATAACGGTTGTGAAATTATTTTGGATCAACCCTTGTACATACTCGTACACTTGAACCCTCTCTACTTTGGTGGTTTACAGAAGACATCAAGTGCTTTACAATTGTATAAAACTGGCTTCAGGGTCACGAAACAGACTTTGACATATGTTAAATTTTCTTTCACCTGTTAAATGTTAATAACTTGTCGACTTGATCTCTAAATTTGCTGATAAAGCACTTTGGTATGAATGCAAGAATGAAATATGTTTTGCTGCGGGTTATTTTACTTCTACGACATTTAACAAGTTAAACAAAAATAAAATTCATTATCTGGAAGCTTAGACCACAAATAAATTCACTTCAAAACTAAACTACTTTTTCAAAACAATCAATGCACATTTTAGTGAATGAAATATATGGAGACAACAAATAGTGTTCAAGCTCAAAAGGTCATAATATATAACAATGCAAAATAGGAGCAGAGCAAACATGGACCTTCAAAACATCAGAGGTGGGATCAAGTGCCACGGATGAGTGAGCATCCCCTGCCGACCGGTCACATCCGCCGTGTGCTCCTTGTTATGATCGGGAAATAACGAAAAATTCGTCGTCAATTCAGTGTGCTTTTGAAATCTATGACCTGATATTCTTTTATTAAGTGATCCTTAAGCTCTGGTTTCACCAACATAAACAACTCCACACAGAGAACATTCTATTCCATAGACAACATTAGAAGATTTGCAGTTCAGATGTTCAAGTTTTGGTATAAAAGCTAGGCCCAGGAAGATTAGTGGTGAGAGAAGTTTAAGTTATCAAATGGTCACAGAACATTTTGAGATAGAAGACATGGGAACGGAAAAGGAAAACCCCCCAATAAAAATGGAAAATTATATGTTACAAATTGAAACAGATACGATACAAAAAATGATACAAATAAAAAATATACAATATACATATAAATTAACTATGATACAAAATAAAAAGAAATGTAATTGAAAATATAATTGAAAAAAAATTTACAGTGCAAAAAACCATTTAAAATAAAAAATAAAATAATAAAAGACAAATTAAGAGCAATTCTCTGTAATGATTTGAAATTTTATATAGGAGCTGTGGCACGCATAGTCTCAGAATTTCTCCAAACTCTCTATGATAAAAGTCATTGATACCCTAAACTGAAATCAGGCAAAAATTGGTTGCTATGTTTTATAGTTACCATGGCAACATGTCTTAAAGTTCGAAAAATGGCATTTTTTAACATGTTTAGAGTCCCATAATTAACATTTGCGGCAAAGCAAACAATACGCAATGACTGTTTCCAAAAGTTGAAGGTCAGATGTCTCAAATGCATGATAAACATATTTGGTAAATCAACTATTACATATGTTACTATGGTAACAAACTATTCAAAAGCAAAAAAAAATATTCAATGAATTTTATAAAGTCATACACGTGAAAATAAAAAGCAATTATAGGATGAATTGTGACCAAATAATAGAAAAAAGAGCCTTGAAACATATACCAAGAACAAAATGTGATATTTCATTTTGGTTAGCAATGGTTGCCAAGGTTTTTATACCACAGAGAGCTTTCAAAGTAACACTCTGTATGTTTAAATCTGATCCTGTCTTTTAAAAAAAGCACATTTCCTCATAACTAATGATCAATTTTTAAAGATGTTGGTGTGCTCCTAGTTTTCTCATTTGAAAAAATTCAGATTTGATTCTTTAAATAGAGCGTTGCTATGGAAATAAGCAGAAATAATATGCTTAAAAAAACCTGAAAAATATTTTCTTTCCTTGGATACGTACCCTTAAATGTAGATTCCCAAAACTTTTATGATTGATATTTATTAACAGCTAACCTGGCTTTTAATTTTGACTATCATTCAATCTCTAAGTGGATGCAAGAAGTTGGCACACAGGGTTTAATATTGATATAAAGTTCACAAAATCGGACATTTTCTCTTCTTTGTAACCATAGCAACGGTGTTGTTTTCTTCATCAAATTTTATCAATATATGATATTCAACTTCAGTTCTAACAGATAAGTACTATTCAAACTGAGTCCTTTAATTTGTTTCTTGATTAAATGGCAATTTAATTCTTAATGCAGCGAAAAATAATTCACTTTTAAGCACTGGTTCTTTGTTTCCATAGTAACACTGCAAAGTAGCAATTATACCCAATTTTTCTTATGGTTTTGGTGTTGCAAGGTCCTAAGGATGCTTTTTTGCCAGTCTTGAATTTTCATGTTTTTCCTCAAGACAGTAGCATTAACCCAATCTTAGTTACTGGTTTTGCATGGTTACACTGTGTTACCATGGCAACCATAAAAGTTATTTATAGTATGATATTGCTTATACTTATATACTTAAGGTCAAACATTTTCATTGTTTTTCTTAAGTCGTTGATTGAGTTTGAGCATGTAACACCTACCATTAGTGAATACGGAGTGTTTTTCAGCATATTTCAGCATTTTAAATGTATTTCAAATGTACCCTTGGTAACCACTTACTTAGAGATACATTCTAAACAGCTTCTTTACAGTATAAGTGACATCAAGGTGTCATGTTTTTGTGAGAATGGTTTGTTTGCTTTTTCTAGTTTTTATTAAGCCACAGTCAAGATTTAAAGTGGCTGAAAATCTCGATTTTCAAAACTTTTCCGGCTGTTGCCATAGCAACCGAGGCACATAGCAACGAAATTTTGTTTGATATTTGTTTCTGGTGCCAAGTACTAGGCATGGGTGAAGTTTCATCAAAATTGGTGACCATGCGTGGCAACGAAGTTTAAGTGGTTACAGAGAATGGCTATTAAAAATATATATATATATTAACAAATAAATATATAAGAAATTAAACATTGCAATAGTAAATAAAATGTATGTAACAAGGAAATTAAAGAATTTTGGAAAAATATACTAGTATACTGTACCTGTACAAAGGAAACTATTTTGAATACAATAATACAAATTTACAAATAAAAAATATAGAATACAAATGGACAATGGTATAGACTACACGAAAAAATATTATACAATTCAGATAGAAAATGAAATACTAGAACTACAAGTGGAAAAGATAGAATATTCTAAGGTTGACGTCTAATTCATAAAAAAAACCAACATACTAAGTAGCTTGCCTACTTTTCATGGATAAATTGATATATGTTTCATAATAATATATTCTGTAGTGATATGCATTTAGTATATATACGGAGTTTATATATCTCAGTTGATTCGATACGCAAGAGCATGTTCTACGTATGTATAATTTCTTAAACAATGTAAATTGTTTAAAACAAGTTGTTAAAACAAGAATATCGGTTGTCTCGTTTAAAGTCATCATTTCGTAAATTCTATAGTCGATACAATGACCTT